TGCTAAGCTTGGTAATCATATTCACCGGGACAGGTGTTGATAGCAGAAGACAACTGCTGCTCAGCGGGAGGAAGGCATTAACCCAGAACTGAACTTCACATCTGGGTCAACCTTGATTAGATGCCTCCTAGCTGGCAGAGCCAGACTGTATATCTTGCTCTGATGTTTAAGACTGGTATTGGAGCAACCGCAGAGGTGCCTGCAGCTGAGAGGTATTGCAGTGGAATTATTGCAGTGAACACTGTGAGTTTTGACCCTTGCTTCGTGCCACGAAGAAGCACACAGTCGCTGGGTGCATTGATTTAACTTGTCAAATTAATCAGCCCTGACAGACTTACAAGGATGGCTTACAACATCTGTTCCCTGCCTCGAGAGACTCCTGTCCTGGGAAGCTCTTTGACCAAATAAACTTCAAGCAGATACATTCGTTAATTAGGCTCACAATCTACCTGTCATTCAGCAATTTGAAATAACTATAGGAGAAGAGAGAGGCCGAGTTGGGGGGGGGCGGCGGAGTTAAATGTGTCATTAGTTTAGAATGGTTACGCCGCCACAAATGCTCCGACCCTTCTCTCTCTTTGAATTCCGTTGACCTTCATCTGGTGCCAATGTAGTACTGAACTTGAGATTCTTGTGCATGGGCTTGAGCAAGAAATCTTTTGAATTGCAACTTATCGTCCTGATCGTTTTGCACCTAACCTGAATCCAAATCATTTGTGGCAACGTAACGACTCTAAACCGATGACATGCTTAACTCTGCTCTCCAGCTGTGCCTGCTCTCCTCTTACAATTGCTCCTATAGCAATTTTTTAAAATTTTTATTTATGTATTTATTTATTTTGCTATTTCTTCCCCACCAAACTCTTGGGAGGTAGGTTGAAAAAGTGTCCAACCCCCCTTTTTTTTATTGACTGAGGGTGGATTGAAGCTGGATCTCTATCTTCTCAACTGAACACCTTCACTACCACAAAGTATATTTACATCAGAATGCACATAAAGACGCACCCACACACCAACATATTCAAGCCCATCTGCTTAAAAATTCCATCCCTCTAATCCAGTCAAACTTGATTCCATTGAGGGCCACATCAGGGTTGTGTTTGACTTTGGAGGGGTGGGGGGCGATGTAGGGCATGGCCAGGGGGGCATGGCCAGTGGTGGCATGTCCATGGTGGGTGTGACATGGGACTTGTGTCAGGGGCATCTGTGGTGTGCAAATGCTAAGGCAGGATTTCCCTGACACCCTCCTCATTCTCATTATAATCTCCTTCCTTGCTTCCTTCCTTCCTTCCTTCCTTCCTTCCTTCCTTCCTTCCTTCCTTCCTTCCTTCTGTCAAGTTTCCGAAAGATGCCCTAATTAATTCATGAGCCATGATCCAAACTTCAAAGGAAATATAGTCATTTATTAGGAGCAACATTCCGGCAATACTCGGATGCAGTCAGGACTGATCCCACGTAGATTTACGTTCCCCTATGACCCTGTCTCTCCCCTCTCCTCTGGCCATGTCATAAATCACATTCTCCAATTAACCACTTTGGCTGGCTGTGAAACCCAACACCCTCCTTCTGATTGCGGTCAGAAAAATGTATGGAATTCACTTCAGTTCTCCCTCCCTCCTGCTCATGGCAACCTGAAAGCTTTGCAAGTTGACACCTTCCTTCCTTCCTTCCTTCCTTCCTTCTTCCTTCCTCCTTTCCTTCTTCTTTTTCCTTCCTTCTTCCTTCTCCTTCCTTCTTCATTCCCCTCTTTCCTTATTTTTCCTTCCTTGCTCTCCTTCCCATCTTTCCTTCTTCTTCTTTGTCTTTCCTCATTCCCTTTCTCTTTTCCTGTCCTTCTTGCATGCAAGAGGGGAAACATTTATCCTTTTGTTTTATTTTTAGTTTCCTTGAATAGCCCTCTGCCAGCAAAAATGGAACACAGGGGGACACGCCCCCCCCAGTGCCCCATTTTCAGCCTGGATAGCCTCCTGCAGCCCTCTGCCATTAAAAACAGAATTCGGGGCGGGGGGGGGCGGATGTGAGCTCTGTTTTTGCTAGCAGAGGCACCGTGGGCCGGTCCTTTGCTGTTTACAGGACTGCCCCGTGGGCCAGATATAAGCAGGCCTTGAGTTTGACACGCCTGCTCTAATCCTTTTAATGATCGACTGGATATCTTACAACATCCATCATCAAAAACAGGACAAAGATAAGGAACATTCAGCCAGTTGAACTGGATGCTAATTTTACATCTGGCTTGCCGAACCGGTAATTGTAAGGACTGGCTGGCCCGCCCACCCCGCCCCACCCCGCCCCTCCCAGGTTCTCACGTGGCCCATTTTGGATGGAGGTAGTGCAGGGCCCAGGCAGGCAGAGGCTCTGAGAGGGTGAAAATTGGGCCTCCAGAAGTTCTGGAAGTCTGGAAAATGAGTCTGTTTCTGGCCTCTGGAGGCTCTGGAGCCCAGGGGAGGCCATTTTTGCCCTTCTGGGGCTTGAGAAAAGCCTTCCGGAGCCTGGGGAGGACGAAAAGGGTCTACCAGAAATACAGGAAGTCCAGACATGAGCCTATTTCTGGCTCTGGAGGGCTCCAGAGTCCCAGGTAAGCTGTGTAGGTTTCGAGGTCGTCTCAATAAATTGCTTTCAAACAAAGTCTTTGAAGGAAAACTGTATTTATTAAGCACGACTGTTCTAACCCGACTCCAAAGGAAGCCAACACTGACTTCCATACCCAAAACCCTCCCTTTCCGTTCCCAACTCCCCTGCACTCATTGGCCATCTTCCAAGTCATTCTATCCTAATCTACCACTCCAGCTCAAAGGAATTTTCCCCCTCCATCCCATTCCTAGGGGATATTATCTCCAGGGAAAATAAGTAGGTGAAAAGTCAAACGTCCCTTTCCAGACGCCTCTGTTTCTCCTTCTTATGTCAGCACTAGAAGTACTGACAGCCATTTTTGCCCTCCTGGAGGCTCAAGGAAAGCCTCCAGAGCCTGGGAAGGCAAAAAATGGGACTACCGGAAGTACTGGAAGTAGGGAAATGAGCCCGTTTCCAGCCTCCAAAGGTGCTCTGGATTTCGGGGGAGCGTTTCCCCCTCCTGGAGGCTCAAGGAAAGCTCCGGAGCCGGGGAGGGTGAAAACGGCCCCCCTCCACTGTGGTTGCAGGAGGCCGAGTTTAGGCCATGCCCCCATGGCCACCCCCACCTAGCAACGGGGCGGTGAACCCCTTGCTAATTTTTTTCAACCCCACCCCTGTCAGAACCCCCAATCAGCAAGCACTGGCTGGGGGATTCTGGGTGTTGAAGTCCACACATCTTCAAGTGGCCAAGTTAGAGAACACTCTCTAAAGAGAACCAGAAGAACAGAGGAGACTGATCATCCCATCAGCTGTGGTTGACAGAGGACTACGGTGTCTTGATTTACCCATCTGTAAGTAGACCCTCCGCCCTCCAATCATCCTTGTGCAACAAAGCCATTGGAAGGAGACATTCTCCCATTTTCGGGGTTTAGCTGAAGCGGTTCAACTCCCTCGTCGGAAGAGAGGGAAGAAGAGATGTAATTATATCTATAAATGGCGGCAACGGAGCAATTACTTCCCAAGCGCTGGCTTATCTGGAAAACGGCTGCTCCTTCCTATAACAGTTTCAATTTGTTATCTGCCTATTTTTACCTCTTTTTCGAGAAGGGTAGGTAGACAGGACCGAAGTGACACCTGAATGACAGATTAACCGGCTTTTGGCCAGCTTTGGGAGCTTTTAAACGCTTTGAAAGGGCAGCTTTTATATATCTATATCGCGGGAGGGGAAGGTATTACTAGAAGCTCAACTAGTCATTAACTGGATAAGGATCCAAAGGGGGGGGATATTTTCTTTGGCATTTTCAAAAATGAGAAGGTTAAAAACTGCAAGGAGGTGCTTTATTTTATTATACAGTTATTCTGTTTTGCCTTCCTCGCCTTCAAGTCAGTTCAGTCTAACTTAAGATAGGGATTTTGATAGCACTCCCCTCAGGGGTGGGTTCTAATTTTTTTTTACTACCAGTTCTGTGGGCGTGGCTTATTTTGTGGGTGTGGCTTGGAGGTTATGTGATTAGGTGGGCGTGGCTAGCTGGTCAGACTCATTTCTGGAAGGTCCTCACACTTATGATCAGTCCTCACACTTACGACCACTCATTTGTTTTCTTTTAACACTGATCAGCTGTAGGGCGGCCCTTTGAAGCCCCGCGGCAAGAGTTTAAACAGTTTTTTTCCCTCTAGTCATCAGCTGGGACTCAGGAGGCAGCAATAGATTGGGGGTGGGACCAAATAAAAGGTAAGAATAACGTGGGTGGGTGGGAGGGGGGAGGGCGGGGGGGGGAGAACCGGTTCGGTGACGTCATATCATCACCGCTACCGGCTCGGCTGAACCGGACCGAACCGGGAGGAACCCACCACTGCTCCCCATCCTGGTAACTCCCAGAGTGTTTTGCTTGAATGGAGAAGGCACTCACCCCAATCTCTTAACCGCCCTACATTGTGTCAACCCTGAAGCCATTTTGGAGCATCTTCAGGGTAACACAGCAAGGCTGGTTGAAGCTGTGGGAATGGGAGGGCGGAGGTAGAGATAGCTGGGGATGTGTAGCCAAAATTAGGGGACTGGAGGCTAACACAAACGAAGAATGGTTGCAGGAACTGGGTATGTCTAGTTTAATGAAAGAAGGACAAGGGGAGATAAGATAGCAGTGTTCCAATATCTCAGGGGTTGCTACAAAGAAGAGGAAGTCAAGCTATTCTCCAAAGCACCTGAAGGCAGGAGAAGAAGCAATGGGTGGGAACTAATCAAGGAGAGAAGCAACTTAGAACTAAGGAGGAATTTCCTGACAGTCAGAACAATTAATCAGTGGAACAATTTGCCTCCAGAAGTTGTGAATGCTCCAACACTGGAAGTTTTTAAGAAGATGTTGGCTACCCATTGGTCTGAAGTGTGTAGGGTTTCCTGCCTATAACCCTGTAACTGAAACACTTCAAAGCAACAACAATACAGTACAAAGTTGATTTAACCATTTACATAGTCCGCAAGCTCATGACTGAGACGACACAAAATCCACAACAGCACTGGGAAAAGCTTGGGATCCACATTCAAACAGATCCAGAGTTGAAGATTAAATTCTGTTAAAATTCAGTGCTTTTCAAAAGTGTTTTGGAGAACACTGGGATTTTTTTTCAGATGGTCAACAGTGGCAAAAGAAAAGGAAAAAAAAAAATCCTGCTCAGTTACTAATCTTGCTTTACAAAGTGGGATTTTCCAGATGTCTTAGGATCGAGACTCCTAGTTTATCTTAAACCTAATCCCAACAGGGGATGATGCCAGATTAAGGCCACTATTCTTGGCTATGTAGGGCGAGAGTCTTCATAGGCCAGACCATGGTCCAAGGTAAGCAGAGGGAGCACCTCAAAAGGAATCCATCGACATGCAGATGGATTCCGTGGTAAACAAGGAGGACGTTTTGCAAAGTTTGGAGAGAAAAAACAAAACAAAACAAAACCAACCCACACAAAGCCTGACCACTCTAAAGAAGAATTTAAAAACAATTCACCATCTGGTAACAGCAGTGAACGCGAAGACGTTTGTTTTTTTTATAACTCAATGAGGCATGATGAAGAAGCCAACACATACCCAGGGATGTTAACAACGGTTTCTATAGTTAACTGTAAAATGTGGTGACGGGCACAATACAGCCATGATTTCTTTAGAGGAAGTTAACACAAGAGTATGGAAAGCAAGGTATGAATTATGACCTTTTCTATGCCCTTTCTTTTCTTTGAAACAAACAAACAAACAAACAAATAAAAAGCATTGCGTTCCAAAATTCTTTTGTTGGGCAATCCGTATATACAACAGAAGGCACTGTTATCCATAGGACCCCTTCAATTTCACACGGCAAAAACCTGAGAAGTGCAATTCCATTCGGTTTCAAATAGCTGGTTCCCCCCTTTTCCTAAGGAGAAAGAAGAGGGGACAGATGCTTTCTTTTCAGTCCAACAACTTATAAAAATACCCACAAGGATTTATACATTACAGCAGCTGGTTAGAAAGAATGTCTTAATGAGCGGGGGGGAAGAGGGTCAAATACTGCCTTTTCCGAAGGAGAAAACTTGCAGACCTCTTGATTATATTCCCTGTTCATAAGTCACATTTTTTTTTTAATAATGAAATGTTTTTGTACAGTTCTTTAAGCTCTTTTCAGTTGCTTCCTGGAGCAGTGCCAAAGTTATATCCAGAGACCAGTCCTTTGTTATCAAATGGGAAGCCCGTTTGTTGTTCTATCCTCTTTGACTCTAAATTGAAAAGAAACAAATGAATATTAAGAGACAGGCTGCAAGTATATCTTTATGCGCTACCAATGCCACTTCCAATTTCTTTTTAAACAGATACGATAATGCTATGCAATTTCTGAAGACCCTCTAAATATGAGGAAAAGTCATAGCTCTTTTAAGAAGAAACATGCAGCCATTTGAATTCCCCGTTATAGATACTTCTAGATCAATGGAATGGAATGGAAGGTACGGTACGGTACGGTACGGAGTAGAGTAGAGTAGAGTAGAGTAGAGTAGAGTAGAGTAGAGTAGAGTAGAGTAGAGTAGAGTAGAGTAGAGTAGAGTAGAGTAGGATAGGATAGGATAGGATAGGATAGGATAGGATAGGATAGGATAGGATAGGATAGGATAGGATAGGAGTGGAGTTGGAAGGGACCTTGGAGGTCTTCTAGTCCAACCCTCTCCTTAGGCATGAAACCCTACATTTCAGACAAATGGTTGTCCAATCTCTTCTTTAAAACTTCCACTGTTGGAGAATTCAAAACTTCTGGAGGCAAGTTGTTCCACTGATTAATTGTTCTAACTGTCAGGAAATTTCTCCTTAGTTCTAGGTTGCTTCTCTCCTTGATTAGTTTTTATCCATTGCTTCTTGTCCTGCCCTCGGGTGCTTTGGAGAATAGCTTGACTCCCTCTTCTTTGTGGCAGCCCCTGAGATATCGGAACACCGCTATCATGTCTCCCCTAGTCCTTTTTTTCATCAGACTAGACATACCCAGTTCCTGCAACCGTTCTTTATATGTTTCAGCCTCCAGTCCCCTAATCATCTTTGCTGCTCTTCTCTGCATTCTTTCCAGAGTCTCAACATCTTTTTTTTACATCGTGGCGACCAAAACCGGATGCAGTATTCCAAATGCGGCCTTACCAAGGCATTATAAATTTATTTAGCATCTTTGACTTGCAGAAAAGTTTTGAAAAAAATCATGCAGGTAGAACTAAATACTATTTCAACCTTCCCGCATCTGAGCATTCTTTAAAGAGGCAGAGTGAGCATCCAGTACTTCTCAGTCAGCAGCACTACCATTGATGGAAATTCTCGCAACTGAAAGGAGCATGAACCCATTGGGACAATCCCAGAAAAATTGCACTAGTTCCACATACTAACTGGGCACTGGGAGGTACATTTAAGTGAACCTAATAGAAATCATGCCTGGTCAAACTGCAATAAAGCAACACGTGAAGTTCCAAGTCAGAACATTTTTTCCATCCCGCCCTATTCCCCCCCCCCCAACGGTTGACCAATAAGCTAATCCTTTTAACTTGGAATCTCAAGAAATTTACTTGGAAACTTAGAGCATATGCTGTATTACTGAACTGTAACTCCAGAATGAATATTTAATCTATACTGAGAAATAGCTATGAGGCAAAAAACGCCTCACACACATTTTTTTAACAACTGAATACATGGAATGTTTAAACATGCTGCGTATTTAGATTCCCTGCATCCTTCTAAAGCTTCTTTGTCACTTCTTTTGGAAATGGTGATAGAGGTAGGTAGCAGTGTTGGGTTTCAGAATTTTTTACTACCGGTTCTGTGGGTGTGGCTTGGTGGGTGTGGTGTGGCTTGGTGGGCATGGCTTGGTGGGCGTGGCAGGGGAAGGATACTGTAAAATCTCCATTCCATCCCCACTCCAGGGGAAGGATACTGCAAAATCCCCATTTCCTCCTGATCAGCTGGGACTTGGGAGGCAGAAAATAGATGGGGGCAGGGCCAGGCAGAATGTTTACTATCGGTTCTCCAAACTACTCAAAATTTCCACTACCGGTTCTCCAGAACTGGTCAGAACCTGCTGAAACCCACCTCTGGTAGGTAGTGAAGGGTTGGGGGTGGGAGGTTTAAGGAGAACAGGTTTGCAGTGTCTCCCTAAATCACTATTGCCTGCAGATTCCTATATTATATATAGCAGGGGTGTCAAACTCAAGGCCCGGGGGCCAGATTCGGCCCACGGGGCTCAAGTCACCACAGGTGCCCCCAACTTGAGTGATATCGAGCTGGCCACGCCCACCTTGGCCCTCCGAAGTCAAACATAACCTTGATGTGGCCCTAAATGATACCCGTGATATATAGGAATCATACGTACATACTACATACATATATACCTACACCCCCCCCACCCCCCTCCAGGGCATCATGAATGCCCTGTCTCATCGGAAAGAGTTTACTTCTTGACTATTAGACAGCTGTGTCTAAAGGAAATTAATGCTCAACTAGACTTGTAAGCATCTTACACTAAGCTCTCCCTGATACCCAACCTCCACAATGTGAAACTTCCTAACGGTGGAACAGTTTGCCTTCAGAGGTGGTGGGTGCTTCATCACTGGAGGTTTTTAAAGAAGAGACTGGATGGCCACTTGTCTGAGATGGTATAGGATTTCCTGCTTGAGCAGGGGCTGGACAAGAAGACCTCCAAGGTCCCTTCTAAGCTTTATTCTGATTCTGACTCACTGTGGATTTCATCATTTTGCTTCCCGAAGCTTCTGCTCTCGTTCTCTTAAAAGGAGTAAAAAGTATGTAGGCGTGCCACCCCACACACCTCAAAACTTCCACATGAAACAATATCCTATATATAAAAAAACTTCTGATAATGGACGAAGATAAACAAAACTAACTTGGGACAATTTAGATCAGTGATGGCTAACCTTTTTGCCATCGTGTGTCAGGAGCATGGGGAGCGTGTGGGGGTCGCACGCACATGCCCACATCCATAATTCTATGCGCCCCTCCCCCGCGCATGCAAGTGCAATCTCCCCCATTCCCCCAGCTCCTGGAATGCGAAGGCCCGGTAGGCCCGTTTTTCTCTCTCCCCAGGCTCCAGAGCCTTTCTAGGGGAGGGCAAAACTGGCCTCCTCCCCTCCCGAGGCCCTCCAGAGGTTGGAAATGGCCCATTTGCCAACTTCCAGTGAGACTGTTTCCGGCCTTTGGAGGGTCTCCGGGGCGGGAGGGGAAGGCTGTTTTCGCCCTCCCCAGACTCCTAGAAAGGCTCTGGAGCCTGGGGAGAGAGAGAAATGAGCCTTCCCCACCACCCCCTGAGGCCCTCTGGAGGCAGGAAACAGCTTGTTTCCCTACTTTTGGTGGGCCCAGAAGGCCCGAAAATTAGCTGGCCAGCGCTCACATGCGCCCCGGAGCTGAGCTCGTGTGCCCACCGATATGGCTATGCATGCCACCTGTGGTACGCGTGCCATAGGTTCGCCACCACGGGTTTAGATTATTTTACAGGGCTGCAATAACTGAGAGTTCCTGTTGATAAGACTTTTGATTGTAAGCTTTCTGCAAACGTTCTTGCAACAGACCTGCAGAGTTTCTCCGGAGTTCAGCTAATGCACAGATTTCCTGCAACTGAGTCTTCTGATCAGTGCTGAGTGGTGCAGTCAACAAATGGTACCAGCCAGCATCTCGGCTTTGTATAGCTGAAAACACAGAATATATTTCTTTCGAGAGACATGCGACTTGCCAAATTCCCAGTCTACATCGTTAAATCACCATTTTCTCAAGCACAGAGAGACCTACTTTTAAAGTGAGCATACTGAGCCGAGGTTTCTGCTGTGTGTGTGAGACAGACAGTTTTAATATTCTTAGCGATCGATCTCCATTAACCGTTCAGTTCTTCCAACAGCTTTATTTCCTGAAACATGAATTCCTTTATAAAGAGTATTATATCTTGCTGCCGCTCTTAAGTTCTCAGAGCACTTAATTATAGCTTTGGACAGTGAGATGGGAAGTGTAATAAATAAAATAAAAATAAACAAATTATGAAGGACAAATAAAAGTAGCAAGTTAGCTGGGAGATAAGGATTTACCCAAAGCCAGCCTCTGAGATTCATAGCAAGATTTGAACTTGAGTTTCTAATTATGATTACCCTAAATATAATAGACTTATGTACATCTGGCTGATGATTGGTATTTAATGAACTGAGGTTTGTATTGAATACTGGTTAATCTTGTGCCCCCCAAACAGAAAACACTGGAATCCTCTAGATCACGGGTGTCAAACTCGCGGCGTCGCATTGCTGTCCCGTGACATTTTGCGACATTTTTCCCCTTTGCAGAGCTGCGGTGGGCGTGGCCTATGTGTGACGCATCCAGCCTGCGGGCCGCCAGTTTGACACCCCTGCTAGATATTGCTGGCCTCCAATCTGTCTTCAGATACAATTAGCACTGTTGTTGTATTTCAATAATTATTATTGAATTATTATTTCAATAATCCTGCCAATGCTACAGGTTTTCCACTCCTGATGTAGGGGTTATAAAACTAATGTTATACAACTAATTAAAATTAGTTGTTCAAATCAGCTGGGTTTTTTTAAAAAAAAAACAAACCCTAAAAATAATAGTAATCTTAGAAAAATCAGAAGTACTTTAATAAACGTCTATACCTAACAATGCTTGTGTGAAGAACTGATATTCATCCACACCATCTTCTAGATCGATAGGAGTGCTGAAGCCTTCTAAAGCAGTTTCTTCTAATGCTTCATCATCCCAGTCTTCATCATCGTCATCATCATCATCGTCATCCCCTGTATCACCACCACCCCCGGCATGGTTCTCCTGCATGTCCTGATTTGCTTCATTCACTTCCTCTTCATCACTTGGAATCTCTTCTGAAAACATGTTTTTTTTTTAAAAAAAAAAATCAAGAACAAAGAAGACAAGGAACCAAAAGCAGAGTTTCAAAATCAATGACTCCCCCAGGGAGTACCCTATGAACAAACATTCTTTAAATTACAATCTTGGTAAAGGTTGATCATGAAAACAAAATGGGATTGTTTTTTTTTTTAACTGAGGAAGGCTAGTTTGTGGGAAAAGTGACTTCTGATTAATACAATCTGAAAGGATCACCAGACTCTTTCGAAATAACTTTTTCTGGAGAAAACTAGATTGAGGAGTATATCAGGTATGCAGTTATGGGGACACACTTGTCCTTAAAAATAAGGAGAATATTTTTGTCTCACAGCTGAGGGAGTGTAATGGACTGGTGTTGTAAGAGTAAAGTTCTAAAAAGAAAAAAGAAAAAAGGTTGCAGTTAAGAGAATAACGTCTTGGCTAGTTTGATCTAAAATTTTCCTGTAGGGGAAAGTGCTTGGGAATATTCAAAACTATTTGGAAAATGCAAATATCTTCCCTCTAAGCTTCAAGTCAATCTTGAGCCATCGTGGTACAGTGGTTAGAATGCAGTATTGCAGGCAAACTCTGTTCACTAACAGGGGTTCAAATCAGTGGTGAAATCTAAAATTTGTTACTACCGGTTCTGTGGCCGTGGCTTGGTGGTGGGGGTAATGTGACTGGGTGGGTGTGGCTAATTTTTTTTTCTTTTAAAACCATTTTTTCTACAACCTCTTCGGCGAAGAGGTTGTAAAAAAAATGCTTTCAAAAGGCTCTGACAATCCCAGCTGAGCCGCGTGATCGGCAGAGGCTTTTTTTCTTTTAAAAACCTCTGCCGATCAGGCAACTCAGCTTGGATCGTCAGAGGCATTTAAAAGAAAAAAAGCCTCTGCCGATCAGGCAACTCAGCTGGGATCATCAGTTGACGATCCCTTTGACGATCCCAGCTGAGCCGCGCGATCATCAGAGGCTTTTTTTTTTACTTTTAAAAGCATTTTTTCAGCCGAAGAGGTTATAGAAAAAATGCTTTTAAAAATGAAAAGAAAAAGCCTCTGATGATTGTGCAGCCCAGCTGGGCATGTGGGGTGGGAGGGAGGCAGGGATTTTTGCTATCGGTTCTCCGAACCACCCGTGTCCATCGCTACCGGATCGGGCAATCCAGTCCGAACCGGGAGCATTTCACCCCTGGTTCAAATCCTTCAATCCTGACTGACTCAAAGTCGACTCATCCTTCCATCCTTCCGGGGTGGGTAAAAGGAAGATCCCGATTAATATGCTGAGATTGTAAACTGCTTAGAGAGTGCTTTAAAGCATTACGAACGGCATATAAGCCTAACAGCTATTGCTATTGCTAAGCACAAGTGAAATAAAATTATAAGTAGCGTGCTATTAATAAATGCTGATCACAAAAGCCAGGAAACTGTTGTTTTCTCATACCACTATCTTCTGCATCATTCTTTTCGGCTTTCCCATGCTCTTCGTGTTCTTTATGTTGCTGGGTGGCGCACATTTGTTTTAGCCCCAGGAATAGGAGGAGAACAGATGGGACAATCTGGGCAGCCACAGCGTCTACTGCAGGGGGTCGAGACGGCAGTCCCATAAGGATGCTCAGTCCGATGATGCACATCTTCCTGTCATGAAGCCTGAATGTACACAATTCACTAGTGAGAATTAATCTTCCCAACAGAATAGTGTCAGTACTTCAACCTGCATTTACTCTAGTGCTGACATAAGGAGAAGAGAGGGCAGCTGGCAAGAGGACGCTTGACTTCTCACCTACTTATTTTCCCTGAAGATAATGTCCCCTAGGAGATGAGATGGGAGGGGGGACATTCCTGGGAGCCGAGATATGGAGAGAGTGATTTGGAAGAGGGCCAATGGGATGCTGAGAATTGGGGAACGGAAAGGGAAGGTTTGGGGTCAGGAAGTCAGTGCTGGCTTCATTTGGAGTCATGTTAGGATGTCATGCTCAATAAATAGGAGTTTTTTCTTCAAAGATTTTGTTTGAAATGCATTTTATTCGAGACGACCACGAAACTTGACAAATAGCTTTCTGTAAGTTAGGGGAGGATTGTGAAACATGAGGTCAGAAACATCGATGGATACTCAGTTGAGAAGGTAGTTACAGAGCCATGATGGCGAACCTATGCAGCTGGCTTGCAGAGCCCTTTCTGTGGGCACACAAGTCGTCACTCAGCTCAGTTCACTGCGCGTGCGCGCGCACCTCCTGCTGGCCAACTGATTTTTGGGATGCACGGGGGGCGGGGGGGCAGGGCGCATGGGGGGAGACATGTGTGTATGCATGGGGGGAGAGTGTGGGAGGGGGATCGTGCACGCAGGGGGGGCACATTGCATTATGGGTGCCAGCACACAGGTGTGCTATCATGTGCACGCGCACTTTCGGCACATGACTAGAAAAAGGTTAGCCATCCCTGTTATAGATGTTGTGACTCCGACCCCCGAGGCCGACTTATCGGAGGGAGAAGGCTCCGAACATGAAGGAGAGGAGTTGGCCAGGCCTTCCTCTCCAGGACCCTCCTCTCTGGCAATGCCTCAAGTGTCTCTCGAAGGAGAAGAGATTGGCCAGGAGCCAGGCATCTCCTCGCAGTCGGACAGTGACGGAGATAAGTTTTGGCTGGATCCACGCCAGAGTCGGAGAGACAGGCGCACGCAGCAGAAAAGGAGCCGTGCCAGAGATTAAGCTGAGTCACTGGACCACACCCCACAGGGGATAAAAGGGGGTGAGGTGGCCATCCAGACTCTGTGACGGACAAAACTAACTACTAGCAAGTCACATTGTATCTTCGAAACAACGTTAGCTGCCTTGGAGTTAATACGGACTGGACTTGACAATTCTTGAACTATGTGTATCTTGTTTGGGTTTATCTGTCGGAGGAACACCCCCTCCCTCTATGAGTAAAGTTCTTGGCAAGCAGCTACTGGGTTGCTGCCAATCCTCTTATCGAAAGAATTTGTTGTCTGCCAGTTTTATTTAACCCCTGGCTATCTGTTTGTGTGCGTGTGTGAGACTGGGACAGAACAATAGAGGCTCTTACGGAGAATCCTGAATGGTTGTCCCTGTCATTTAAAATCCACTTGGAAAATTCTATTCTAGGCTTTAGCTATATCATTGAGAACAATGAGGCCCTGGTCACAGCTCTCTTAATGACACTACCACAATACTCTTTTCCAAAGAGACCTACCATATTCAATTAGGGTCTCTTTTGCTGTTTTCTTTAAAAGTTTTTGATTGAAAATATTTATTATCCTGTATTTGTTATCTTTTTTTATTGATTGATTTTATTTTTCTTGGTGTTGCTTAAATGAAGCATGTGTGTGCAATATAGTATATGCACACACTATATATTCATACATATAGATATATAGATATGGATTATATCTATATTTATATCTATCTATATTTGGGCACATATGTTCAGGTCCTCATTTAATGACCGCTTGCTCGGTGTTGGTTCAAACGGTGCTCAACAAATGGTATTCACAACCCTCGTCCTTATGTTGGTTGCGTCACTGAGTTCATGTGATCGGCAATCAAGACTTCTTTGCAAGCTGCATATAAGCAGTGGGGAAGCTGGCATGGCAACTACACGATGTCATCTTAATAACCTTAATAACAGCAACCGGAAGTGGAATTTCCATTGCTAAGCATTGCAATGATATGGGATCTTACTTGACTGAATCACTTAGTGACAGAAAGTCCAGTTCCAATTACCATCATGAGGTGAGGACTATCTGTTTATTTATACACACACACATATGGATACTTACATAAACTAAAATTATTATTTGTTAAATATGTGAATATATGCAGAAATTGCAAACAGCAAAGTACTGCTTAACTACCAGATATCAGCCAAAACATTCTGATTTAAATTGAAGCAACAACAGAAATTTTGGGCTCAATTGTGATTGTAAGTCGAGGACTACTTGTACAAAGTAATTTACTTTTTAAAGACAAAACATATATTTACTGTCACATAAAATCAGTAACAAGTGCCGATGACAAGTTGCCCAGCTAATGAAATTCATCCAATTCCCTATAAAATGTGTGTATTAAACCAACTGCAAAAGTCTCCCATATTAAATGCATGATGGTTTTAAATATCTTGATTTAATTTAGCTACATTATGTTAATGTATGTGCTTTCCCTCTGAATTTGACATCACAGCTAAATTCAAGCAAAATGAAGACTTCAAGCTGTAGCTCTGTGCACTGAATGCCACTTGGGGAGGGGAAGTAAAATTATCACTATTCATATGAAGTAGGGCTCGTGAGAAAATCTTACTCCGAAGAGAAACATATCAATTCTATTCTTTTATGCTGTTCCAAAGGTCACTATGTGGTATTTCGTGCTATAATAGCACACCTTAGGGCAGGTAGGAAAGCAAGACAATCCTGGCATTTCCTCTCAAGGTACGGTCTCCCAAAGACCCCAAAGGTGTTGAAAAAGAGAGCATCACACACACCTACCCAAGAAAACAGTCTGTATCGTTCATCCACTGGTTTATAAACTGCGCAGTGATAGGCTCTGGGTTATGAGGAAACCGGATGTTCTCCAAAGTGTGCAAAAGGAGCTCGGGGTTGTAGTAGAGGGCAGCAATGGCAACCTGGAGACACATGGTGCGGAGCTCGCTGGTTTTCACCCCTCGCGTTAAGCGCTCAAGCACAGCTTCTACAAACAAGGGGATGCACTAAGGGGAGAACAGAGATATGGGGAGAAATAAGTGGAAATATTTCAGATATTGAGTCTATTCAAAACACGATTCAGCCCTCTCCTTGTTGAAATCAGTTACAATTCTGTTTTCAAAGTACAGACTTTCTTAAATGACTTTGAGGGATATATTCCCTGTTTCCCTGAAAATACGACATCCCCTGATAATAAGCCCAATCGGGCTTTTGAGCGCATGCACTAAAATAAGCCTCCCCCCCGAAAATAAGCCCTCCCCAAAAATATTTAAATGCAGAACTGGAAATCAGGTAAGACAGCAAGAGTGGCCCCATCTTACTCCAAAATAATAAGACCTCCCTGAAAATAAGGCCAAGCGCTTATTTCAGGGTTCAAAAAAATATAAGACAGGGTCTTATTTTCAGGGAAACATGCTATGTTTTGTAATACTGTATGGGATACTGGCTACAGAATTCTCTTTGCTAAAAAATATCCAGCTGCTTTTCCCCTTTCTTTCTCTTTTTTTCTCCTCTCTCTCCTTTTAAAGGCACTGTGATAATTGCTGTTGGGATTTATTGCAGGAAATACCAGAAGCAACAGGAACTGTTGTGTAAGATTGTCAGAGGTCAGGAAGTGAAGTATCACTCTCCTTTTTGCTCCACCCCATGGTTAGGAAATTCTTTTAAAAGGGAAAAAAGGGGCACGAGGTAGAACAAACCAAACTCTTCTGGTTATGCAACCTTGATTAACATCTTTTTTTTAAAAAAAAATACAACTAACATTCATGTAATATAGGCCAAACCTAGCACTCCTCATTTAGCAATCTCATGTTCTTTGTTGAGATGTACTAGACAATATAATCCTGGTTATATATAATGTGGATTCAGGTTAGTAGCCACTATATCCCAAAACAACTGCAAGCTCTAGGTTCTCGTGAACCTCTCATAGCAGCATTTGGGTTTCATTTTCAAAGCTTGAGCACCATCTGATGGGTGAACGCAGAAAATAAATCCCTCCTCATCAAATGAAGAGCAAGGAGTGTGGGTAGGAAGCCTCCAACTTCTGACATCCTCAGTTCTTCTCCTAACAAGGTGACTAGTTCTTTCCCTTATTTGTCCCACAAAGAGTCTCCTTCACACTTTCAACATCTTCTCAATCTTGCTGATTAGCTAAGAGCAGTAAGGCACTCTTTAATATATTCCTCTGTATCAATGATGGCAAACCTTTTCAGCACCGAGTGCCCAAACTGTAACGTGCATGCATGTGCTGGAGAGCTGGAAAGCTGAAGACAAGCTGGCCAGAGTGCATGCGCGCGCTGGCCTCCTGGTCTTCGGGTTTCCGGCGCTCGCATGTACGCCAGCCAGCTGCTCTTCATGCACACTGGAGCACCGTCAACCCAAAGATCAGCTGGCTGGTATGTGCATGCCTGTTTTCTGGCTGTTTTGGGCCCATTTTCAGGCCATTTTTCAAGCCGTTTTCCAGTGCTCCAGTGCCCGCAAAGACCAGCTGGCCGGCGCACACATGTGCACCGGAAATCAGAAGAGCAGCTGGTGACAGCACGCGTGCCCACAGAGAAGGCTCTGCGTGCCACCTCTGGCACGAGTGCCATAGGTTCGCCATCACGGCTCTATATATTCTCTTTCAGGAATGGTTTAAGAGAACAAGTGACACTCCTCCTATTGCCTATAGAGACCCTGAAAGAGAATCCACTACCATCTTTGGTACAAGCATGGTTAAAAAAAGAGCCTATCGAATTCCCACCCTCTGTAGCGCCCAAAGCTAAGCCATGTTTTGGGAGTTTTCAACGGCTTCCGCTTAGCGTAACTTTCAAGGGCGTAATGAAACAGTTCCACTGTGTTTTGCCCTCTAGTTAATAAATATTGTCAAGAAGTGAAGGCCTTCCACTTGGGAAGTCCTGGGGCCTTAGATGTTTTAAGATCAAATGGAACATTATTTTCACTCAGCTGAAAGCTGCCTTTCATGCATCTGTGGAACTCTTCAGTAATCTTTCCCACGGTCTGCAGATCCTTGTACTGCAGTGATGTTTAAATTTTCTATGGTTATTGAACTCTGACTGAGGAAAGGCACGCCAGAAAAAATTTAAACCAACCTCACTTCCCTGATGGCTCAAACAAGTGAGAAAGGAGGAATAAGGAACCCTTTTCAAACCAAGCTGAATTCTATATATGAGACAATCCCAAAAGGAAAAAAAAAAATGTGTCTACAAAGCACAAGCTTCACCCCTCCTAAATTCTTTTTCTTAGACATATAGGTCTCCAAAATTCCAGCTGATGCTTACAATCCAGGCAAAGAAAAAAAAATTCCAATCAATAATTACCTGATCAATACCTCTTCCTTTGCACTGCAGTATAATAATCTCTAAGAGTTTGGCTGCATGGCACTCAGCATCTTCCCCTGCATCCCCAGTTAGGACCTGTCAAAATAATCAAAGATCATTTTAACCCTTCAGATTTGTTGGGGGAAAAAAATCGACATTTTTTTTTCTTAGTGATAAAAAAATGCTGCAACGTAACGTTTAAAAAAAAATGTTTCATTGAATTCGTGTAATATTTGACAGAGGATGGTAGAGGACAGGAAGTCCTGGGGGAACGTTGTCCATGGGGTCGCAATGGGTCGGACATGACTTCGCAACTAACAACAACATTTGACACTTTTTCTGAATAATCAGACATATGAATGAGTTTCCTGACACCTGAAATCACTAGATAGAAAAAAAAAATAGCATTCAAACACAGAAGTGCCAATTATGTGACTGGTTTTGAAAACTAGGCAAGGTTATTTCTGATCAGGCAATAAAAAAACTCTTTCCATATTGTTTCAAGAAAACACGAAGTCAACATGAGTGAAGTTGAATTTCAAGGAATTTTTATGTTATACTAAAATAAGACATACAGTTGTCCTGTCCAAGCATTCGGCCTTAATGAAGAGAATTGTTGTCTAGTATATTTGAATGTGACAAATCTCCAAGGGACCAGACACTTGTTTTGCCTTAATGTCGAATCAGGATTAGAACACTGAGAATTGGTGATTTCAAGGTATTTCCATAATGGGTGTACTTATTATATTCCAACATTTTATTTATTTATTTATACTACTTTTACTTATTCATCTTGAATATTGCCAAATCCCCATAGATACACAGCAGTTTACAAAATAGTTAACAAAGACCTCCATTAGCCATTTAAAAATGTCCACGGTAAATAATAAGCGACTAATAACTAATCAAAATTGATTCTATTGTAAACAATAAATGATATATTTTTTTTCAACTAGGACCAGCATTTTCCAAATCAGATCAGATCTCTTTATAAGAACTGTTTAAAAATAAAAGATTCCACAGGAATCGATGAATGAAGTGAAGCAAGCGAAGCCACATTTTTCATTCTGTTCTCAGGTCTGGTTTCTCAGATTTATAGAAGCTCAATAGAGCAAAAGTCCATTTAATCCAAAACTCGTGAGTCAAAAACATCAATCCCCATACAGAGCAATCTACGCTGCACAGACCTCCATGAGCTACAAGCAGCATAAATAGCAGGCAGAGCCTCTCGTGATTCAAATGTAACAAATCAAGGCAGAGCCTTTTGCAGGAGGAAGATAACCCATATTTTCCTCAGCAGGAAGCAAGAGTGAGCATTCAAGAAGAGAACTCATATTAGTCAAAAGCAGGAGAAAAAAAAAAACCCATAGGGTTGTGAAAACAAAAATGACAAAAATATTCTTGCGAATGTACGATATGAATGCACTATATGGCAAAAGGAAAGAAAATAAAGAGCTGGAAAGGGTTCCTTCAAGTGGAAGAGATTCCCCTCCAGCCGTGATGGCGAACCTATGGCACATGTGCCACAGGTGGCACGCAGAGCCCTCCCTGTGGGCACGCTAGCCGTTGCCCCAGTCCAGCTCCACCACGCATGCGTGCACGCCTCTCACCGGCCAGCTGGTCTTCGGGTCTCTGCTGTGCATGCGCAGGAGTGGGGTGCTTGCAGGGGGCGCGCTTGCACGGGGTGTGAGGCACATGCGGTGGAGGTTGGTTCAGGAGGCCTTCCAGGCCCAAAATGTGGTGCGGGGGGGGGGGCAGGGTGTATGCATGGGATAGCACATGCGCGGGTGGCGCTTGCATTACATTTTGGTTCGGGCATGTGCGAGTACATTCGTGTGCGCGCTTTGGGCAGTCAGCACCAAAAAGGTTAAGCATCACTAACCTACAGTTTTCAGAAAAATCCTGTTTTAAAAAATACCCACTTCTAAATCATTACACGAACAATGATGCATATTGTCAGCAGAAAACAAGGGCAGGCATGAGCTCTTAGTTATAAAATTTGGAAATTTAACTGGAGACGTCTTTTATTTGTTTCTGTCTGTTCTGGCCTTTACATAACTACATTATATTACACTTGTGTTCTATCATGAATAAGTCTTAAATGTAAGTCTTCTTACCCTAAACCAAACACCTTAATCAATAAACCATATGTACTACAGACTGGAGGTCTGAATAATGTAACATTAAACATTAAATTATTATGAAAGTAAAGCTAAGCATGTCTATTTTTAATGGGCACCATACTTTTCATTCACGTTCTCACATTCACCATAGACAGCAGGTTGATCAAAGTATGAGCAACTTCGAAAACTTACCTTTTTACACATAGTATAAATTATCTCCAAATTTTTGGAATTTGACAATAAAATATCAGTATCAACAGTGACGTAGTTGTGCAATAGGGGCATCATATCTAGAAGGAGAGAAAAGTTCATCCTGAGAATGATATAAATTAATTTACCCCAGGGGTGAAATGCTACCAGTTCGGACAGGTTCGGCTGACTGGTAGCGATGGCGGCAGATGGTTTGGAGAACTGGTAGCAACGGCAGTGCAAGGCTCCGCCCACCCACTCAGTCGTCATTACTTCCTGGTTTTAACCAGGAAGTAACCCGTTTTTTACCCTCTGTGCATGCACTTCCGAACCGGTAGGGAAGGTAAGTAGATTTCATCCCGATTTACCCTACAGAATTATCCTTGCTTTGTTTTATAATCACTCACTAAATTCATTCATTTGTAAATTCTTTAAAATTCTATATTTAGCAGATACACCAAGTCATGACCTGTCAATGTATTGTAAAAAGATTTATTGGATTTATTCAGGCCCTCCTAAGAATTTCAGAAAAGTGTACAAGACATGATCCCACATCATGCTCACAAAGACTCCAGATAACCTTTGTACCGCAGCGGAGGCTCAAAATCCCAATACAAACTTCCCATTCTCTTCATTACAATGTATCAAATAATATAAAGCAAATAAAGGAAAAATGAACGTAGCTAATACAGATTGAATTATTTATTCTGGGCTAAACTTTCATTTTTATATCAGTGTGTAGCTGTTGCTAGAAAACTTATTTTAAGAAAGGGACAACATTGGGTCAACAGTGGGCATAGATAACGGGGGGTGGGGGATATGTCTTCATTCTAATCCTCCCAGTGAGGGAAGGATATTGCAAAATCTCCATTCCCACCCCACTCTGGGGCCAGCCAGAGGTGGTATTTGCTGGTTCTTCCGAACTACTCAAATTTTCCGCTACCGGTTTTCCAGAACCTGCTGGATTTCGGACGGCCCCCGACCTCCGCTCTTTCCGCAGTGGCCTGAAGACATGGCTTTTTCAGCAAATCTCCTGATCTGCTGGGAGTTTTTAGTTTAACTGTTGGGGATTTTAATTGGATTATTTTAGCATTAACTTATTGTTTGGTTGTTTTTATTGTTGTGAGCCGCCCTGAGTCCTTCGGGAGAAGGGCGGCATATAAATATGAATAAAATAAAATAAAATAAATAAAATTTTACCTCTGGTTTCCAGTCTTATAAATGACATAAAGCAAAATGGGATAACTCTTAAAAGTCAGATGATTCATTGAATACGTTTTGAATAGCTCAGCAGGCAAAACCTGAATACGTTCCTGATCTTCCCCACAGCCAGCAAAATCTGACCCCAATACACAAATTTGTTCGACTTCGGCATTTTAAAGGCACACAACTCTACATTGGATACTTAAGCAAATCTAATCCTGAATTTATAGCACTGGGGGAACAAATCAATGTGCTTCCACTAAGACAAAGTGACAACGGAAACTCACAACTTCCCAAACCACTGCTAGCCAACATTCTTCTACGTTCAATTTATTCCTGCTATTGATCGGTGCTCTTTTCGAGCAAACGGCAAAGCTTATTACCTGCAAAGTACTCAAAGCAATCCTGTTGAAACACTTCATATAAGACACCCAGGAGGTGCCACATTTGGGGTGAAATAAGATGGCATGTCAAGCTGTATGCCAGAGAAAGAATTTCTTCGTAGAACTCTGAAAGGGAAAGGGGGAAGCAAGCAAACAGACATAAGAGATATAGAAACCATGCCTGCAAATGCCACCCAGCCTATTAAAAGCTAATTTAAGTGAATTAGAAAAGATCTTCGTATTCTAATAACACATTTCCCAGGTCTGCTTGGAGGCTAGCACCACATTTATTGGAATTGTACAGTCTTAAGCCTGGAATTAAAATATTGCATTTGCTATATACCAATAAGGATACTTTAATGGGACTAAACAAAATTCCCTATGGCTACACAATATGCCTCTAAATTTCCTTGAACATAGAATAAATAATGCCTACAGGTTTAATTTCCATTTACTAATGTGCCTAATATTATATGTATGCTTATTTCTAATTAAAGCATATCTCAAGATTTTCGGAAAGAAGATAGGAATGACTTAGACTGCAATAAGGAAAACTTTTGAGAGGCAGCTAGTTCTGAGGTAAGTTTATTTAAACTTAAACTAATTTTCCTTCCAACTGCAGCACTTAAATCCTAAAAACCACCCTGGAGGACTGAATCTCCGCTGGAACAGATTAGGAGAACCTGCAAACATGGTGGGAGAAGTGACCATGAATGGACACCTCTGCTACTCATGGATATTTATCATGGGATTCTACTATCAGTGATATAACAGGGAAGAGATGGGAGAAACCAAGCAATATGTCCCCACTATTGTAGAAATACCCAAAGGCCATCCAGATTCTAGAGAAGAATTTTAAATATAAGCAGTCAACTTTAGGAATAGGCCATTGACAAAGGGTGATGTCGCTTCCCTCTAAACCTGCTACTTCAACAATTATTCTCAACTTTTTTCCTACAGGAATTATATTTAATGATATTCTTTCACAGATAAGATAACATCTTATCTAAAATCAATGAGCAGTGTTCCAATATTTGAGTGGCTGCCACAAAGAAGAAGGGGTCAACCTATTCTCCAAAGCACCATAGGGGCAGGACAAGAAAAAAATGGATGGAAACAAATCAAGGAGAGAAGCAACCTAGAATTAAGGAGAAATGTCCTGACTTAGAACAATTAATCAGTGGAATGATTTGCCTTCAGAAGTTGTGGGTGCGCCATCATTGGAGGTTTTTAAGAAGAGCCTGGACAGCCAGTTGTTTGAAATGCTATAGGATTTCCTGCTTAAGCAGGGGGTTAGACTAGAAGGCCTTCAAGGTGCCCTCCAACTCTGTTATTCTGTTCTGTTCTGAAGAAGATTGCAAGTCCAATGTAATTTGAACTGAAGTCCCATTTGTCAAGTTTCACATTCTTATCTTTGGTTCTATTTTCCCGCCCTTTTCTCCAGCCAGAAATGAATTGGCTATAGAACATGCTGCACTCTAATAGTGAATAAATGATATACGGTAACTTCATAGTAATTTTGGCTTAAGTCTAATCTAGATTTGGGGGGGGGGGGGAAGGGACAGGAAGCTGTATTGTTACAGCAGGGTAGAGAATAACTTAACTCTCTGCCACATTAAATAAGAAAGCAAATATTGTCCGGATGGCTTTTCAATGTACCTATTACATGCTTCTGCAAGACAAGACCAATGATTTGCAGGCAAATGCTCTCCAGTTGTTGAGTTATCTGAAGAAAAGAAAGAAGCCACTTAAGTAAAGTAAAGAAAAAAGACATTTTTTTCTTAAATAAGTAACTATTCTAAAGCAAAGAGTTTTCCTAAAGTAAAGAGTCAAGCAAAAAGCCCTCCATATTTAAAATATTTTACATTATTACTAGGTGAAAATTGCATGCAAATGTCTCATACATTTGTTAAGTCTATGGTGCCATCTCCTGGCATGCCCTGTTTCCTTCATTTACTGAAAGAATTTCTGTATCGCATCTTATTGCAAAAACTCTTGAATTCAGTTTTCAAAGCGTTGAGAAGATTCACCTCCTTGTGATCCTGCACGACAGTTAGGATCGTGTCAATTGTATGCAGGATCCCCATGGCCATAACAGTTTTATCCTCCATTTCTTCATACTCTTCACTCTGCAGAACTTTAACAAAAATCTCTGCCTAAAGAAATTAAATGCAGAAAAATCTGACATCATAAATCACAAAATCCTTGCGTCAACTTCAAATTTGCATTTTGAGTTCTTTGAATAATTAGAGATTTGCTTCCTCCCCCTCCCCCCAAGTGAAACAACATGGACTTGTTTGTTACTTTTGCATAAATGTGGTGCTCTTGCAGTCCACTAGCACAGGGGTCTCCAACCTTAAGCCTGGAGGACTTCAGCTCCCAGAATTACCCAGCCAGTAAAGCTGAAAGAATTTCAGCCAAAGCTGGCTGGGGAATTCTGAAACTTGAAGTCCTCCAGGCTTAAAGTTGCCAAGGTTGGAGATCCCTGCACTAGCAGGTCATTCATGTTGGTGTCATTTTGCATTGCTTTCTGTTGCATTAAGCTTACAGTGCAACACTTTAAAACAGAAGGAGAAAAGAAGGGAACCTATGCATATTTTGGCACTATTGCTATTCTGGATAAAAATTCAGGTTAGGGAATATTGACTAAGGTAGGCCTGTCAAACTGGTGGCCCCTGGGCCGGATACATCACGCATAGGCCACACCCAACCCGGGTCCGCAAAGGCAAAAAAATGTCACAAACTGATCCATGACGCAATCGAGTTTGACACCCATGGACTAAGGGATTTGTGTAAGAGAGAGATTTAGGATGTATGGAATTAAACTGTCTGAAAAACAACTCTGTGGCTAAAGAGTCAAATGAGGAAAAGAGGAGAATCCAGATGAGGTGTTAGAGAAATTTCACAGACATTTTTTTTAACCCTTTTCAAAATTAGCACAGAAAATATTAACATTCAAAAAGGATATTCCAAAAGGGAAATAAAGGCAGTGCTGATTACAGTGCATTTGCAGTGTTCTGAAATATTCCTGAACTGAGCTGACCCCTTTAAGCCCAAGAACAATGTTCTTTTATTATGTTCAAACTGCAAAAGGTTTATCTGCCTGTGTAGAATCTAACTGCTAACTTTTTATAGTGGTGTGGGAATGACCTTGGGAAAGGGAGGGAGGAAAGAGATAGGAAATGATCAGATAAGGTGGGAGAGTCTGCAGCTGCAGAAGGGGCAGAAAAGGAAACTCAGAAAAGATTCTGTCTAACTTATCAGGGTGTGAAGGAAACAGCAGGAGATTTCTGCTTTCAGACTTGCATAAGATTCTGTTAATGTAGCCTTACAATAAAACAGGATTAGCTCATCTGGTTGCTTGGACTACCTGGGAAGGCTGACACTGTAAAGCCAGAGTACAGATAAAATATTGTCTGGAACTTACTTGAAGAAGCCTCACTTCACTCTCATTCTCAAGTCTTCAGGGACAGGGGGCAGGTTTAATATGTTTGTTTTTTCCCCCACTACAAATGAATGACATTATTTTCCTCCCAACAAGAAAATTAAGTCTAGACTAATCTTCAGTAATTTAAAGCAGTGGTGGTATTTAGCCGGTTCTATCCAGTTCGGGCAAACTGGTAGCAGCGGCTGCGGGAGGCTCCGCCCATCCGCCCGGATGTCATCATGTCCCCTTTTTGAAGCTCTGCGCATGTGCAGAAGACCCTGTGCATGCTGGAGGTGGCGCGTGTGCTCGCATTTGCGAACCGGTAGCAAAGCTAAGTTCATACCACCCCTGATCTAAAGTGATAATGGGATCATTTCAGGATGGCTGGTACACCTCCCTTTGTAAAAACTACGTTTGTAGAAAGGGACTAAAACACGTTTTCTCAGTAGCCTTCATCCAAAAAGGAATCCCCGCCCTCACTTACCAGATGCTGCGTCATTTCCACAGCAATTGTGGCTACTTCTTGGCTGTATTCACAAATCAGCTTCTGAATTACATTGGTAAGATCATCGTTCTGAGTCTCTCGAACTACAAGCAGCAGCTCCTGCATGACAGGCCTGATGTAGGGCTTAATGTATTCCTTTGCTAAAAAGAAACCAAACATACATTCAAACATAACACAGGGGGGGGAAAATTAAAATAGATACAGGAAGTCCTGGACTCACGGCCACAATTGAGCCCCAACATTCCTGTTGTTAACTGAGACATTTGTTAAGTGAGCTTTTTACAACTTTTCTTGGCTGCGAGTCACTGCAGCCTTTAAGTTAGTAACACGGTTGTTAAATGAATCTAGCTTCCCCGTTGACTTTTGCTTGTTAGAAGGTTGCAAAAGGGGAGCACATGGCCCCAGGATGATGTGACTGTCATAAATATGAATCAATTGCCAAGCATCTGAATTTTGATCATGTGACCATGGGGATGCTGCAATGGTCATAAGTCACTTTTTTCCCCCACTGCCATTGCAACTTTGAACGGTCACTAAATGAATTGTTGTAAGTCGAGGACTAAAATGGATTACGAGACAAATATCTGCTTGTCTGAGTGAGCTCTTAATTGCACTTGGTATCCTTCTTTTGTCTTTGGTAACAATGTTCTGCATTTCTACCTGTCTATTTGCTTCTTTCTCACACAAAAATTGCATTGACGGGGAATGCTAGATTTGGAATCTTAAAAATTCATCCTATAAGAAAGAGATGCAAATCACTTCCGTACTGTTGACCAAAACCCCTAAATTCATAAATTTATAAAGTCACCAGGAAGACTTACTCTGATATAAATGCAATTATTATTTTTAAAACATCTTGAAACTAATATCTTTCTTTGCAGCAATCCCTGTCTCCAACCACATCTAAATATATATCCAGTTAGACAAAAACTGTGACAAAAGGCAGAGTAAAAATAGAAGCCAAAATAGTTTAATATTAATTTTTAAGTATATTGGGGAAAAAACAAGAAACAGGATAATCCATAAACTAAGAAAGGTATTTGATAAGAAGAGGTTATGTATGTATGTATGTATGTATGTATGTATGTATGTATGTATGGAAGGAAGGAAGGAAGGAAGGAAGGAAGGAAGGAAGGAAGGAAGGAAAAATGAACAGAGATAAGCAACAGAACATTAAAAGTGAGATTCATTGCATACGACGATGGTAGGAAAAGAAACAAAAAAGATGGGACACAAAAAAAGTCCATGAAGAGGAACTACAGTGGGCAACCAAGAAAAGTGAAAATCAAACCTTGTTCCTGATGGCTTATCAAGGACTGAAGTGCAATGGCAGCTTCCATTTTGACAGGCATTTCTTTGTCTTCAATCAAGCTCTTTTTTATTAGTTCAACGGCATTCTTTAGATTGAGCTCATTGTGAAATTTTAAGGTGCTGAATGAACGAAGGGTCCAACAGGACTGCGGCAGAAGAAAAAAGGAAATCAGATGCTATTCAAGACCAGATACTCTTATAGAGAAATCATTTGCGTGTTAACAGTTCCGAGTTCATTATATTTTATCGTTTTCAAGGCAGTCCTCTCCACAACACAATCGTCCACCCACCCCAAAAGAATTCATAATAAAGCAGCACTGAAACCAGATACTGAGATTCAAAGAAATCTTTCTTTGTGCTCAAGGCTTTTCTATACACAATACTATCCTTCACCTTCTATACTATATGTAATTTAGAGGAAATATGGGAGACGGATAGAAATGAAGGACTGGAGTTACCTATTACATTCTTCTAGATAACAACAAATAAAATAACTACAACCGCATAAAATAGGATGATATATGAAACAGCAACCAAGATGCCATCTCGTGTGGCATTCTGGGAATCAGCCTATTAAAATGTATAAATATAGAATAATCTTTGTCCCAATCTTACAAAAGCTTACACAGAGTTCTGCTTCTCAATAATTATGTTAAAGAGAGTAGTAATTTCTGTCCCAATATAGCACTTATCAATAGCACTTAGACTTATATACTGCTTTACAGCCTTCTCTAAGCAGTTTACAGAGTCAGCATTTTGCCCCCAACAATCCGGGTCCTCATTTTACCCACCTCGGAAGGATGGAAGGCTGAGTCAACCTTGATATGCCGGCCTTCCAATCAAGCTTTACAGTTTCAGCATGAGACTGAGTAAGATGAATGTGTATTCTACTAAACACATTATTAGCTTTCTTTATAAACACCTATTTATCCCCAAGCACAAGCAGATACGCCCAAACCATCATGAAAAAAGGCACATGTTCTATTCACTTACTCTTGCTCTTAAATATCCAAGATTTGACATGAATAACGGAAAGACATGATTCTGCAGCATCAACTCCATCTGATCCTTGAACACGCTTTTCTAATAGGGGTAATAATTAACAGAAAAAGAAGCGCCTTTGTCCCCATTTTTACATATAATAATTCTCACGTAATTCTTAAACGGTTACACCGGCTTCAAATTAATTTTTAGAAAACATCCTGATATCAGCAAAAGAAAAAGATAGACGCCAAAATGTAAAATTGAAACTACTCAAATAAAAGGACTTAAAATATCACACTACTTGGGTTGTCTAACAAAATGCAGTGACAATGTTTCTTACTGCAATCAGCCCAGCCATGTGAGCCTGAACAGGAGTAATCTAACTGATTTGACTAGCAATAGCACTTAGACTTATATACCGCTTCATAGTGTTTTTACAGCCCTAAGTGGTTTACAGAGTCTGCACATTGCCCCCAACAATCTGGGTCCTCATTTTACCCACTCAGAAGAATGGAAGGCTGAGTCAACCTTGAGCCTGGTGAGATTCGAACTGCCAAATTCCAGGCTGCTGGCAGTCAGCAGAACTAGCTTGCAGTACTGCATTCTAACCACTGCGCCACCGTGGCTCTTAAATAGAATAGATGGACAGAAGCCTACATGGAATGAGTACTTGTAAAGGATGTGGCTTTGCCATGACCAATTATTAAGAATTCTACAAGGGTATGCAATCACAGCATAACCCAAAGCTCAATTCCTAATACGAGAATTAGCTTGAGGAGATTTCCAATGTTGCATGACTTCAGCACATGCCATGCAGATCATGAACTAAATATATAAGAAGCACTTTAAAATGTCAAGGTACAGACATGGACATTCACTATCAGCACTAATTCCTCTGGCAGGAGGTTGGGGAATTGAGAAATGAACTCAATTTTGTAGCAGGGAGCAGAATGCATTCAGCCAGTGGACAAATTCAACCTGCAATTTTTACAGAGGCTACAAAGCATCACTAAAGCATATTTTTTTTTTTTTTGGTTAAGTCCTGGCTCAGTTCTTGCCCAGCCTGACAGCTACAGAATCACTTCTGAAAACTTTTTAATCAAGGACACCTTTATGCAGCTGGGCTCTTTCATAAGGCTTTTATTTTGAAGTATCACAAATCCCGGGTGTCAAATCTCTAGAGATAAGACCATATCACAAAACATCATTGTTTTACCTTCAGCAAAATATCTGCTAGTGATCCAATTACATACAATGCCCCGTCTTTCTTTCTAGGGTCAATGTTGGGCTCAGTGAGAATCTGATAACAAAATGCCATCATTTTTGGTAACACCTAAACAAACAGCACATACACAAAAAAAAGTAAAGAAATGAAACCTCAAGCAAATTCATTAGGAAAGTCACTAACATTAAGATCAGTTTAAACTACTGTAGATGATTGTTTCAGTAAAACACATTGAACAATATATATTTTAATTTATAGCCTGAAATTCTGAAAGCTAGGTACTTTTTCCAGAATAAAAAATTATAAATTCTAGAATTGCCTTGGGGTCAAATAAATTGACAGTTGTCTTAGATGTGTTTTTTATATTTAAACAAAACAGTCAAGAAAATTTAGCGGAGTCCAAGGGAAATCTATTAATATCTCAATATTGGAGTGGAGAAAAAACTCCACTGTCTTCTGTGGGTGTACAAAATACTCCATGTATTTTCCCAGTTGTACTATCTTAATAAATTAAAAGAAGAAGGAACTAATAAAGCTGTCCTTGGATGTCAAAAAGACCTGCCGGATCTGATGGCAAAGGAATGTGAGCCTGTACTCTGCTATCAACACAAAAATAAAAAAATCCTAGTAGATCTTAAGCCAATCCTATTCCTTACCTAAAAATAATTTAGTTACATACAAAGGTAGCATTCCAATTGTAGGAATGGTACAAGCTATATACTTAAGCTCGGAGGTCCTAAAGATAAATATGTATTTAATACTTTTTTTTCTACAACTGGAAGGATATGAATATAAATCAACAACTGCTGTTAAAGAACAGACAGACAACTACTATTTGACCATTTAAAAAGCCATCATATTTTGACAAAATTATGAGACGTACCTCTTTTCGTTTTTTTGCCGCAGTGCACAGAAGAATCTGGGCCGCTGTTGTAGGGGATGCATAATCGTCAAATACATCTTGAAAAATATGAAAAAGGATGTTACTACACAACCGTTGACAATTTAACAAATCATTATAAATGTGACAAAACATGGACAAGCTAGTAACTGGTTTTTCTGGATGCTCTTTTTTTTCTTTAGTATTTAAGAAAAGAAAGTAAAGGGGATAAAAAGAAAAATCAACAAGAGAAATATAAAGAACAAAAAACAGAAAATCAAAAGAGTTTTGAAAGGCCAAGAATCTCCATTACATTTTTAAACCTATCATTAATTGCACAGAATAAACATTGATCAGTTTTTCCCCCGTCTCAATAAACAGCCAATTCATAAACAGAAACAAATATATATATATATCAATAGTATAAAATGGTAAATCCGGAGTTGGTCTTTCCATCATTGAAAAATAAGACTTTCTTCTACCCCCCCCCTCAATAAATCAATTAATTCTTAGTATAATGACGAACACCTACATTTTTATATTCAATATTGGAATGAAGTGAGAAAATAGCCATGTGCAAACGGTGTGTTATTAACAGAAAATAGTTCTTGAACTGTTGTTCAAGAAATCTGATTTTAAATAAGATACCTTGGAATCAATTAACCACAATAAAGTTTGATTCTCTTCAAGCTTTTAGTAGATTACCTTGAACTTCATAAAAGAAGTCTAAATGCTGAGCAGCATTGGCTGCACTGCCAAAGCCATTTTTCTACACATCAACCAAATACTTTACTATCTCATTTTTCATCACCTGTCCATGGCATAATCTTCAACTGAAACAAACAAGTTTATCATTATAATATAGTAATCATTATTGGAGATGAATTGCTCACAACCAATGTCTGTTGTGGTCCACCGGCAGCCTGTGGAGCTGGCAGTGGATTCGGACAGTGAGGAGGCTGAGGAAGAACATGGGCCAGTCCTGGAGGCTAGGGAAGGCCCGGATGAGGACTCTGTGTCGGAGGCAGAGATGGGGCCAGGACCATCTGGGAGTGATGTGCGGACTCCGGAGCCTCCAGAGGCTGACAGCAGAGAGGCAGAGGAACAGGAGGAGCCTGTTCCTAGTGCACACATGAGAAGAGCTGCCAGAAGGCAAGAGCAGCTAAAGCAAAAAGGACGACTCGGGAGTAGGGCCAAGAGATGATTGGCCCCTCCCATAAGGCTTAAAAGACCAGCAACGGTTCTTGGGCTCTTTGTCGGAAAACAACGTTGATAGATTTGTTTCTTGTCTTGCTGCATTTATTTCTTGTCAGCGGCGTCTGCTTCTGAACTTTTGCCAAGAAAAGCCTTTGGCAGGTTGCCAAAGTAGACCAAGGTTGGTGATAAGGCTGAAGAATTGTGTTATGAAGAATTTGTTTTGAATTAGTTTGGACTACGCTGAGAATGAGTTAATTCTCAGCTTTTCTAATAAAGTCTGTTTAGAACTGATTGCGTCTGATAATACCTACTTGGGCCTAGGTCACAACAATATCTTATCTTTTTACTACATCTTTATTTTGCTTCTCTCAACTTCTGTTCCCACTTTTTACAGACTTTTCTCTACCACCATAGTTCACAAGGGTTATGGAAAACAGGAGCTTAGGAGTGGGGTGGACTGCGTAAGCAATCAGATATACAGGCATTCTGCAGGACAGTATAATACGCCCTCCGGATTTGTACATACAACCCCCCCCCCAAATGTTGGCTGATCTAGATGCATAGCAATGTGCATCATCACCAGGGATTTTCCAGGAGCAGATACCAGTGACAACTGACAAATAAAAATTACCAAATTTAATGCGGATGTATTCATATGGGTCCTCCTGCCAGAGTTCTTCATCCTCATCTTTATAACACATCAGAGAAAAGATGACGTCTTCACACAAAGTCTAATAAGAAAAGCAAAGAGGAAATCAAATGTAGTTGAATATGTTTGCTATCCAACCTTCATTTTTGATCTATTCTCTTTTCTCCATAGCTAGAACTCTTATGCGGTGGGTTGAGTCAAGAGACAGCCAGCGGCCAAAAGTCACCTAGACAGCTTCCATGCTAAAGGGAGGATGATCATGACCTCCTGATTTCTAGCCCAGTACCTTAGCCACTACAACAAACTGATGATCATTTACTGTATCTTAATAGTTAATAAGCATATAGTTGATCATTCTAAAAAAAACCTTCTTCATAAAGCTGCAATATACAATATATCCTGTGGAGATCTTCTTAAAGCCAGGAATATATTCCCCAGTTCAGAGTTGCTTTGCTTAAGCATTAAGCATTAAGGCACAGAAGAGGCTGTACTTCCTGAGAATGCTCAGGAAGATAAATCTATCTCAGCATCTACTTCTGTCCTACTATCGCAGCACCATTGAGAGTGTCCTGACATATGGCATCCTTGCATGGTATGGGAGCAGCTCTGTAGCGGACAAAAATGCTCTACAGAGAATCATTAAAACTGCCCAGAATATCATCGGACTCCAGCTACCAGCCCTGGACGATATCTTCGAATCTCGCTGTTTGAGGAAGTTGCATAACATTCTCAGAGACTCTTCCCCATCCTGCTTACAATCTTTTTGGACTGTTGCCTTCTGGCAGAAGATACAGAACAATTAAAACTCGGACCACACATTTTCTGAATAGTTTTTATCCGAGCTATAATTGCACTCAACAATGAACTAAAGGGCCACCATTAGTGAGCTGTTGGACAGCATTACTTGGTCTGTTGTGTGGATGCTTGGATGGTTTTAGGGGTGGGGAATTTTTGGTGGGTGGGGGTGTGTCTGGCGATTATCATGTGTGTTGGACCTGGTCTCTGGATGTTATGTGAATTTCGTTGTATGGGTATACTGTGTATACACGTACAATGACAATAAACTTTATTTATTTTTATTTTATTTATCCACATTTTGTTTGTATTCCAGCTTTATTATTTTTACAAATAACTCAAGGCAGTGACCTATCCAACATACCTTTCACCTCTTATTTTCCCCAAACAATCCTGTGAGATGGGTTGGACTGAAAGAAAGCAACTGGCCCAAATTCACCCAGCTGGCTTCCATGGCTAAGATGGATCTCTTCTGCTTTTTTAGTCTGGTGCCTTAACCACTAGACCAGGGGTTCCCATCCGGGGGTGCTCGCACTGCCTTGGGGTATGAGACAATATTCCAGGGGGTGCAAAAACTTGGGTTTAGAAATTTCAAAATTGTAGTGTATATGCATAATTATATGCATATAATTATTTACATTTGTAAGGGGTGCAGGGTATAGAAAAGGTTGAGAACCCCTGCAGTAGACCAAACTGATGGGCTCAAGGTTTACTCAGAGTTCCATTCTTCTGAGGTCAGTAAAATGAGGACTCAGATTGTTGGGGGCAATAAGCTGATTCTGTAAATGGCTTAGAGAAGGGCTGCAAAGCACCATGAAGTGGTATATAAGTCTAAGTGCTACTGCTAGTGCTAAACTAACTCTCGCATCAATTATTTTCTCTCCAGCTGAGATATAATTAAAGGCTACTTGTTCACTCAGATTGATCATGGTTACATTTGTTCATTCCCAAAAGAGTTAACCCCAAGCCAAAGATCTGAGAGATGAGCTGCATCAAACTCTTTGTGTCATATTATGGGAAAACAAAATGCATGTTATGCAGCCTTCAATTTTGCCCAGGTACATGATAGGGTCCTTGAGGGAGAAAAAAAAAACTATATTGAATGAGGTACAATAGAATCTCTTATTCACCAGAAAGAAATCTAAGGATTATCATTCTTGTTGGAGAACTCTTAACAGAGAGGAAGAAGAAAAAAGCTAATTTAAGACATATCACTACTAATAAAAAAAATAGAATAGTAATCTCATTATTCACAGTAAGCCCAAAAAGACCTTTTATGCTTTAAAGATTATATTGCAAATGCGTAATTCATTGTTTATTCTCATTTTGCAGTTATGAATTGAAACTTGAAGAGAATCACTGGCAATGTTTACCAAGCCAAATATAACACTTTCCTCGAAATATTTCTAAAATTATGTATGCATAGAAATATCATCTGTAAAGGATTTTAGGAAAGAGACAACATAAAAATGAAAATATTAAGGCCAAGCAGCACTCTGGAGCTGCACAAAACCTACTGTGGAGCCTCTCTCTGCATCTCCTTAAAGCAACTGCTTCTATTCCTGCGATTGTAGGCCCACCTTATGCTCTATAACTCCACTTGATAAAATCTCAGGATTCAGTAATTAGTACTTTAGGACTTCAGATGAATCTTTATATTGGATGGAGGAGTTTTAACACTGGGGAGATGACGGTGATCGTTACATCCCACTCCATCTTTCCTTTTACAATAGATCCTTCATACAAGGGTGTGCTATTCTCTACCCATTTAGAAACGGATTTGGAACGCTAAAGTCAAGTTGACTGCCCGCCTTGGCACATTGTTACTGAAACTGCAATAATAGTTCTAGCACAATTTGTACTATTTGTGGGACTTTGCACTGCAGTGAATCATATCACACCTTTTACATAATGACGTGGGGAGATAAATGGCAAAAGAAAAGGTTCACTTGGTAACAGCCTTACATTGGATGCAATATCTGGAAATAGACCTTACAGGCACTGTGTAAGATAGAAATACAAGCAAATGAAACAACTGTGTAATGAATTAATTATCCGAGCCGCGGTGATGCCATGGTTAGAATGCAGTATGGCCTACTGCCAAGAGTTCGATCCTGACCGGCTCAAGGTTGACTCAGCCTTCCATCCTTTTGAGGTAAAATAAGGACCCAGATTGTTGGGGAAAATATGCTATCTTTGTTCCTGCAGCTGTGTTGCCGTTACAGTTATAACTTGCTCAATTGTTACCTCAATTTCAAAATTATCATACAAGTTCTAACTCATGTTTTCAGAGTTTACCCACAGGCACAAATTGCTACTCTTATACTGACCTGCATATGGGGCTTCATCTGCTTCCAGGTTATACAGTGATGGACTCCCTGGTTCAGATAGTTTAATGTTTGTTGAAGGACACGTGGAGCTACATAGTCCTTCTGCCTGTATTGATCCAAGATTTTTAGGAGTACCTAAAGGAAAGTTGAAGGCATTGTGACATAATCATATACAATCAGAACTCAACATTGAGCCATCAGGTTTGAAGTACTGGGGAAAAAAATCTGCACTATCGTTTTAAGCAAAAGAGAAAAGCTAATATATTTCTCACATCCTAGATGATGTTTTAATTTTAGCTAACAGGTTGATATGATGGAGAATGTTCTGACTTAAAAAAGAAAAAGCTGGCAATCACATTTCCATAGAAAATGTACCCTGGACTTTCCTAGACTCCTAAGGAGGGTATTGATCCATTAACAATTTCCTGAATGAAAATGATGAAAATGAAATCCTTTAAAGAAGATTCCTGTAATAATATTTAGCCTATTCATTAATCAGCTGGAAACTGTGGGCCAAATCAGTTGACCTCCGAACAGTCAACTTACTGATATCTCAGAGATGAGAGCTACAAACACTGCTTCCCGCAATAAAACTTTCTGATTAAGTGAAGTGTCAGTAAAATTGGGGCCTTTTAATGGGTTGTAAATACTAAAATTTAGGTTGTTTTGACTAAGAGAACACAAGCCACCTCATTATCCATAACAACTTATAAACAGTTTTTCAGGATATGATCAATCATCTTCCATACCCTCTTATCCAGGGTTTATCCAAGTGGTGTAATCATTACTCTTTTACCTCACAATGTCTTCAGTGTATGCTACCAAAGAGCAAGTTAAAATGTTTGCTACAATATTGCCATGTTATTTCACTAAATAAGACAAGCCTTTACCTGCTGGATTCCCGCAGCATAGGTTTTCAAGAAGAATACAGAAAATTCATAATATTCTTTTGTTACATTTCCAGGACTACCATACCTTTAAAAATGTAAACACAAAAGAATGTAAATATATTACTTTATACAAAGATACTAATGTATACCTCATTATCATTAAGCTTCCCATTAATTTTCACTCATGCAATTAAAGGCAATCTTTATGGCAAAAGGAACGCACAAATTCCATTAAAATTGCCACATTTTTATAGCCGATAGAGCAATTTTTCTGCAGATTTGCTGATACTTGAACTTGGGCCAATTTTTTTTAAACATTTACGATTTGGAAACATTATAAACATGCCAAAACAGGATTTAGTAATGTCATTCTTTGTTATTAGCATAATAACCTTTCAAAAAGACGAGCAACAATCCGAAAAGCCCACTTCTTACATTTCCACCACACCAATTCTGGCCGATCATCTTCATCAACCTGCAGAGTTTCCTAACCAAAAGAAAGAACTATCAGCCATCAATGCAGTTAACATTAATGGAGCATGATAAGAAGAATCTACAGCCTTCATAGCCTCGAGACACAATTTAGCAATAGCATTTAGATACCTGAGTGATGCGGTGGCCTAGAGGTGGAGCTCTCGCCTCACAAACAGGAGGCTGTGGGTTCGATCCTAGGTAGAGGCAGATATTTCTCTCTGGGCACACTGAGAATATATCTGCTGAATAAAATTACGCATTGGCAACAGGAAGGGCATCTGGCCAGTAAACACTCAGCTCCATTCAGTTGCCCAGACTCCATCCCACAAGGGATTATGGGGTTATTAAAAGGAGATGATGATGAATAGCATTTAGATACCACTACATAGTGCTTAACAGCACTCTCTTAAGCAGTTTACAAAGTCAGCATATTGCCCCCAACAATATGGGTTCTTATTTTACCGACCTCAGAAGGACGGAAGGCTGAGTCAACCTTGAGAGGGTCAGGATCGAACTACTGGCAATGGAATGCAGAGTTGGTCTACAATACTGCAAACTAACCACTGCACCATGACAGCTCTTAGAAAGAAGCTTAGAAAGAGACCTTCAAATTGTTGTGCTGACAAGGGCCTATTGTTAACAGGATCTTATCTTTGCGTGTTCTTAAGGAGGCATGCCATTCATATAAAGTGATCCACAGGTTTTAAACTCAGTTTGTCAGGGGTGAGTAGCAAGAACTTTCTCCAGAGCTGCAGGAAGCCATTCTGTGCTACAGTGATATTCCTGAAACCATGGAGTCAAAATGGAGGGGCTTGGTTTTTGAGTGTTTAAGAGTAGGATTGGTAGACCTCACACACACCCACTCTCAATACTCCAAGCCCATCCCAAAAATAGGCCAAAGCAAGATGACAATTAGCCATCTTGTTGCCGTATTTCAGCAGCACAATCTGGAGATGGAGTCGTAAAAGGCTTATGGGTTGCCCACCCCTATTTTCAACCAATAAAATAAGCTCTCATATAGGTAATGTAACAATTATATTCCCATCTACCACCAGCAGGCACCTCCTCCCAGCGTGGGAGCCAGAGAAAGCATGGTCAAAGAGAAAAGTAGACCTGCATGATCCAGGCACTGCAGTGTTTAATAAGCTTAGTCAGAACCACAATTTAACATACCTAGATTTCGAACTGCTTCGCTTTTTGCACATGATATTCTTGCTGAGCGAAAAGCAAGGGAGTGTGAGCAATGGATCCACTTCCTCCTTAACGCCTTCTTTTAAAGTACAAGAACACGGCAAAAGCAGAACAAGCCCTCCATATAGTTGGATAAAAATGTTCCTCAACCCTAAACTTCCCTTTTTTGCCAAAGCGCTCAAAGGATATTAAAGCTGTCCAGTAATGTAAACCTTACAGGAGGCACACTTCTGTCAATGACAGTCCGGAAAATCTCCATCCACTGAGTCATCGTTTGGTTATTCACCAGCTGAAGTGGCAAAGCGTACTGAAGTTAAAAGAAGAGGAAAAAGAGAATATCAATATCGCTGAATACCTAAACTATACAGTCCCTGACTGTATATTACAAAATATACAGACAATTTAGACAATGTATTAACTGGAAGCTGCAATACTCTTTTTTTTAACCTCCAATGACCGGAGACTACCATATTTTTCGGAGTATAAGATGCGCCGGACTGTAAGACACACCTACATTTTTTGGGGAGGAAAACAAGAAAAAAAAATCTGCCTCTGCCTCCCAGTATCCATCAGGTATTCATCTGGTCCATTCGCCGCCACCCATTCACTGCTGCGGCCCATTTGCTGCTGCCGCGCCCGTTTGCCGCCACCCATTTGCCGCCACCCATTCGCTGCTGCTGCCACGCTCCGTTTGGCGCAACCCGTTCGCCACTGCCGTGGCCCATTTGACACCACCCATTCGCTGATGCTGCAGCCCATTCAGCGCAGCCCATTCACCACCACCGCCCATTCTAGAACAGCTGATCAGCGCCACACCAACCACCCTCCCCCCCCCGCAACATTCGGTGTATAAGACACACCGAAATTTTCACCCATTTTTAGGGGGAGGGAAATGCATCTTATACGCTAAAAAATACAGTATTTTTTTTTTGTCTTTGAAACCTATATACTATGATAGCCAGCTAGTTAGTCATTGGAAGCAGCTAGTTATCATCTCAATTTTTTTCTGTGCTAAAAGGCTTGGGATTGGCTTTTTGTTATGACAGTGAGTTAATAGTTACACATAATCAGCAACAAGGACAAAAAAAAAAAAGAGACAGGATTGCTATTGTGGATTATTCCATCCCAGGACATTCTTTCGCACTCATTTAATTCCTCTCTTATGGAATGCCCACCAAATATAAGCGAAACACACCGAATATTGAGAAAACATTTAAAATGCAAGTTTAAAATGTGCGTTTGCAAACTGAGGCAAGGATGAAAAAATGTACCTTCATCTAATAAATTATTATTATGATTAGTTGCCCCATCAGACAGATGTTTAGACTGGATTATGGCATTTTTATCTACCTACCAAGCCTTTTCTAAGGACCTGGAAGAGGCAGATTTTGCTGTACCATTTTAGACAATAGAAAATGAAGTTGCAATAATCTCTACAGGGTTAAAACTTCAGTCCAGAAATAAAACAACATTCAGGACTGGAAGCAGCACATGGAACTATTGGAATCATTTTGTGATACAGTAGTTCTCCACTTACAACTGTTCGTTTAGTGACCATCTGAAGTTACAACGGCACTGAAAAAAGGTTTTTTCGCTCTTATGATCACTGAAGCATCCCCATGGTCACGTGATCAAAATTCAGATGCTTGACAACTGATTTTTTCTTATGATAGTTGCAGGGTGGTGGGGTCACGTCCCTTTTGTGACCTTCTGACTAGCAAAAACAGTGGGGAAGCCATATTCATTTAGCAACCACTAAATTCAATAATTCGCTTAACAAATGTGCAAGAAAGTTCATAAAATGGGGTGAAACTCACTTAGGAAATGTGTCGCTTAGCAACAGAAATGTTGGGCCATAAGCCAAGGACTACCTGTAGTTTTGCTTACCATTTTATTGTTTTTTTAGTTGTTAGCTGCCCCAAGTCATGTGAATGAGATGGGAGTGTATATACATTTAACAAGTATTAATAACAAAACAAGCCTATCTCCTGGAAGCCCATGAAAAATTTCTACAACAATCGTATGCAATCTGCTGTCTCTAATTTGCACAAAACCTCAGCTTCATTAAAAACAGCAATACGGAATCTCTGTAACCTATTCCCATTCTATTCCCATATAAATGTATACTTGTATAGTTCTTACATATTTTCTTTGGTGCATAGATCAGGACTAAAAAAGTATTAACCCCAAAACACAAAGGAAGTTCTGCAGGTTACAGCAAGAAAATCTTTTCCTTGGACCCTGCTGGCAAATATCACTCAAAAGAGCACCCTTTTCTTCTGATGGAAAAAACTGCTTTAAATTGTCTCAACTTCTACCCTCAAAATGATGCTATAGGACACTGCACACCAGAACAACTAGACATAAGGACATTTTTTTCCTGTATGCCATCACTCTGCTGAACAACTAATTCCCACAACACTGTCAAACTATTTACTAAGACTGTATTACTATCACTCTTCTCATCCTTCCTATTACGTATCTCCTCCCACTTATGACTGTAACCTTGTTGCTTGTATCTTTACGATTTATATTGTTTTATTTAGTTTCCTAGTATGATTTGATCACATATTTAGTATCCTATGACTATCACTAAGTGTTGTGTCTTATGATTCTTGATGAATGTATTTTTTTAATGTACACTGAGAACATATGTGCCAAAGACAAATTCCTTGTGTGTCCAATCACACTTGGCCAATAAAGAATTCTATTCTATTCTATTCTATTCTATTCTATTCTATTCTATTCTATTCTATTCTATTCTATTCTATTCTATTCTATTCTATTCTATTCTAAAATTCAATGTAAACGATAAATAAATGTTTGGAAGATGTTTGGAAGAGAGCCAATTTGGTGTAATGGTAAAGGTGCTGGCCTGGAAATTGGGAGATTGAGTTTTAGTCCTGTCTTAGCTATGAAAGGTGGTTTTGAGCCAGTCACTCTCTCTCTCAGACCAATTCACCTCACAGGGTTGTTGTTGTAGGGTAAAAGAGGAGGAGGAAGGAGTACTAGGTATGTTCGCTGCCCTGAGTTATTTAAGGCATGATAAAAATCTAATCAGTAAATAAATAAGATACAGTCTCATTACATTTTTAAATCAAATGCTGTACTTCTAAAAATTAAACACACGGGTTGGAAAGGAGCTGCCCTGAAATCAATAAATGCATACTTCAAAATATGCATCTGTATGTCACAATTCCAAAAAGGGATTGTTGTTTTTTTGGGAATTCTTCTTACTGTTGCTGCTTTCAGTATACAGGTATTCCATACCTGAACAAGTGCATAGAAAATTTTCAAGATCTGTTTCTGAAGAAGCACAGAATAGTGGGAGTTGTCAGGAAGAAGCTGGATCATCTGTTGCTGAATTCGAGGCAAGAATATTTGCATTGCGGCAATGAGAGGCTCTCGTTCCTCAGCTTTCTTATATCTATGGAAGGAATCAGAACCGAACACATTTCAGAAGTAAAGTTTACTTGTTGCATTTTGCTTTGTTTTGATTTTTTTTAAAAATGAAACTGGTACCTGTTGTAATCCTCCTCTCATCTCCACAGGACAATACAATAAATCCAAATAAAACAGAAAGGAGAAGCTATTTTAATTTTCCTAGTGCAGCACACTAGGGTTCATTTTAACCATTTTTTAGCACCCCAGATCAGTGGCATTTTGGAACACAGCCTCAGAGTAAATAAAAAGATATGAGATTGCAGGTCCGATACAGAAACTTACAACTGAGTCACCCATTTCACTTGATCTCTCATTGTTTGGGTGTTCAAATTTCCCTAAATTTACCTGGAGAAAATCTATTGTAGGTAAAAAGGGGAAAGTTTGAGTTTCCAGGAATTAGATTCTCATTCATACATTATTTTACTTTGTGTGAGGATTTCCCCCCCAAATTAAATGCTTTCCTCTGGGTGAACGACATCCTCCAGTCTCCACCTGTATATGTTTAAATCAGGGGCGCCAAACTCGATTTCATTAAGGGTTGCATCAGGGTTGTGTTTGACTTCAGGGGTGGGCGTGGCCAGGGTGGGCGTGGCCAGCTTGATGTTATTTGTGTCGGGGGTGCCTGTGGCACTCTGCCAGCAAAAATGGGTTCCCGAGCTCCATTTTTGGCTGTGACAACCTCCTGCAAGCCTCTGCCAGCAAAAACGGAGCTCGGGAGGGCCACGTGCCAGTCAGTCTGTTTTCTCTGGCAGAGGCACCGCAAGCTAGTCCTTTGCTGTTTCCAGGGCATTCTCGTGGGTCAAATCTAAGCAGCCTGCGGGTCAGATCCGGTCCCCAGGCCTTGAGTTTAACACCCCTGCTTTACACAATTAGAAAGCTAGTTTTGCAAGAAACCAGGAAGATGCACTCATGAACTAGGAGGTTATTTCTAGACTGCTAGAAGAGTCACCTTCTCCTTGAGGAAGATCCACTTACTCATAGGTTTTTACCAATTGGTACAGGCACAAGAGGCTTCCAAGCCAGCTTCCGCTATTGGACGACTGTAGGTAAAACCCAATCTTGTCCACCACTGCTGTCCAGTGACTTGGGAAGTCATGCTTAATAATAGCACGAAGGCACATTGTCAGCTGGGCTCTGGGGGAAAAAAAAGAAGACTGAGAAAGGATGGAGTGAAGGCAAAAACAGAAAGAGGATCTGAGAAAGGACCTGCTTCATCAACTCCTGAATTACACAACACCAGAAACAATGCATGCATCTTTTTCTTTTCTTTTCTTTTCTTTTCTTTTCTTTTCTTCTCTTTTCTTAATGTTTTATTTGTTTTATTTATATAACATTCAATTTTCATCAAACAGTGTGTGGTCTGGGTACGGTTATATTTAAATAGTCATATTACATATCTTTGTTGTGATATTCATCACCATAATATTGATAGTATAATAACATAATAATAATAATACTTAACATCATCTTCTTTAACAACTCTCCACTTTAACATTTCCTCTTTTTATATCGCCTCCTTTTTAACTTCTGTTTCTGTTATCTAGCCATTGATAAAATACGTCCCATATCAAAAAAAAAAATCAGTTTCTTCTTTCTCCTTAATAGTAAGCGTTAGTCTATCCATTTCTGCACATTCTAATATTTTCTTAATTACATTCCCCTCATCATTTTTCCATTGTTGCGCAAATACAATTCTAGTTGCAGTTAGTATATGCAAGATCAGATATGTAGTCCCCAACCTTTCTGGCTTTTCAGACCAATCAGGGGTGGGGGTGGGGGCGAGAGAGGATGGTTCCGCATTGAGTGGCGGGCAAGCATGGCGCAGCTCCATTTGCGCGAGCGGTGGACACATGCCTATCACTTGTGCAAATGTGCCCACGCTCACCTGCTGCTTCCATGGCCTGGTTCCAAATGGGCCACGGCCCAGTAGTGGACTGTGGCCCCGTAGCTGGGGACCTATTTTAAAGAATAGGCCAAAAAAAAATTCAACATGGGCTGTTAATTGTTAAGAAAGGATCACTCCTTCCTCCTCTCTGCTCCCACACTTATTAAATAATAAATAATATATTCAAATTAATATTCACCAGATGCAAAAGTCAAGATGTACAACTATAAATGTCTTTGGAAATAATGACAGTAAGATTTTCCATCTTTCAGACAATATTCTCACTTAAACAATCCAGAAGCAGATAAACTTTTCCAAACCCAGGATATTCTGTGCTTGAAACTGGAGGTTTCAAATATAGCAGGGGTGAAATTAAAAAATTTCCCCTACCGGTTCTGTGGGCGTGGTTTGTTGGGGGGAGGTCATGTGACTGGGTGGGCATGGCCAACTCGACATCACTCACTCGAGAGGCTCCTCACCGGCCCCTCCCCTCCCAGCCACTCCTTGTCGCGAATGGCAAGAAAATGGGGAGGGGAATATTCCTACCTACCATCCTTCCCTCAGTCTATGCTGAGATTGTGGAATGGATGACAGGCAGGAAAATCCCCTTCCCCATTTTCCTGCCTTTCATGAAAACGGCTCCATTCCAGCTGCTCCCGCCCCCGCCCCCCTCCCTCCTGTGGACTACCTTAAAAGGGACAGGCTGCAGCAACTCCATTCTGAATGGAGGGAGAAAAATTAGCATTCTCTCTGCTGCATTTAACATTGAATTCTGTGGCAGAGAGAATGCTAACTTTTCTCCCTCCATTCAGAATGGAGCTGCTGCTCCCTTTATGGTTCCCTCCTGGCCCCTCCCTCCTGGGGACTACCTTAAAGAGACAGGCTGCAGCAGCTCCATTCTGAATGGAGGGAGAAAAGTTAGCATTCTCTCTGCTGCATTTTAACATTGAATTCTGTGGAATATCAAGCGGCCGGAAGAGGTGAGCATTGAATTCTGTGGAATATCAAGCGGCCAGGCATGGGTGGGGCCAAGGAGGGGTAATTACTACCGGTTCGGCAAACTGATGCCCAAAATCCCTAGCGGTTTGCCCAAACCGGTCCGAACTGGTAGGATTTCACCCCTGAAATATAGGCTGGATAATTATCTATTGGCGATGGTGTAGTGAATCCTGCAGGCTGCACGTAGTTGGAATAGATGACCTCTTAGTTATTTCCAACTCTGATTTTATTATATGTGTTGGATATATGATTCTGAAGTCTTAAGGCATTTCCTGAATTATTTGCAGTATTTTGTACAATAAGGTATTTTAAATTTCTACTCTCCTAGCTTTATCTAGGAGAGATAATTGAGGACCCAGTTTGTGGGGGCAATAAGCTGACTTTGTATAAATATACAAAAGTATGAAGGCTATTGCTTAATGCATTGTAAGCCACCCTGAGTCTCCGGAGAAGGGCGGCATATAAATCAAATTAAAAAAAAAAAAAAAATCTGGAAAACAATTTTGGCCTGATGTCATAAAAGGAACAAGGCATATTTTAAGAACTATAATTATACTCTTCCCTTTTTCTATCCCAACAGTTCTCTACGTAGATTTCTACAGAAATTGTTATAATCATCTCATTTAGAAAAAGTTCTGGAATACGTTTCCACATAAGAACGATTTCAGAAGTGATTCATTTGGCTCATTATATGCTTTTATAATTTGATACCCCTTCAAAATACTATTTTTCAAAACAACACTACGCTGAATAAACATCTATTTAAGTTTTATTTAAATATCCTCAATTTATTCTAAAAAGAAGCATATGCTTTCCTTGGTGTAAAATCCAGGACTTTCTGGGGCCTGTCCCAGTGTGAACCTCGACATACCTCACTAAGTCTGGAGAACGAATAATTCCTTCTACAATATTATCCCGAATCTGCTGACGATCATTTTCGTGAATATTGAATGGAAATATCACTTCTCCTGGCGGGGGCTCTCGGTCTGGCCAGTATTGTGTCACCATGTTTTTCAAGTAAATAGCAGCTGTATTTAAAGAATGAAGTAAAGGAGGGGAGAGAAAGAGAGGGAGAGAGACATGCATAAAAAGGGCTGTTGATAAATCTAGCTTTAAACAAGAGTTAGGGCCACCTGTAAGAAGAATAACAATTCAAGACCAATGGACATGCAAGAAACTAAGAACTTAAATCCTGGTAGTGAAATCGCCAAATGTAGATGACGTTTAGAAAGAGATAACCCAATACATAAATATAGATCCGTGACGGCGATCCTATGGTACGCGTGCCACCACACGCAAGCTCAGCTCTGGCACGCATGCGCGCGCCGGCCAGCTGATTTTCAGGCCTTCTGGCCACCGGAAATAGGGAAACAGGCTGTTTCCTGCCTCTGGAGGGCCTCGGGGTGGTGGTGGGGAAGGCCCATTTTTCTCTCTCCCCAAGCTCCAAAGCCTTTCTAGGAGCTTGGGGAGGGCGAAAACAGCCTTTCCCACCCACCCCGAGGACGCCTTCTGGAGGCTGGAAACGGCCCATTTGGGACCGGAAGCCCCATTTTTTGCTCTTCCCCAGGCTCCAGAGCTTTTCTAGGAGCCTGGGGAGGGCGAAAACAGCTCCCCCTACCCCGGAGGCCCTCTGGAGGCCGGAAACGGCCCGTTTGCCGACTTCCGGTCCCCAAGTTCCTAGAAAGGTTCTGGAGCCTGGGGAAGAGCGAAAAACGGGCTGTTTGCCAGAAGTTGGCAAATGGGCTGATTCTGGCCTCCGGAGGGCTTCCGGGGGGGGAGGCCATTTTCACCCTCCCCAAGCTCCTAGAAAGGCTCTGGAGCCTATGGAGAGAGAAAAACGGGCCTACCAGGCCCACCGTGGGGGTCACACGCACATGCGTGGGGCGCATAGAAATATGGGCGTGGGCACGCATGCAACCCCTCTCCCCCCTTCCTGGAACTCGATGGCAAAAAGGTTAGCTATCACTGGTATAGATCTACCAGCAGCTATTAGCAATAATAATCAAGAATGGCATTTCCATTTTCAGAAAATTAATATCCCTAAAATGGGCTTTTTATCGGACTGAGGTATCCCTTGAGATCAAGATGGCTCCCATACTGTTGGCCTCCCAGAGGGCCATATATACCCTATAAAACAGGGGTTCCCAACCGGGGGTGCGAGATGATATTCCATGGGGTGCAAAAACTTGGGTTTAGAAATTTCAAAATTATAGTGTATATGCATAATTACATGCATATAATTATTTACTTTTGTAAGGGATGCGAGAATATATCAGAAGCATATTAGGGGTGAGGCGGAATGGAAAAGGTTGGGAACCCCTGTTATAAAACAACCCATAAAGTTGCTTTCCCAGACCCTGGACTAGGGTGGCTTCAGCCCCTCTGTTGGATGTTAGATGTTGGTAGGATGGTCTGGGGTTTCTGCAAGGTTCACCATCTTGTTCTTTTTCACCCCTGCTTTTCCATTTTGTGGTCTCTTATTTGTATAGTTTTTCTATTGTTTGGTAAATTGTAAACTGCCTGAAGTCATTTGAAGTCAGGCAGCGTAAACTGAAACAAATAGATAAATAAATAAATAAATAGGGTTTTTTTAAAGTATAATTTCAATTTGTTTACTAACCCCTCAGTTCTAAACATAATAAATAGGAGGCAAGCTGCAGAACTTCACCTACCTGCTTGCCTGACTGGGAATTCCACTTGATCAGAAACAATGATTTGCAGCAGACTGGGAGCAAAGTTTATTATCTTGTAGGACTGAAAGGGATATAAAAGGTTAGTCAGCAAAGTACAGATAGCAGTCTTAAGGTACTTCAGTTATTAACAGAGAATTAAGCATCACTCTCCTATTGAAAAATAATTGAGTTAGACTCAACAAAGACTGTGTGGTTTTAAGATTAAGAAGCAATTCTGCTATCTTTTGCTGCGGAGGTCTCCAAAGCAGGTCAGGAATTTAATATCCAATCTGTTATCCGCAACACTTTTAATACTAAAACGTTCACTTGACATTGTCTGTTTTCATCTTATACAACAGGAATCAACAACCCAACCCTACATGTAGCCCTCATGCCAGGGGTGAAAAAATTCTAAATTTTTTTACTACCGGTTCTGTGGGCGTGGCTTATTTTGTGGGCGTGGCTTGATGGTCATGTGACAATTATTTAGGATTTAGCAGAGGTACTGGTCTACCAGGCTTTTAACTGCTTGCAGAGCTGTACTGATCTACCCATTTATTTTTTGCAGGCCCTGGTCTACCCATTTATTTTTGCAGGCACTGATCTACTCATGTATTTTTGCAGGCACTGGTCTACTCATTTGTTTTCTTTTAACACTGATCAGCTGTAGGGCGGCCCTTTGAAGCCCCGTGGCAAGAGTTTAAACAGAGAACCGGTTCAGTGACGTCGTATCGTCACCGCTCCGGCTCGGGAGAACCAGGCCGAACCGGGAGGAACCCACCACTGCCTCACGCGTCCCCACGGTAATGCCATTGAAATTCAGCAGCAGAATGGTTTAATGGATAAGGCACATGGCTGGTATGCTGGTTCATTAATAAAGAAAGGAGAAAAAGAGGGAGGCTACCAGGAAGCAAACTATTACAATTCCCACTCTTAAAATCCCCACTGACTCCCTCGTTTTCAGTCCAGTTTTGTCTCATTTTAAGGATGGGGGTTGGGAATGGTTCATCAGATCTTCTGCAAAGTTGGACACAGATGTCTCAGAGCTGCATGCAGAGCCACTTCACTTTGTTGGCTGGCCCACCAGATGTGCTTTCTACAACCAGGTGCAGATAATCTGGGCAGCCATAGGGAAAAAAACACACTGAGCCAAATGCATTTTGCAAAGTCCCCCTTTGAAAGTTCTGCTTCCGATGGTCACAAGAGGCCACTTTTGGAATGCATATAACCGTAGAGGGGGACAGAGGGAGTCATAAACTTAAAACTGCTATGGATTTAAAGTTTGTGTGTCTTCATTTATTTACTTTAGACAGCATGTAATTACTGGTATGTATATATAAGAGTTAACATGAAACGCTATGCTGATTTTATGTATTCAGATCCTAAGCCCCTAGAGAAGATCTTGGCTCAAAGACATCCAACAGAAATTCTGGATTGCCACTGTTCAGCAAAATATACTTTCTAACATTACAAAAATCAGTCCATGAGTGTTTTGCCAAGTACAAACTAAGCTAACTTTTTCTAAATGAAAACAAATGTAGTATATTAAAATGTAGAACTGTGGGATATTAAAATATCCTATGTTTTAGGGGGGGTCTCCTGCCTTCCAGTCAGTAGCAAATTCAAATGTTACTAGGTCTCTCACAGAATAGGCCAACCAGTTTTATTCTATTTTTTCTTCTTTATTTTCTATTTCATTATTATATACTTTTGAAAGAATGTAACAAATAGATGGCACAGATAAATCAGGTAGAAGTACTGAAATATGGGCAAGAAAATCTACAGTCTGACAAACAAAGAATTTAATTCTAATTGGAAACATTCCTGCATTACAATCTTATACATGGAATAGTGCCACATCCAAAATTTGGATGATAGCATTCATATGTTAATTTGATTCATAATTTATAGAACCAATGGCATACATTATTTACTACCTGTAAGTTTCTATAGCTATAAACAACTTTATAGATATAGAAACCAAGTTCAGCCAAGTTATTTTAGCTTAAAATTCAATAGGGAGACTGAATGTAAACTTTATACTATTTCAGTTTTAGTTTCAATTTATTCCTATGGGACAGAAGACCAATTTTATTGTAGAGGATATTTTACTATCTCATTCACCTTATCTTATTATAATCTAAATGTCTTGTGATGCAATGTGCTTAACAAATTGGGTTTAGAATATTATATTGTCTAACCAAGGCCCTTGTTTTTCCAGAAGACAATGAGACTGGCATTTCTTGGAGATGCTCAATTCAATTAATTCTTCAGGTTGCCATCATGCAAATTGCTCTGCAAAATGAAATTATGCATAATGGAAACCTAAAAGAAGTGTCAATGCATCAGCACTAGGTTCTCCTGGACAGCACCCCACGCAGACTACAAACTGAAGTTTTCTTTGAGTCAACCTTGACTCAAAGGTTGAGTGACTTGGGTTGAGTTGACCTGATGACTTCATGAACATGCAATTTTTATGACAACAATAGGAAAGTGATTAGCCATTATTTTTTAAGGGTTATGACCAGAACAGGTTAAAACAAATTCCAGTCTAATCTACAGCCCTGGAGTCATTCAAGAATCAACTAAGGTCTGACATTTTGATCTAAGACAAGGTTAGCGTAGAAGTGTAGATATTACTCCCTTTATATGCCACATAATATAGGCTGTGTGCAACTACATATACTATAACATGGAAAAGATGCTACTGTAATTTTAATAAGAGGCCAAACTTAAGAAAAAGAGAGGTTTAAAACAATACATTTCATTATTTAATTGATAAAACTAAACAATTGGAGCTGTAACATACTAAGGACACATTTCAGTCCATGCAGATATCTATCACACCTTTATATTAATTTAATGCTTCTACAGCATTACATATTCAGGACAATGTACATTTGAGGATAAATGCAGCCCTGTTTTCAAAGTGCAACCAGAAAGAAAGACAGAAGAAAGCCAAAAATATTTATCAATGTCTATAAAGGTGCAATTTGTCTCTTATTTGTCTCTTGAGAAACCAATATGTGGGTCAAGAAGCAACAGTGAGAACTGGACACGGAACCACTGATTGGCTCAAAATTGGGAAAGGAGTCCGGCAAGGCTGTATACTGTCTATTTAACTTATATGCAGAGCACATCATGAGAAAGGCAGGGCTAGATGAATCAAAAGTTGGAATTAAGATTGCCAGGAGAAATATCAACAACCTCAGATATGCAGATGATACCACTCTAATGGTAGAAAGTGAAGAGGAACTAAAGAGCCTCTTGATGCTGGGGAAGGAGAGTGCAAAACTAAGTTTTCTTAGTTAAGAAAACTAAGATCATGGCATCCGGCCCTCTCAATTCCTGGCAAATAGATGGGGAAGAAATGGAGGTAGTGACAGATTTTATTTTCCTAGGCTCCAAGATCACCACAGATGGGGACTGCAGCCTGTATCTTGCGCATGTGCGAATGGGGTTTTGCTCACTTGCACGACCAGTTCATGGTGGGCCACAGACCGCTGACAGTCTTCAGCTCAGGGATTGGGGACTCCTGTATCAAAGAGTAGAACTGAATCAAAGACCATAAATATTTGTGTCCCCCCCCCAAAAAAAAATGAGAAGGAAGTTGTAAATGCTATGACAAAGTTGAACCATTGTAAGGCTGGAGAAATTAACAGGTGAAATATTAAACTATGGGTGTGCCCAGTTTATGAAGTAGCTATGTGATATTGGATGTGCATGTGAGGCAGCTATATCAATAGAACAACAGAAAGGATGATGTTAAAGTTCCCTTATACAGTACAAAGACAAGAGTAAATGCAAAACTACCAGAGAATTAGTTTGTTAAGTATGCCTGGAAATAATGTTGCAAAGTTCTGATTGAAGGCTCCAAGAAAGATCGTATCAATGAACAAAATTTGGGAAATAGAGTTTTGCTTTATTTCAGGTCATTTTTTTTGTTTGTTTTTCAGTAGGTCATATATGAATGTGAGGGAAATAACTTGTTGATCATGTAAATAGATTTGAATTACGGAATGTTTTGCATGAATATGGAGATGGAGATTGTTGAATGTAATAATGGCAATGTATGATGAAAACAAACCAATTCCTGAGAATAAATGAAATGATTAGTGAATGGTTCAGCTCTAAGCAGAGAGTAAAGAAATGGATGGATGGATGATGTCCTCTTGGTGGTTTAATGCTTTTATAGATCAATATAGTGTGCTACCTAGTCTAACATATGCCAACGAAACATGGACACTAACTTCACAATGAATACAAAATCTATGAATGGTGCAGAGAGCCATGGAAAAATACATGCTTGGTACCACAAGACAAACTAGAAAGATCTGCACATGGATTAGAGAACGAATGAAAATATAGGATGCCCTCAAAAGAGTAAAAGAATTGAAATGGAAATGTGCTGGTCACATAGTAAGAAGCAGGTGGACTAAGGCAGTCATAAAATGGATTCCAGATGATAAAAAGCATCCACAAAAGAGGCCTAAAACAAGATAGAGTGATGACATCAGCAAGTATTGCTGGCCCAACTGGCAAAGGAAAGCTCAAGACCGTATTAGTTGGAAACATGCGGAAGAGACCTGTGTCCTGCCGTGGATAGGATAGGATAGGATAGGATAGGATAGGATAGGATAGGATAATAGGATAGGATAGGATAGGATAGGATAGGATAGGATAGGATAGGATAGGATAGGATAGGATAGGATGGAACGGAACAGAACAGAACAGAACAGAACAGAACAGAACAGAATTTTATTGGCCAAGTGTGATTGGACACACAAGGAATTGTCTTGGTGCACATGCTCTCAGTGTACATAAAAGATACGTTCATGAAGAATCATAAGGTATAACACTTAATGATAGTCATAGGGTACAAATAAGCAATCAAAACATATTAGGAAACAGTCAATATAAATTGTAAGGATACAAGCAATAAAGTTAGTCATACAGTCATAAGTGGGAGGAGATGGGTGATAGGAAGATTAATAGTAATAGTAAACTTAGTAAATAGTTTGACAGTGTTGAGGGAATTATTTGTTTAGCAGTGTGATGGCATTCGGGAAAAAACTGTTCTTGTGTCTAGTTGTTCTAGTGTGCAGTGCTCTATAGCATTGTTTTGAGGGTAGGAGATAGATCAAGATTTAAGAGAGATCTGTATACTTTTGTAAACAGACCATACCAAAGATGTTCGCTAAGAACATGAATGACTTACAGCGTATCACAGATTGCATGCTGCAATATGGACCTAAGTATTACTGGTTGAAAGACAAAGGTTTGAGAAAACGTAAGAGAAAATGAATGCAACACAAACAACAATAAGCTAGAGTAAATACATGCAATTGTGTACCTTGGTCGAATGTTTAACAAAGGCGGGAATGGCTTGAGAAATTTTAGTATGCTTAAATGGTGGCAGAAAGACAATGCATAGTATGTAATCTGCTGTGAGGAAGGGTTTCTTTTTTTAAAGAAATGAGAGTTGGGTAGTCAGGAGAAACAAACCTTGAATATAACGGAAATGCAGTGGGAACAGGAAGAAGCAGCGTATTTAGCACAATGAGTAAATCATACAGAAATGGGCAGCGAATAAATGAGAAATGAATACAGGAACTCATGACTGGCATGAGGCGGTTCTAGAAAGAGATGAACCCTGATCGAATATTAAGGAAGGAGGGAAAAGAAAGAAAGCTGCGGTGGATGGGAGCTGAATAAAACCCTGAAAATGTGGAAGGTAATAAGTTTAAAGAAGAAGAGGCGTCGTAGGCAGCAGAGGGAGAAATTGGGGGGCGAATCAGATTCAGCTGCTGCATACAAGTTTCTCTTTTTGTCTCATCTGGCGCCTCCGTTTCTTCAGCTTTTGAGTGTCTCCCGGTCCTTTTGTGCCCTTTTGCACAACGTGAAAGCGGCAAGGAAGATCTGGATGCGCCTGAAACACGGAACCCTAAACTAACTTGGATTCACACAACCTCCCTACGGGCTGTAGTAGGTTAGATGGGGAATAAGGCGGGCTTTCTCCACCACCGAGGCGTCGGCAAAGAAGCAATGACAGGCGCTCCGTCGGAAGGAGACGAGGCTGCCGGGCGGAAAGGGCGGCGGCGGCGGCGGATCTAGAACCGAGAGACCCTCCGGGGCGAAGGGAGACCCTTTCACACATACACACACACACACACACCGACGCCCCGGTCGAGGCCCAAGCAGCCCATCCGCGGACTTACCTGGTTGAGCTCATTCTCGGCCGCCAGGCGCAGCTTGGGGTCGATGGTGCCTTTGAGCGCCTGGATAATTCGGTTGGGATCCATGATCTCTCAGCGCCTCAACGGGAAAGGCAGCGGCCGCCGCGCACGCTCGCCGGCTCCCTCCTTTCTCCCCTTTGGCTACACAGGAGCCATTCACCGGTTTACGACAGCCGAACTGTCGCGAAGACGAAGCTTTGCGGCTTCCGCGCGCCCACCTCCCCACCCAACCCAAACCCCCACCTCGCCGTTCTCGCGGCGCCCGTACGTCGGCCGCCATGTTGCTGTACGGAAAAAAAAAAATTGGGCGGCCGGTGCGGGGATTGCTCGCTGTGGTAGAGAGGGAGGGAGGATCGTAATTCCCTGCAGGGAAACCGGAGGCTCAGGCTTTCCTCTTATCTCGTCTTTTCCTATACGGATAATTCTCGACTTACAATTCATTTATTGACCGTTCAAAGTGACAAAGGCAGTGAAAAAAGTGACTCAGGACCGTTTCACACGCTCACCTGTGTGGCATCCCCAGGATCAGGTGATCAAAATTCAGAAGCCGGGCAACGGACTCGTGCTTACGACGGTCGCTGTCCCAAGTACACAAGATCACCTTTTGCCAAGCAAAATCAATAAGGGGAAGATTCACCTAACAGCTGCGATGATTCACATAACTCTTGGCAAGAAAGGTCGTAAAATGGGGCAAAACTTAAAATGTGTCACCTAACAAATTTGGACTCAATTATGGTCGTAAATTGAGGACTACCTGTAAATTTCTATCGAATTAGAAAAATGATCTCTAGAATTAGAAAAACAATCGGGAGATTTTATATATATATGAATATGAATATGCACACCCTGTAAATAGCCAATGGGAGAAATTCCCAGGAAGGCTGATTATATTTAATCGGGATATATATAATCAGCCTTCCTGGGAATTTCTCCCATTGGCTATTTACAGGATGTGCATATTCATTTTATTCCAATTAACAATAATCAGATGTTTCACTTTTTGAGGGGGTTTTGTAAATTTGCTAAATGGAAGTCCCCTTCGTTCCCAAACTCCCGTATGTTATTCTACATTGGCTGAAATATGTTAGAAGCCACAGTTGGCTTGAAAGTCATGAGTTTTCCTTTGTAACTCATTGAATTGGATTGTGATACTGGACCAAGTGGGATGCTGGCTCAGCATACTTTTAACATTTTTATTCTTTTCCTGAAGAAGCGGAATACCTTAGCTAATTTGCAGCTGATGGAAAACAAGAGAGGGTAGCTAACATTAGAAAACATAAAATCAATAACTTACTAAAGTACTAAATGTAACAAGACAAATGCAAAATTCTTTTAGAAAATTGAAAACAAATACAGATATAGGATGGGGAACAATAAACAGCATGTATGTTGAGTAAAGGATTAATTTTCACCATCTAAGGTGGCTAAGACCTAAATTTACAGATTTCTTGAATTGTTCATATGCTATGTAACTGATACCTAGTTTTCATATTACCTAAATAAAAACACGATGAGACACTTATTGAAATGATTTTAAGCATTTAATTCTGGCACTGAAATCTGCACAAAAAAACCCTATAATATGTTCTGCATAAAATACAGGATCCTGGTGCATTCAGCATCCACACAAACATGTAGCAACCATGCTCAGCAACATTATCCCTGACATGAGTTTGAATGTTTCCAGTATTCTAGAGAGAGAGATCAGGAAGCCTCTTTATGTTCAACATATCATTCAGTTTAAAAGTATCTGGCCCTTTGGATGTTCTCAATCTTTTTAGCTCGGATCGTTTGGCTCAGTTTAACTTGTATCAGAGCTACAGATCCTACTGATATATAATCTAAATGAACAAAGAACATCAAAGTTTGGTGCTTGTTTCCTTTATTTCATAAACAAATCAACCCATGTGTAACAGTATGAGAAAATCATGCCCTCAACCGAAGGGCATAATTATGGCTAATGATCAGGGCCCCACATCACTGATGTTCACACCACAAAAATTCTAAGGCACATCCCTCTCACCTCAGAAGAAATTTCTGAAGACATCTGTAAAACATGGGTGATACCCATTTGCCAGAAAAGGCTACAAAACCATTTTAATCCTCTGAAGCTTCACCAGAGACAATCTTGCAACTAAGATCAATTGAGATCATTGTAAATCTTCAAAAAAAAAAAAAAAGTGGCTCTCATCACTTTGAGTATAGAATAGAACTGGCTAGGAAATCACAAAGAACCCTAGAATGCCATCCAAGGATCTGGGCATATTTTGATCGGTACCATTAGAAAAGCACTGTGTAAAACAGAGTAGTGAGAAAGAAGCCATAGATATTTAAATTTTGCCAAACAGCTGGATGAATCTCCAGACTCCTGCAGAAATGTTCTATGGGCAAAATAAAGGTGGAACTTTTCAAGTCACACAGGTTCAATTAGAACTGGTGGAAGCCAAACACTGCATTCCACAATAAGAACCTCATACCAATTATCAAACACAGGCATGGGTAATGTCATAGTTTGGAGATACTTTGCTGCTTCAACCTCTGGATGACTTGGTATCATTGAATAAAGCATGAATTCTACTTTTAATAATTCCTCAGAACAGTATCAGGCCATCTTTCTGACAGCTAAAGTTGAGGTGAAGTTGTTCATGCAGCAACAGAACGATCCCAAACATACAAGCAAATCTGCAAGAGAATGGATAAAGAAAAACAAACTCAGTGTTCTTGAGTTGCTAAATCAAAGTTTAGGCCTGCAGCAGTTCCACCAGAATATCCTAGAATGCTATCGAATTAAAACAATACACCATGGAGGAATTGGCCAAAATTCCTGCACAGCAATATGAGGTTGATCTCCAATTACAGGAAGCATTTGTTAAAAACGCTATTGCAGCTAAATGCGATGCAACAAGTTACTGAAGGAAGCCAACCACATTTTCAGTGACAAACTGCAGATTGAACGGTTTTGGGAAGTAAATGAAACAAGTGCTTAACTTTTAAATTTCTTCATTCATTTTGTTTATCAGATGGATCCATGTGAAGCCCTGATCATATTCAATTGCAAAAGAAAGCAAACATTCAGAACATCCAAAAGGGGCCAGATACAGTTCCATACAGCTAGAATTCAGGAATAACTTTTGTGGATTTGCTAGTTGCAAGATTTTATCAATAGGATTGCTAATAACAGAAAACTGCTTGCAGGAAAGTTACTATATAAAAATATAACCCAACTGTTTAAAAAAATTGCACCGTAAACAGGCAAGTTTCAGATGTGTTTCTTTTTACTTTCAGTAAGTCAGACAAATATAGCTTTAATATTCTTTAACCTGTTTGTTTTTTTTTAAAAAAGGGTAACACACAAAGCAAGTTTAAAATGTTTTATTACCTCACCATATTGAGATGTTTGCAAGCTTTTCAATACCGCACACATTCACAAAAAGATCTGGAGGTGCCTTCAGGACATAAGCCAACTGAATCCTTTGATGAAGAGAGAGAAAAGGCTAGAGCTTGTGATGGAAGCTTCACAAATAATTCACCTAACATAATTGTCATTTGGAAAAATAGGAGGGCCTTTTAGAATTTATAAAATGCTGAGTCAAATTAAATGGGAACTTTAGAAAGAGAGAGAGAAAGAGGGAGAGAGAGAGAGAGAAGCACTTTCTAGATGGTTAGTAGTTGTTCTTGTACACCAATACCAGGAATGTAAAATAAAACAGAACCAAAGTTGTAGAGAAAAGTTGGAGAACGCAGAGGAGAATTTACCATCTCCGCTTACAGGTATTCTTCCAATCTGCTCTTCGGGTATTTTCAAATAAAGTCCTCAAATGTGATTATCTCCAGAGTGGTTCCATGGTGATGCTATAGTGCAGATCTTGAAGCCTTTAGTCTTCAGATGTCCAAGGGCAACAGTTCCTAACAAATACCTTGAGTGACACAGCCACTCATTTCCAACAACAGAGTTTTATAACAAAGGTGTAAAATCTGAAGCAAAGTGACCAATATAACTAGTGGTTTAATAAAATAAGATGCAACGTTCCTGCTTGGGTAAAGGTTTACCATCTTCCCCATTTATTTAATTATCTGTAGGTTATTTTTCTGCTGTAGCGTTGGCATCAAAACTAGAAGGGACAATGACTCAAGATTTCCAACTTTTGGGGCTTATGGACACATTTAGAGCTTGAGGAACATCTTATGGTCTCACACCATGGTTAATATGGACAGTCACAGTGCCCATTTATATGGTGGCTTGCCCCATTTCTATCACCTTAACTTACCTTTTTTTCCCCCAGGCAGTAAAGTATAGCTTTAAGCCCTGAACTACTGCCAGATAAATACAAGGCCAGAAGCAGTTTTAGAAACGATGATGCTTGCAGCTGATGTTTTGCTATGTGGGTGCTAGTTTCCCAATCCTGGAAATCAAGAGATGTTCCCGCAGCTGTTGTGTTGAGAACTCAAATTTTCTACATAATTACATAAATACGAAATGAATCTTAGTCTCAATATTCCACTTGCTTTCAATGTTTAAAAAATAAAAATGATGTTGTGTTGCAGATTGGGGGGATGTTCCATCTAATTTTTAATAGTAATTCTCCAGGGAATGCCATCATATTTCTTCCTCCTACCAGAAGATTTGGGAGGATTAAATCTGCAACTTTTCACATACAAGGAACATGCTTCCTAACTGGGTGTGGATCTGTTTTCCTTTTCCAGTGGAATCTTATTTTATTTATTTATAAACTTATATGGCCACCTATCTTATATGTGATAACCCTTGCAGCTTAAAATAATGTCCAATTAAAAACAGAATGAAATCTAGTCAATTGAACCTCACAACACCACATTAACTCAATCACAGCACTATCCCACTAGCTTTAAATTCACACTTTTATTTATTCAGTTCTATCCTAGCATAATGCCCGGATGAACAAGCCAAGTCTTAATAGCCCTCCAGAAAGTTAATTATGACCCAGAATTATCACAGTAGCACAGACACTGATACTAAGGCATATTAATTTTTTTTTTATTTAGGCACAAGGCGTTGCGAATAGCCTAAACTTGAGGCAAATTTGAGTAGCATAGTAAGCTAATAAATTACAGTTCAAGAGTAAGTGCAAACATAACATTCAGAGCTTTACTATCAAGGCTATATCACAACTGATAAAGTGCCACATCAGTGCTGATCCAACTCCAACTCATTGTAAAACAGATCACCATTTTCCCACTTTAGTATTCAGTATGCAGTGTGAAACTAGCCCACCAGTTTTCACCTTCCTTCACCAAACCGTTGGAGCAGCTTAATGTTCAGTCTTGATACAGGAGATATCCTGAGAAGGTAGAATATTTCCAACTACTTCCGTAAATAGCTCCTCTATGAAGGCGTAGCCAAATCTGGTCTCCTTGAAAGAGCTGGAGGACTGCATGGTTGCTTGCAGTCTCATGATCTGGAGCACCATCATTGGCATACGCGGAGACTAAAACCTCTTCATTTTTCATGAGGTTCACGTATAATGGTACATTCACAGCTAGCTTCAACATATGGAATATGAATACATAAGTACCATTAACAGGACAATTGAACCTACCAAGTTGTATATCAAAGGTTTCGCCAAGATTGTTTAACAAGAGGTCAAACACGATGGGTTGATCTAAAGTTCCAGGAGCCAAGTTAGAAGTTCTAGCAGCAGAAAAGGCAACTCTCATCTGCTGTGGGAGGGGATAGACGTGTACAGGTAGTAGGGTGGCTGCTTGGCTTGTCACAGGTATATCGACAGGAGTGATGCTGCGGGAATCACCCTGCCCAGTCTCCCCACTGTTAAACATCTCATTGTCACGCTCTGGGCTGCTCACCTGAGAAGAATCGTTCCATCCTGCTGTTGGAGATCATGAGCAATTGTTAGTTCTGATATAACCATTAAGAAATCCATTTTTAGAAGTCTTCAAAGTTCAGTTTGCCAAGATTTATAGAGTAGATCAGCCTTCCCCAGCTGAGCATCTCCAATTCTGTTGGAACTACAATTCCCCATATTAGCCACAGTCATAATATGGATGGCATCATGTATAAGAAAGCTCATCTAGACAAGTGCCAGTTACTGGTTCATCCCTAGTTTTTACAAATTTGTGTTTTTCAAATTGTGAAAAGAGGACATACAGTTTCACAAATGAATAATTTGGGTTTTTTTAAGGCTGAGAGACATACCACTGTGTTACCTCTGGTTTTAACAGTTAATTAACAAGTATAACCATGACTTGAGAATATCCTTCAGTTTACTAGGTTGTTTTATTTTCCCTGACTTCCAATTTTGACTATGCTTCCTGCCCCAATATTTGTTGAAATTTTAGGAAGTCTTCTCTGCCATTTTAAATGACAAAATTAGCCACTTTTGAGTGGCTCTTACTTTACTTATTAGTCCCTTGTGGATCCAGGCTCTTAGAGTAGTATTATTTCATTAAAAACAACTCAAGTAACTATGCTCCAATCCAGCATGTTTAAATTAGAAACAGGTTTTTCAGCCTTCACTCTCTAAAAGTTGAGTAGAGGTGATATATGTATTGAACATATTTCTGCAATGGGTTCAGCATTGAAATAATTTAAATCTATTTTAGACACCAGACTTAAATACATCTGCAGTATCTTTAATACCATGTTGAGAAATATAAATTTGCCATTAAGAAATTTTTGTATAGTTATATTATATTCCCCAAACTGTTGTTCTGTAAATGCTCGGGGAATTCTGGAAGTTATCATCCAAAACATACTTGGAGGATACTATGTTGGAGACAGCTAGAATATTATGAGTTATTAAATTTGATTTCCAGAACTACTTCACGTTATATGATGCTCTTCAAATTAAAGCTTAATTCTCACAACTTTTGACCATGAAAACAGAAACTGAACTGTTTACTCCAAATTACTACAACCCATTGGCTTACATAACAGAATGCCTAAAAACCCATAGATAGAATTGCAATGTTATATGTATTTACATTTTATCATGAATGTATACTGGCTGCTTACTCACTCAACTAACCATAGCTGCTTAAATATTATATTATACAATAGGAAATATATTTTGTAAGGATGTATTGCTCTTACTTCCAAGAAAAGACACATCTTTAAAAATGTGTTTTTATTTAGTGTAGAAAACCAAGTTACCAATCTGTCAACTATATTGTTAATCAGCACTAACTGAATTGGTGCATTTTGGCAACTACAAGATTGTTTTCAGACTCTGCTTCTTTCTCATTTTTCTCAGTTTTTCTCAATTCCCTTCTTCTGAAGTATTTTTTACCACGTGTTCTACCTCGAGCTCTACCTGCTGAGCAGTTTTCTTCCTGTCTGTTTTCTTGCCTGTAACCTAAAACATAGAAGCTTTAAGGATTTTATATAAAGTTGATATGGCTAAACTGGAATTAAATATTTTCTTCAATAGCCTGAAAATAAGGACTGTTTTATAGTCTCCAATACAGATGAGCAAAATGTTCTGTGCCTGCAATCGCTGATTTCAGGTTGTCTGAATCCAAATGGATCCTTTTTAAGTGTTTGCATTCAAACATTGAATAAAATGGCTCAATTTGTTCCAGGCACAGAACAAAATGTAGATGTCAATCTGGGCAGAAGTGGTTCAGAGGAAGAGAAGAGCAGAAAAAGTTAAGAACATCAGTCATCCCTGTTGAGGAAACGTGGGGATGGACATTTTCCTTCCTGCTCTAATGAAAAGAACCTTTGCAAAAGTTTTAAATTCCCAGCAGTTATTAACTGTTCAAAATCAGCACCTATGTATGCAATTACTGTAAATTGTTAACAGCACTGAATGGGTAGTGATTCCTTCAGAAGCACCTCAGATTCCTTTCCAGGCATATATCAGATAAAAGTGCCTAAGAACATGAAGTCTGTACTTGACTGTTTAGGCAACAATACACGTAAATCCATAGTGTGCTGGAATGATTAATCATAGTGGAATGCAACCTGAGCACTGCAGCATGACTTAACAGACACTAACATTTTAAATCATGTTAAAAGTAAAAGTAAACTTACCTCTTGAATTAGTTCGGCCACTATTAATACCTCCTCGCTTATAGTTTGGTTGGTAATTCATATCCTAGAAAATAAATATTTAGTGTTTAGTGAATTTAGTGAAGGGCAACCACATCATTCTTACCGTCACTTGAATTTTTCATGTCATCATTAGTGGGATAGTAGAGTGGGAGGGAACTGTGCTATGTCCTGCATCAAACGTTTGTTGATACCTGGCAAATATCTGGAATCCAATATCCTTAATTAGCACTAGTTTAATTAGGATATATCATATGCCTGTAAATGTTAAACTACAGCCAATTCTTGCTCTGATTTTCCAGCATACGTAATTGATGGGGTTATTTTCAAATATATTATTCATAAGAAAGACTGTCTGATATTCAAATAGGCAAAGTGAACAAATTTCAGAGATATAAACCCCAAATTAAAATTTATCAATAGGTTATGACATACAAACCAGGTGTAAACTATGATATATTAATCATTATTTATTTATGCTCCATTTATTTTCTCTAGATAGCACTTACTGTTAGCCATACTAAATTACTAGCCACAGCATGCTGTCAGGTTTTATGAAGCATCCCTCATGTCGAATTAATGCTTGATTTTGACTTTTGCACAGAACATAGAATGCCAAATTATAGTAAAGTGATCTGTAACAAAGCTTGTCAAGTCATTACCCTCTGAGAATACTGCATTGAAGAGTAATCTCTGCCAGGAAGCTGTAATTGGCTATAGGTTCCATTAGGGATTGAAGGTGATCCTCTGTAAGGTTCAAAACCTGCTGGAATAAAACATTGTTTGGTGTGTGAAACAGTTCATATTTCCATTAAATACTAAAAATGTGTCTTTCTCTACTGGTGTATTAAAAGAACTGTAATACTCTGCACCAGAGGTGAAATACTCCCGGTTCGGACTGGATCGCCTGATCCGGTAGCGATGGCAGCGGGTGGTTCGGAAAACCGGTAGCAAAAATCTCTGTGTCCCTCCCCCATGCCCAGCTGAGTCCCGTGATCATCAGAGGCTTTTTTTTTTTAACTTTTAAAAGCATTTTTTCTACAACCTCTTCGGCTGAAAAAACGCATTTAAAAGTTAAAAAAAAAAGCCTCTGATGATGGTGCGGCTCAACTGGGATCTTCAGAGGCTTTTAAAAGCATTTTTTTCTGCAACCTCTTCGGCGTAAGAGGTTGTAGGGAAAAAAATGTTTTTAAAAGCCTCTGACGATCCTAGCTGAGTTACCTAATCGGCAGAACCTTTTAAAAGCATTTTTTAAGAACCCCTTGACCAAAGAGGTTGTAGAAAAAATGCTTTTAAAAGTAAAAAAAAAAGTTGGCCATGCCCACCCAGTCACATTACATCCCCCCACCATGCCACGCCCACAGAACCGGTAGTAACAAATTTTACATTTCACCACTGCTCTGCACCTTGTGTCATAAAAAAGGAACAGACCCAATTTGTTGTCAAAGAGGAAGTGAGCAAAATTTTGAATATTCAGTAACTTAACTATCTTTATATAATAACCATGCATAAAAAGATAGTCAACTCTTCCAAGGACAGGGAAGTCAATGTCTAAGATGCTCTTTAGCAACCAGCATCCTTAGCATTTCACTTTGGTATCTGACTTCAAAATTTGAGCATGCTAGACTGGGTCCTTTTTATGTGATTAAATTGATAATTCAAATATTCTTTGAACAATATTTCTTCAAGAATCCAGATACATATTATTTTTTTGCTTTATCCTTCTTCTGAGATGGGTGGCCATATACAATAGAGAGAAAAAGATTGGGGGGGAGATGGATAGATAGATAGATAGATAGATAGATAGATAGATAGATAGATAGATATCAGTTGTGATGGAAGGAGTTTTGGCAACACAGAGCTTTCCCAGATTAAGAGACTGCGATCCTGAGTTTAGTTGGGGCAAGAGAAAGGTTCAGGGTGGATTTACCCTGGAATCTCTCAAGATATATCTAGTAGGTTAGAAGATTATAGTTTTAGTTTGGCAAGATTCTGTCCATTAAGTGTAAGCAAATAAAGGATTGGATTGGGTTGGATTTTGTTGTCATCCTTGATCTTGGACCTGAAACCAGGGGATACTCTGATCATAAATACTACCCATTCAGTGCAAGTTGTAAGTTGAAAAAAATCCTAAATGTGTGGTTGCTAAACACATATATAGGCCAAAAGCTTGCTGGAATAGTACAGGCTTGTGAATAAGATTTGAAAACACCCATACTTCTGGGAGGTGAGATTAGGTTCATCACTAAGAATCTGTCACCCGGATTACACTGAGTGAATTCAGATCTAGAGAGATGCATAATAATGATATGCATAATGATATGCAGATGCATAATCTGCAGCCTATTAGGGTGCAGCCTCCTATATTCCCCCTATCTATTGGTTGTCAGCAAGAATTCCAAATAACCACTATATATCTATGAGACTCTCATAGGTGAGAATATATGCATGCATGAGGTGGTGGATGAAAGTCTCAATATACATGGGAGAACATGAGCGCATGGGAGAATAATTTGTTGCTCGCACATTTATTGAGTTATTTTAAATCTGAGCATCAGTGTAAATGCATAAGAAGAGAGTCACTCAGGGTATACAGGTGAAACTCGAAAAATTAGAATATCGTGCAAAAGTTCATTTATTTCAGTAATGCAATTTAAAAGGTGAAACTAATATATGAGATAGACTCATTACATGCAAAGCGAGATAGTTCAAGCCTTGATTTGTCATAATTTTGATGATTATGGCTTACAGCTCATGAAAACCCCAAATTCACAATCTCAGAAAATTAGAATATTACATGAAATCAATAAAACAAGGATTGTACATTGAACAATATCGGACCTCTGAAAAGTATAAGCATACATATGTACTCAGTACTTGGTTTGGGCCCCTTTTCCATCAATTACTGCCTCAATTACGCCCAATTACTGTGGCGTGGCATGGATGCTATCAGCCTGTGGCACTGCTGAGGTGTTATGGAAGACCAGGATGCTTCAATAGCGGCCTTCAGCTCTTCTGCATTGTTCGGTCTCATGTCTCTCATCTTTCTCTTGGCAATGCCCCATAGATTCTCTATTGGGTTCAGGTCAGGCGAGTTTGCTGGCCAATCAAGCACAGTAATCCCATGATCATTGAACCAGGTTTTGGTACTTTTGGCAGTGTGGGCAGGTGCCAAGTCCTGCTGGAAAATGAAGTCAGCATCCCCATAAAGCTCGTCTGTGGAACGAAGCATGAAGTGCTCCAATATCTCCTGGTAGACAGCTGCGTTGACCCTGGATTTAATGAAGCACAGTGGACCAACACCAGCAGATGAAATGGCTCCCCAAATCAACACAGACTATGGAAACTTCACACTGGACTTCAAGCATCTTGCAGTGTGTGCCTCTCCATTCTTCCTCCAGACTCTGAGTCCTTGGTTTCCAAATGAGATGCAAAAGTTGTTCTCATCAGAAAAGAGGACTTTGGACCACTGAGCAACAGACTGGTTCTTTTTTTCTTTAGCCCAAGTAAGATGCTTCTGACGCTGTTTGTTGTTCAGGAGTGGCTTGACAAGAGGAATATGACATTTGAAGCCCATGTCCAGGATCCGTCTGTGTGTGGTGGCTCTTGATGCACTGACTCCAGCCTCAGTCCACTCCTTGCAACAGTCCCCAACACTTTTGAATGGCCTTTTCCTGACAATCCTCTCCAGGTGCGGTCATCCCTGCTGCTTGTGCACCTTTTTCTTCCACACTTTTCCCTTCCACATAACTTTCTATTAATGTGCTTTGATACAGCACTTTGGGAACATCCAACTTCTTTTGCAATTACCTTTTGAGGCTTTCCCTCCTTATGGAGGGTGTCAATGATGGTTTTCTGCACAACTGTCAGGTCAGCAGTCTTTCCCATGATTGTGATTCCTACTGAACCAGACTGAGAGACCATTTAAAGGCTCAGGAACCCTTTGCAGGTGTTTTGGCTTAATTAGCTGAGTAGAGTGGGACACTTTTGAGCCTAGAATATTGAACCTTTTCACAATATTCTAATTTTCTGAGAATTGTGAATTTGGGGTTTTCATGAGCTGTAAGCCATAATCATCAAAAGTATGACAAATCAAGGCTTAAACTATCTCGCTTTGCATATAACGAGTCTACTTCATGTATTAGTTTCACCTTTTAAGTTGCATTACTGAAATAAATGAACTTTTGCACGATATTCTAATTTTTTGAGTTTCACCTGTACTTAACTGTCAAATAATTGACATACAATTAACACCTGAAACAATATTTATATATTGTGTTATATATAACCTAATTCAAGTATGTATGTCATGCCCCTTTCCGCAGTGTGCCCTTGACATGCTATTCAGAGTGGTACCCTGTTTCCCTGAAAATAAGACCCAACCAGAAAACAAGTGCTAGCATGATTTTTCAGGATGCTTATAATCTAAGCCCTACCCCCCACCCCACCTCAAAATAAGCCACAGTTAAGACTGTCAGTCAGATGGGTGCATTTAGTACCGTATTTCCCCCAAAATAAGACCTAACCAGAAAATAAGCCCTAATGCATCTTTTGGAGCAAAAATTAATATAAGATCCGGTCTTATTTTCGGGGAAACATGGTATTGTCCTTGGTCCAATAAGAATTGTATTTCATATTCTACAATGTTAAGTCCGTAGAATCTCAATTACAGTTAATGATCATTCTTTCAGGATTCATTTCTGAATAGGGTTAGAAATAGGTCTGCATCAAAACATACATCAACATTTTCATAGAACTGGAACTTACCTTTATATCCACCAGGAGAGCGATAGGAATTATTCATCGATCTTACACCCCTGAGAGAACCTCTGATAGATCCACGGTTTCCAATAAAAGGCTGTGATGGTCTAGGAAAAGTGGCTGTCTGTGCTGCATAAAAAGTGAGGGTACCATTGCTGACAGGAACAGCTCCCTCAGCCTGGCAAGTACCTGCTTAAAATAAGAAGTACACATCTTACATACTCCTGTAAGCTACTGCAAAGGAAAAGGATGTGATTCCTGACCTTTTCCCTCAACCTTTATTATTCATTATTTGCACTCTGCTTGTAACATACAGGAATATCACCTTGTTACTGTTAATAACCGTTTAAAAATAGATGAATTTGTTGAATTTAAGACTTCATTAAGTAGTTGGAACTTAACATAAACTATCCAGTCTTAGCAGTATTAAGACAGATAATGATAAGTTTAAATGTACTTAACACTTCTTGCTACGAAACAAAACAATATATTAAAATAAGACATTAAGAAAACAAATTTGGCAATTTAAGTTTTCTTGCCATTCATCTCGTCAAAATGGGTATGATCCACTCTCTATTTGTTACTAATTACTAAAGAACTAATTCAACATTCTGTTTCCCCACAGTAGAAAAGAGTACAAGGTACTCAAAAGCAACATTCATCTCAAAAGTGGGCATTTCCATTTGGAAACATGCAAAAGCTGTCCAGAACATTTACCTCCCAAAAAAGAATATTCTACTATAGGTTCCCAACTAATGGAATGGAGAAAATGGACACTTTTATAGTTTTGCAACAAAGTTACTAATCTCTCTCCTTGCCCATATAATCATAGCAGACAAAATAAAAACCTTTCATTGGAATGCATGGTCTGCAAAAAGTAAAATCCCAGCATGGGGTGGGAGTGTGGGGGAAAAATGTAGAAATGATAAAAAGAAGATGCCATGGTAGGTTAAGATTGCTATACAGTAAAAACTCCGACATGTCTCCAATTATACTCCCACGGGAAGTATAAGTGAGATTACAGGGAAGGAGGTGGAAGCTGAACATTTTCTAGCATTTTAGATGTAGGTGGAGATTGGAGGACATAAGGGAGGACTGAAAAAATCAGAACAGTCTGGCCAGGTTGGATGAATCAGCTGAGAAATAAACCTCCTTCAAGAAGTCAAATCAAATGAAAACAATTTACAGTTCTGTAATAGAAATGCTTCCAATTTTCAGTGGTCATTATGTTTACCCTCTTGACTTATTATTAAAATTTTAATTAAAATAATTAAAATTATTTTCATGGGAGATATATACCAGTGTGTATGTGTTTGAATAATTTGTTGCTTGCACATTTATTAAATTATTTTAAATCTTAGCATCAGTGTAAATGCATGGAAAGAGAGTCACCCTGAGGGTATACTTAATTGTCAAATAATTGACATATATTTGACACCTGAAACAATATTTATATATTGTGTTATATATAATCTAATTCAAATATGTATGTTGTGCCCCTTTCTGCAGTGTGCCCTTGACATGCTATTCAGAATGATACCCTGTTTCCCCAAAAATAAGACCCAACTGGAAAATAAGGCTTAGCATGATTTTTCAAGATGCTCATAATATAATCCCTACCCCAAAAATAAGCCCCAGTTAAGATCGTCAACCAGATGGAGGCGTTTAGTACTGTATTTTCCCCAAAATAAGACCTAACCGGAAAATAAGCCATAATGCGTCTTTTGGAACAAAAATTAATTTAAGACCCGGCCTTATTTTGGTGAAAACACGGTGTATGTATGTATGTTTGTATGTATGTATGTATGTATGTACCGTGTTTCCCCGAAAATAAGACCCTGTCTTATATTTTTTTGAACGCTGAAATAAGCGCTTGGCCTTATTGCCATGCGCTCAAAAGCCCGACTGGGCTTATTATCAGATGTCGTCTTATTTTGGGGGGAAACAGGGTAGGTATGTATATGTATACACATACATACATACATACACACACACACACACCTTAGATGATCGTGGGACTTTCCACTATTGGGGTAAAAAAAAATATGGTCAGCTTAAAATTTAACATTCATTCTGGTCACATCAGACTGCACTACCTTTTCAAAGGATGGCTCCATGAGTAAAAGGTTTTCTAATAGAACTAAAAAACCAAATATGACGACAAGTTTTTCTGTCATTTTTAAAGTAATGTGCATTAAATATTATGGAATGTTCAAAATGAGTTTAGAATCATCTCTGGCATTATCAGTTCAGTTACTGATTTGCACTGAAATTCTTACCATTTGAAAGAGACTCTTGTGAAAAAGTTGTTTGTTCCGCATTTTGTGTGGATGCTAATTTACATGGGGGTGGCGTCTGTGTGCTGGCTGTTGAAAAATTCTGATTGTATCCTGTGGAATGCAGAGAATTCTCTTTCGCATCCTGCTCTCTACGAGGTGGCAAAGGTGCATTCACTTTGAACACCTACAAAAGAAGACATGTTATGAACTATGTTGGCCTAAAGCAGCAGCTTTTAGTGCTCCAAATCAAACAGATATAATTCATAGGGGAAATTGAAATGTTAATAATTTGCTATGGACAAATGAAAAAGAGATTTTATAACTTCCAGGAAGTCTCGTGTCTAGCTTGCACATTTTTTTCTTTGCAATGTTTAATTTCATCTAGGGTTATATGTTGGGATTTCTAATTTACTAACATTCTAATTTCTAAAATGAAACATTGTGAAAAATAGATTACAGGTAGTTCCTGACTTATGATTATAATTGAGCCCAGAATTATGGTTGTACATTGCGGAGGTCATTAAGCAGGTTATTACATAACTGTGGCCGATTTTACTTTTTTTCTGGCAGTCATTAAATGAACATGGTCATTAAACAAATCAATTATACCCAATTGGCGATTTTGGCCAGAAATTGGAAGTAATAATTGAAACGGGGGGGGGGGGGGACCAAAAATCAGTCATGTGACTGCAAGATGCTGCAAATGGCTATAAATTCAAGCCAGTAAGGGGGGAACACCATAACTTTGAATGGCTGTTAAGCGAAGATTATCTGAAATGTCTATTCAACAAAATGTAGTTTTGTTGTCTTATATCTTATATGAAGACCATCTGTTCTTTGTAAAGGAGCTGCCAAAAAAAAAAAATGTGGCCAATATTTTGTTATGTTGTCAAACATCTAATTATATTATACTTACAGTCTGCATAGCCTGAAAAGGAGGTGCTTTTACATTAACAGCACTGCTACTTGATGGAGGAGATTGAAAAACGTTCCCCTGATGTACTGGTGACACGGTATTTCTTGAGGGTGTCAGTGGTGTCTGTGATTCACTTGAAAGTGGAGTAGGAACCTTGACGAGAGGAAGCAGAGTGAAACAGGTTAGGTTGTTAAAACTCTAAATCAGGGGTGTCAAACTCGAGGTGTCACGTCATCACATGACATATCTTGACTTTTCCCCCATTCGCTAAAACAGGGATGGGCATGGCCAGATTGTAGCGCATCTGGCCCGCGGGCTGTAAATTTGACACCCCTGCTCTAAATGATCAAACATTAGCAGTTTCTGCAAGCCAACAGTTATATTTATCTTCAATAACCTACATTATTCTAAATATTTGGAAGGATTCTCTGAAACAAAGATATGTAAAAGTAAAAAGAGCAAAAAAGAGCAGTTTTTCTCTTAATTCCTATTCTTAATGTATTTTTTTTAAGCAGAATAATTACAGTCTTTTATGACATAAACTGCTCAGTAATTTCTTGAGTTATGTTACACAAAGATCACAAGTAATCCTCAACTTACAACTATTTGTTCAGTGAAGTTACTACAGCACTGAAAAAGCCTGACTTACAACTAGTCCTCACATTTACGACCATCACAACATCCTCCCAGATCAAAATTTGGCCACTTGGCAACTAGCATGTTATGATGGTTGCAGCATCCCAGAATCATGTGATCATCATCTGCAACCTTCCCAGCCAGCTTCTAAGAAGCAGTCAATGGAGTAAGTTGAATTCACTTAAAGAGGGTATGATTCACTTAACTGTTGCAAAAGAGGTAGTAAAATTGGGCGCAACTCACTTAACAACCACCTTACCTAGTAATGGAAATTTTGGTCCCAATTGTGGCCATAGGTTGAGGACTAGCTGTATTGGAAATTGAAATTATGAAGAGAAGAATATGGAACAGAAGTCTGGAGAAACCATTTTAAAGGTGTTAAGTTGCACTCAGTGGCCAAGGTAAATATGGTCTTCCTTAAAAGATTGATGGAGGTAATTTCTAGAGAAGGCTCATTTCAAGATATAACCAAGGTAAAATGGATTCGACCAGAAGTGTTGCGGCGAGACAGACAGGGAATAGTGGGCTCTGATGAGCCTTGCAAAATCCCGGGCTGACAAACCGCTGTCGAGGGGTCTTCGGACCAGATCTGTCCTGTAGGGACGGAGAAGAAAGAGAGGCACCTCAAACGACCAAGAGGAACAGGCAAGTTCCTCGGAGGTTGGAGGAAACTCTTCAGCTCGGTGGCGGAGGCCATTGCAGCTGTCATAAAGCTGGGCCAACCGGACCAAGTTTTGAGCAGGAGCGGTGATTTGAACAGAGTATTGATGCCGGGTGAGTGATTGCCAGCTCATAGGCAAAAAAGAAATATTTTTAAATTGTTAAAAGGTGCCCCAGCGAAATAACAGCAGCTAATGGCCGTGGGGGAAATAAAGGAAGAAAAATAAAGCGGAGATTTAAAGTGGCAAAGCAAGGTAGAATTTTGTATAATCTCCATATGGTTCCTCTGAGGTAAGTTGAAAGAAATCCAAAAAGATTCTGTTCTTACATTGTGCTCTGCTATAATAATCAGTAGCTTTTTGCCTCTGTTAGTACATTTTACAATGTAAATTTTAGAATTCTGCCACATTCACAATAACAATTTTTTATTTACTTCTCTGAAAGTAAAGTCAAAGCAAATATATAAAAGAATTCCACATTGTTTCCACACTATTGTAGCATAAAAAAAGCTACAGTAACATAGAAAAACGAGGTAGCTAAGTATGCAGATAGAATTTGCTTTATGTATAGCTTTTGAGAAACTTATTTAAAAATCAAGATATGTAAAATTCATAGTTTAGGCTTTTGCAAACCAGTATTCTCAAAACAGGCAATGAACATTCTGACTACACATATAAAAATAAGATCAATAAATGAGAATATTTGTAGCTCAGGGTTGAAATGAGGGGTCCGTGGTGGTCTCTCAGCTTGGTTGTTTTCTTGCAGATATTTCATTACCCATTTCTAGATAAGGTCCTCAGTGCACCGAACTCAGAGAGTACCAAGGACCCCTCAGAAATAAAATCAAATTAATAAATAAATAGTTAAGCTTCTTAATAAACCATTTATTGAACAAGACAATAAGAATCCTATCTAGTTCTACCTCTAGTAAGAACATTTTACAATTGAAAAAAAGCAAAGAATGGGCAAAAAAGGCAAAGTTCAGTTTGTTTTAGTGAACTGGGATTTTTTTTTTATATTACAGATGATAGATACTCTGAGGGCTTCTCCTTTAAGGACAAAAAGAACCACAAAATGAATTTATTTACTTTTCTTAGAGCCCCCTTCTTTAACTACCGTATTTTTCCGAGTATAAGATGCACCTTTTCCACCCAAAAAAGAGGGTGAAAATCTGGGTGCTCTTATGTAGCCCCGCCCATTTTCTCAAACCGAGGTTTCAGAGGCTGAAAACAGCATTAGAAACAAAGCTTCAGAAAAATAAAGTTTTTTCTGAAACAGCGTTTCAGAAGTTTCAGAGGCAGAAAAAAAAGACACAGAGCTCACAACCAACAAACTTGTTGCTAAAATTCACTTCCGGGAACAGCTGATTGGGAGTATTCCAGGAGGCCGATCCACCCGTCAATCAGCTTTTTTCCTATTTTCCTCCTCAAAAACTAAGGTGCGTCTTATACTCTGGTGTGACTTATACTCCGAAAAATACAGTATATAGGCTGGGAACTCTGGAAATGCTAATTACGTCACATTCAGAAAACAGGAAATTTGCAGAATTCATACCAAGAAACCAATGCAGCAAAAAATTATCCTGCAGAACGAGATCAATATTTAAAGAAAGGAACACTAATATTGTATTGGGGATATCATACAAAGTATATTGCACAGTAGAAATAGAATGTAAATGGGGCTCTGGAAAAGAGGTACAGGGTTTTTCCATACTTGACTGTTTCTTGTTTTCCTAGCAAAGGTGTATTGATACTATTGAACTACTGAACATTAACCAGCCCCCCCCCTTCTCCAATCACCCATCTATTACAGGCATAAGGCCGCATACTTCTTTCTCAAAAGTTATTACAGGTTGGTGGAGCTCTGCAAAAGCAATTCCCTGATTGAAGGTGGGAAATACCATAAATTAGCATCAAGAGAATCAAAAACAGAGAGGAGAATTAGTAAAGCTGTCTTACTTGTGGTGAATGAAGTTCAGTTTCTGATCCAGACAAGGTGTTATCAGAAATCAAGGAAGTGTTTGATCCATGCAAAGTCACGGGAGAAGAAGCACTCTGACAATAAAAGTTGACACAAGACCATTAAAGGAGATCTTTAAAAGTATAATTTGAAATACATTATGACATTTGCTTCATCATTAAATGTTCACTTAAGACATTATTCTATGATTTTTTTTAAAAAAAAAATAATGTTGTAAGCTGCCTGGAATCATCTATGTATTCATGGCTATATGAATTTGTTTAATAATAATCATTTTAAAAAATCAACATTTGCCCATCCCAGGTCCTTGGGAAGGACTTGATAGCTGGATAAAAATGCCAATTCCAGTTTGAACATCTGGCTGACTATGCAATGAACCATAATAGTAATGATAACTGAAGATACTGGGTTTCGGCAAAGGTTTATATTTTATCACAGTGAGAAAGAAGGCTAGACAAAGATGAACTTGGTTGCCTGTTGAATGTTGTTATGCAAGCCATCGTCTTTCTTCCTTTCTTAATGTTATCCTCAATTATGTATAAGATAGCAGATAACTGAAGGCAACTTCTTTGGAAAGAATGACTTTTGCTCTGCCCAATCATGGAAAACATTCCATCACTGATAACTAGATTAAATGTCTAATTGTCCAACTTTCCAATGATTCTGCTTTGAATGTTGGGAGGCCTAATTTAGTTTCTCCCTGGTGTGCCATATAATAAGTAGCATTAAACAGGAACAGGTGTTTTGGAAAAAAAAACCTCCAAATTTCATTTATTCGTGTCTCTTTTGGAATCAGACTAGTTTAGAAGATTAGACATTTTTCACAGGAGGACAAACCCTAATACTAACTTCAGAAAATACAGGGAGTCTTCAACTTATGACTCCAAAATTTCTGTTGCTCAGCGAGACATTTGTTAAGCCAGGACACATTTAGTTCATTATAGTGTTCTGATCACCATTATACTGAATCCCACAAGTAGAACATGATGGAATGTAGTAATCTTCCCACTGAAATTCTTCCAACAGCTGGGAGTCAGGCATACTGTCCCTGATAGTACACATTATACAAGTAGTCCTCAACTTATGACCATAATTGAACCCAAAATTTCTGTTGCTAAGCAAGACAGTCTTTAAGTGAGTTTTGCCCCATTTTACGACCTTTGTTGCCATACTCTATAAGTGAATTGTTAAGTTAGTAACACAGTTGTTAGTGAATCTGGCTTCCCCATTGACTTTGCTTGTCATAAGGTTGCAAAAATGATCACGTGACCAGTGTCACAGGACACTGAAACCGTCATAAATGAGCCAAGTGACTATGGGGATACCGCAATGGCCATAAGTGTGAAAAACGGTTATAAGTCACTTTTTCAGTTCCATTGTAACTCTGAATGGTTAACTAAACAAACTGCTGTAGATTGAGGACTACCTGTAGCAAGGATCCAAATAAGCCAATTTTTTTCCTTATTGTCCCTTCAAGGGAATGCTACTTTTTCCTGACACAGAAAAGTAAATTTAGCCCTGGCACATAATGGAAAAATAAAAATGAATTTTGAATCAAATAAACCATATAATAATATATTTAAAAGTTGACATCTTTCTTCACAAATGACAACTTTTGATTTTACCTGTATTGATTGTTCAGGGAAGTCATTTTGGCTTGAAAGTTGTTCATTAGAAGCTAAAAAAATAAGAAGTTGGTTATAACTGTTTCCAATAAATTAAGAAAAGAGTCAGTTCGATAGTCCTGTATTAGGTAACACAGTATTACCATTTCTAGATTTATAAAGGCTGACAGCTATAATTATATTTAGCATTATTGATTTGCATCTGAATAGCTAGTTGAGACTAAACAAGGATAGAGTTTTAAAGTCTTCAATTTGAAATCAAAATTAGATATAACTCCAAATGTTTCATTAAATAAACAATAAAAATACTGCAGTATTTTTTTACACACATTACCTCCTCAATATGTTGATATAATTTAGATACAGCTTTGATACATTCTTTATCTCAATTAATGTTGAAATAGAAATGTAGGGCAAAGATTCAAAATTAAAGTTTTCATACAAACTCTTTTTATTTATAAAAAGCCAGACATTCAAATAAGTCATCTTTGTTTGCCATAAACACAATCAACTAGTTAAAATTAGAATATGAATGCTAAGCAACTGTTTTGTTATTTATTTTATTTTATTGTTTTATTTCCTTATAATATATATATTTTTATTCATTTAAATGTATTAAATAGAATTACCAGAAGAATCAACAGAAGAGGCTTGTGATGAACAGCCAGCACTTTGTGAAGGTTTATCAAAATCCAGAAGTGATTCCTTAAAGACAAATGTGTTACTCTTTTGGATATACATGTGTGTATAAAAATATACACACTTTCACACATTTATATACACAGCTAAAAGATCCAAAAAGCAAAATGCAAATATAATCTAGAAGTGTAACATTAGTTTAACAATGAAATAAATGGGTAAATATTAAATATTTAAGACTAATTAATGTCTTACTGAACACCTTGTTTTTATCACCATAAAGCTGACTATTGCCACGATAATTTCAGGATCCTAATTTATAAGTAAAAATTTAACATACTGAGGAATATTTCTCCCTGGTCTTGACTTTAAAATAGGCCAGATATACTGTATCCTGCTGAAAATTCACAATTCAAAAAATATATAATTCACCTTTTCAAGATCGTTGACATTTCAGGGCCAATATCTTTTGAGAGAGGGAAAATTTCAGAATCTACCTTTTACTGTATTTGATGTATTCACAGATATGGCCTCAAAATTTTGATACTGAAGTCATTCTTCCTTTATATGAGTCAAGGTTGACTCAGCCTTCCATCCTTTCGAGGTAGGTAAAATGAGGACCCGGATTGTGGGGGCAATAAGCTGACTTTGTATAAAAAAGAACACCGCTTATGGGGGGCCGAAAGCCCTACTAAGCAGGTATATACAAAAGTATGAAGGCTGTTGCTTAATGCATTGTAAGCTGCCCTGAGTCTCCGGAAAAGGGCGGCATATAAATCGAACCAATAAATAAATAAAATAAATATATTCCTACCTTTCCTGGTTCATCATTAATTCCAGTAATTCCCATGCTATTATATTAACCAATAAACCTACCTGCATGAAGTTGTAAGTCCCCTGAATTTGAGTCATCAAATCTTGCAGTTTTTCTTTTCTGAGTACTGGATCCTTTGGAAGGCTAGAAGTAGAGCAAAACTCTGCAGCTGTTTGGTGCACAGGCTTAGCTACCTAATACGACAGAAAAAGGCAAGCAGTGGGGAAGAGCATATAATTGCACAGAGCACTCAGCTCTTTTCAGATTGCTTAAATCAGGCTTCCTCTACTCTTTGCCATTATATTTCCCTTATAGTGTAATTTAAATGTATACCCCGCCCCCTTCTAAAAATCCAAACAAGCAAATCTGAGCCATTTTATCTGTTAGAGGCCTAGAACAGCCCTCATAGTGACTCAGTCTTCAGGTTCTTCCTTACCTAGGAGGAAGCTGGCCACCCAAAAGAGGGCCACTGATCAGCTACCATAGATGCAATGAAAGCAGAAAAGCAAAGCCATTTTGCTGCTCTTACTCTATAAGAGAAGTCATCGCTGACTATTGGGGGTGAATCTTTGCCCCCCACAGAGAGGGCTCGCAATCTGGGTGTCCTCCTGGACGCACGGCTGTCTTTAGAAGAGCACATGACGGCCGTGGCCAGGGGGGCCTTTTATCAGGTTCGCCTGATTCGCCAGTTGCAGCCCTTTCTGGATCGGGACGCCTTGCGCACGGTCACTCACGCCCTTGTCACCTCCCGGTTGGACTATTGTAATGCTCTCTACATGGGGCTCCCCTTGAAGAGCACTCGGAGGCTCCAACTGGTCCAGAATGCGGCCGTGCGGGTGGTTATGGGTGCAACCCGTTGCGCCCACGTGACACCCCTCCTGCGCGAGCTGCACTGGCTCCCAGTGGTCTTCCGGGTGCGATTCAAGGTGTTGGTTACCACCTTTAAAGCGCTCCATGGCATAGGACCCGGGTACCTTCGGGACCGACTTCTGCCACCAATAGCCTCCCACCGACCAGTCCGCTCCCACAGAGAGGGTCTCCTCCGGGTGCCATCAGCCAAGTTATGTCGGCTGGCGACACCCAGGGGGAGGGCCTTCTCTGTGGGAGCTCCAGCCCTGTGGAATGAACTGCCCCCCGAAATACGAAAGATTTCCGACCTCCGGGTGTTTCGCTGCGCTCTGAAGACCCTGTTGTTCCGCCAGGCAGGGTTACTAACATAACGTTTTAAATTGGGGTATTTTAAATTTCTGGGATTTTAATTGGAGCCTAATTATTTAATGATTTTAAATTTTAAATTGTTGTCGTGTTTTTTGTGTTTTTAAATAGGCTGTACACCGCCCTGAGTCCTTCGGGAGAAGGGCGGTATAGAAATAAAATTATTATTATTATTATTATTATTAAGTCCTAATAAAGGCTATAACAGAGTTGGCACAAAACACTAAATCAAAGCAAAACAAACCAGATTAAGGCTCAGCGTAATATGAGAAGCTAACCACTGTTTACTATATTAAAATGAGCTTTTTAAACATTTTTCAGTGTCTGTCTACTTAAGCTCATATTATTTCAAAATTCTCAAGGGCTATGAATAATATACATAATTAAATATAAAGCTGTTTCAAAGGCAGTAAGTTGATTTTTATACAAAACGATTTTTACCTAGTCAACAATTTGAACCTGGAATATGTAATCATTTAAAGGCGCTGACCCTCCTGGTCTTCCATAAGATCCTAAAGCCATGATGGTGAAGCTATGGCACGTGTGCCTGAAGTGGCACGCGGAGCCATGTTGCCTGGCACACGTGGCGTCACCCGTTCCTCTTCTGGTGCGCACACGACGATCAGCTGGGCTTTTTGCTTGTGGCAGTGCCGGAAACTGGAAGAGCTTCTGTTTTCTTGCATGAGTATGCGCACCGGCCAGCTGATCGTCGCAAGTGCATGCGTACCAGAAACCCAGAAGACAAGCTGGAAGACATTCATTTTCAGGCGCACGCCTGCGCCATTGGCAGCTCTGGCTTAAAGACATGGCTCTGCCAGTTATTTTGAGGCTCCCATGGGGGGAGTATCACAGTAGAGGTAGTTCTCTCTCTATGACACTGGTTACTTTCTTAAAAAGGCTAAAGCAGAATACTGCATTTTATGCAGAAGTATAACATCTACTCATAGAAATATTTTAAATACTCCAAAATATTGTAATAATCTGATTAGCACACCTGCATGACGTTTTGGATATTCCTGGGTAATTTACATGATTCTCCAATTGACTGAAAGCTCCCTTTTTTCTTTGACGCATCAATGCTGTGTTCATTTACTCCACCAGTCTTTCCACCCTATGCAAGCCAAAAAAAAATCTATTTATTAGAACCCAATTCAGCAACAAGTTTTGAAAGCCAAGATTTCCTTCTGCTAAAAACCAATGTATGTCAAGTGCTTATTTTGTTCTGTGAACCTCAATAATTTTGTTTTTACATAGGATGCCCAGACATCATTTTATTTCTACTTCTACTTCAAAAACTTTCATGCAAATGCACAGAGAAAACAATGTTATGAACACCATGCAAGATTAGTTTGCTTTTACAAACTCCATCACCGTATATTTTTACTTTACCCACTTTTTTCACATCTGATTCAAGCTTTGATCTGCATTCTCGTCTCTAAATTAAAAAGCATGCAAAATATTTGACCAAACTTACAATAGTTCTAATAGAAAAAGTTCTAATTTCAATGCATATCAACAGGCGTAAAATCAGCTTACTGTATTTTGAAATATTCAGTAAGAATGAGAAACAAACAAGTTGTCTATATTTTCCCCTCTTTATAAATACTTTAAATTATTATTCACTAAAACATTTATATGGCTGCCTAACTCAGACCATATGCCTTTGGACAATATCCCAAAGAAAAAGAATAAAAAACATCATCAACCCCTAGAGAACAACATGTCTCATTAAAACTTACTAATACACTAAATGGCAATTAGAACTGAAATACTCTATAACCCATGAAATGGGAACTCTTATTCATCTTGATCCCAGGATAAGAGCAAGATACAAATAACTTGCCAAAAGCAAGTTTAAATAATGCATGCCAGATTGCCCTATTCATCCTGGTTTAAATCCCAGATGAGTGAGCTTTATCAGACCGACCTGGCATTCAGAAATACCAGCTGGAGTCCAGAGTTGCTCCAAGCTTGACCATTGGAAAGCAGGAAATAGAGGGGAAGGCAGAACTAGTAAGAGGCATCAGATTGCTGCCAATTTACAAAATTAACCCAAGCACAAGGTTCTACATGCTTCCTGTTTTGATCTGCTATCTTTTAAATGTATTGTTTTTAAAATCTGAATAATATTCTTCTTAAAGCTTTTGATTTTCTTAGTTTCACTGGAACTAAGCTTTTATATGGCAACGTTATCAATGAAATAACCATTTTTTATATACCCTCAGCTTTTTTTTTTAAAAAAAAAGATGCAATAGTGAAATTATGTTTTCAGTGAGATATATCTTTATGACTGAAATCAATTAAAACTGAATTAAAATATTAGTATTGGCCAAATCTAATAATAGGGGAGGAAAGAAGTGTTCAATATATTTCCTTTCTCGCATATAAGATTGAAAGCCTCTAAGAAATTATCTGCTTTGTCCTAAGTACATGTCTAAGTACACAAAGATTTGCTCTGTAATTTGAAACCAATTATTTTTAGTGAATGTAATCAATTAGAAATTGTGTGGTTTCACCCTACTTACATAACCTTACTTACATAATCATCTCAATACCTATGGTTATCAATAATATTGAAAGTTCCAACATAAAGCCACAATTTCATCTCCTATACATATTTGTTATGAAGCTCCATGTGAATCAAAAGATGCTGTTACAGCTTTTAGACATAAACGCCCGTCTAATTTTTAAATAGAAAACTGCAATTCTTGAAGTTCAAATGTCATGAAAAAGAACCTAAATTTCCACTGTGCATCAGGAAGAAAGAGGGCAGTGGACTAGCATAGAATTTAGGCATGCAACATAAAATAGAAGTTTTCTGCTTTGCCAAAACCAGACCATTATTTGCATTTAGCCATTACATTTAAAGCAAAAATAGTATTCAGGGCAGCTACATTATTAGGGGCATTGGAAGATTAACATAGTATGAAATGTCAGGGTTCCTTCTCTTTAGCCTAGAATCTACATAGAAAAATAACTAAATTATCACTAGTATATTGATTAGTATTTAATAGAAATGGATAATAGGTGTAGAAGCAATTACTTTTCAGTAAGCCAAATAATATGAGCAAAGCACATTAATTTGGATGCTATTGTTTATACCAACTCACTTCTTTCATTTCCCCGTCAAGCTTCTTCAGCTCAGTCTGATCCTTTGGTACAAGATTCCCAACTCCCCAGATCTTAGGAGTATTCTGTAATGGCTGCTGGACCACTTGCTGTGATCTCTCAGATGTTCCCCAAACTTTTGGAGGTTGGGATTTTTGCTCATCCTCTTCTCCTGTATGCCCCACCCATGGCTTTTCGGGTTGCTGTTTCTTTTGTTCCATCTCGTCTCGGACACGTGCATCCCAAGGCTTCATGGGTTCTATTTTTTTCAAAGTTTCCATATTAGTTTGAGACACCCAAATTTTTGGCTTTTCCTGGTTTTGTTCCAATCCTCCTTTAGTTTTAGTTACCCAAGGCTTGGGACCTTCTTGCTTTGGTTCCTGCTGTTCTTTCTCTTTTGCTACCCAGGATTTGGAAGAGGCCTGCTCTTCTTTAACTGGAGCCACCCAAGGCTTCGGAACATCAAGCTTATGATCATCAACTTCTTGAAGAGGCGATTCCCAAGGTTGTGAAAGTTCCAGCTTCTTCTTCCCTTCCTGGTTTATAGATTCCAATAATTTCATGGATTCTGGATTTTGCCTTTTCTGTTCCTCTTCTTCGACATCAACCAGCATTTCCCAGGATTTGGGGGGATCACTTTTTGTAGCATGTTCTATTTCCCAGTGTTTAGTTCCTTCAGGCTTGGCAGTACAGTCCACTTCAGGCAAATAGCGCCTATTAAGAAACTGTGTAGTACAGACCGAAACAAAAACGAAACACTTCAGTAGAGTAGCATAAAATTCAGCATAAACTGTATTAATGTGCACACTAGTTCTCATCAGAGGAGCCAACAGACATCAATCAAAATATACCTTATTGCTAAAGCAACAAGTAAAGACGATAGAATCTCTAGTTTGTGGGAGGGCATGTCTTAGGGCCACTGAGGACATTTCCAAATTTTAGAGTACATTCATGGTACTCGTATAAAATGGCAGTCGTTGCAGGAACACTTATTAATCCCAAAGTAGATACTGTATATCCAGTCAAAACATGTCTACTTACCAGAAGACAAGCTGAAGAGTCTGTTGTCAATCATCCAAACATATCTCCCCCCCGTCCCCCCAATATACTGCCTTCTCCTTTTGCATTTAGTGGGAACAGTAAGCAAGCGACACACTAGTCATACAGATTTTCCAAAAATGCCTATAATGATGTTAAAAATGAACACTTTGCAGCAAACTGGCTTCCCCTTTAATTTTTTAAATTAAAAAGATATATTAAAGGCAGGTGGCAGGAAGCTATCAAGGGAGGTGTCTGAAAATATTGGTAACTATGGAAACAGTATCCTTTCCAGTCCAAAATTAAGCTGCTCTAATTCTAGCATGTATAGAAAGTCACCTAAGAACCAGCTGTTTTGGGTTCAGCAGAAGATAAAAATCTAATAAATCTACAGGTTAACAATTTGCCTGTGAAGTAAACCATCTACCTGCAAGCCACTGGTATCTAAAACTACCATAATCCTGTAGTGGCTCAATCCCATATAAAGATAACATTATTAGGGCTACTTACTACAATAAATTGTTATAACAACTTGCAGTTGAAGAAATGAACTAAACAGGGTATATGAACAAGTGGCAAAGGCATTAATAAGTGCATATACTTTGGTACAGCATCAGTCAAATATTCATCTCATTCTTGAGCTTTATCATTATGCATCTGATAGAAGTTGCTATTTTAGATGCTATTTTAGAAGCTATTTTAGAAATAGTATTGGAGTTTTGCTTTTTATATTCTATTCTTTCTTTAAATATATCATATTTTGAATAGGGAAATGGCAATCAACTGGACAACTCTTTAGCAACTAAACGGAGAAGTACAAAATGTGATGAAACATGTAACAACAGAGAGCTAAATCAGATGTTCTTTAGCATGTTCCCCCAATCTAGTTTGGGAGGATTTTTACAGGGAAAAATGCTATCTGGGACTTCATCTTTCTGTTCTCTTGTATTTCAATTCCCTCATATAATTATTTGTCCCTACCACTTCCCCAAAGCCCAACTTCTGATATAGCCTCCCAATGACAAGGAAGTAAGTGTCCATGTAGACCCAACCGGTGGCCCATCTGCAAAAGGAAAAATATATAGCATATTTATTCAGCTCTTCAGTTGTTCCTTATTAAAATTTAAAATTAGTGGTATAAGGAAATGGGAGGTTCAGAAAATGTCTGGTCTCCAATTTGTGAGCCGAATTCAGCCTGCCAATTTAGCCATGCAGACTTCAGCTGAGACCCCACTTTTCAAATGTCATTCTCTTGCAACTGGACTAGCTCTTTGCCTTTTTCACTGGCAAATGTGACAGACAGATGAGACTGGAAGGAGGGGAGGTGAATAACACATCACTTCAAGATATTCCCGGCTCTCTCCAGCAGTGCCTCCCTGTGAACTGTGTTTATTAGTGAATGGGACTTTTAATTCCATCATCATGTTTTGCTTCAGGAGAAGTGGCCAACTAACAAGCTTGTCTTTTAGATTGGCTCATTTCCCACTCCACTATTATTGCATCTGTAAGAGATTGCCAAATTTAAATATCTGCTCAGAGTTGTCTTCATAAATAAGCTCAGCCTTTAATTCTTACTTCTGACAATTTAGATGCCCTCTTCTGCCTTAAGTTAAAGGAACTGATCACTGTTTTAAAAATATTCAAGGAAACATATGAAAGGAATAAAACATGTTTCCTTTTAACATCTTTATTTATTTGTATCCCACCTTTATTTTTACAAATAACTCAAGATGCCAAACATATCCAACAAACAGAACTTCCTCCTCCTGTTTTTCCCAAACACCAACTCTGTGAAATGGGTTGAGCTAAGAGAATGCGACTGGCCCAAAATCACCCAGTTGGCTTTCATGGCTAAAACGGGACTTGAACTCACAGTCTCTTGCTTTCTAGACTAGTGCCTTAACCAATTTACAAACCTTCATTTTGGTCAGCTCAACAATTATAAATTTAATGTAGTCTATCACTAAGATATAAAAGCTTAATGGCCAATAAAGAATTCTATTCCTGCTTAGCCTATATACTGAGAAGATAAATAAAAATAAATCATTTGCATAGCCAGTATTTATAGACAATTTCCAGTCCAGTTACTGCATATGGCAAATGTAATGGATATTAATGGATGTGAAATATTATTTCAGAACTAATAAGATGGATTCCTTTTACTACTTTATCCAACTATTGGTATTTTTTTTTCTTTTACTGATTACATGTCAGATCCTGTAATTGAATAAACTAAGGCTGAATTGTATGCTTTAGCTTCTTAAATAACTTATGTAAGTTTCTTTTAATTAGGTTCAGTTAAACACAAATTTTGATCAAGAATTTAAAATAAATAATAGTGCTGTATTAACAGATTTTTCAGCATACCCTAAAAGTCTAATAAATCCAATTGTTAGACGTGACCTGGGACAGGCAGGCTTCTGTTAAATCAGAATTCACACAAAACTTGGCTGTTTCCTAATAAGTTATCTAATAAGAAAATTGAAGAAGGCCAGTTGACATATTAAGTTAATATGACTCTCCCACCCCAAGTTAAATAACAAGGAAAGTTTGCTTGAAAAAAAAAAGTATTCGAATCTTCCCAGAAGCAGCAGTTAGCTATGAGGAAGAATGTAAACACACAGTAAGACCTGGGAGGAATCCAAGCCTCACAGATGTAAGTAATTTAGAGCAGGTCAAAACTTTGATTTTATATTGTGCTCAGTTCATTTTAGAGCTATTTTTAGTTTGAGCTTCAATCTACATTCTGCACAGGTCTACTTTTATTTGAACTTGCTTTGTGGCTCATTTGTGGGGATTTTTGCTGGTGTGGATTTATAATTTTACATTTTTGGTGCCAATTTGTGTTATGAACAATTATAAACTTGTGACGTGCCTCAGAAAAACTTAGGATTCTTCAGAATTACCAAATACCGATGATGCCCTGGTACTTTTTTACTTTTTCAAATAATAGAAATAGACATTTTCCATCTTTCACTTGCTCCTAGAGGGAGGGAGGGAGGGAGGAAAGAATTTAGCAAACACAAGTTGAAGTCAATAATAATAAATGAAAATCAATTTATTTTGTTGGAACTTGAAATTCTTCAAGATTTTAAAGAGATTTTATATTATGCAAACCTTATAATCAAAGTTATATTAAAAGCTACTTGTAACCCCGCTGTGTACTATGTACCAGATAATATGATGGACTTACTTCTTGAGGTTGTATCTCCGATTGAACATGCTGTCTCTGAGATTCTGGAAACGGAAGGAAAAAAAAGCAACTTTAATTCAAGTACCTGCATAAGCAAGTGCTGTAATTGTGGGAAGAGAGTGAAGTTAATTAACACAATATATTATAATTTGTTAACCGTAATTTGATGAAGACACATTTGACCCACTTCACACAAGATATATTAAGCCAAAATCAATACACTACAGATTAGGGCAAGATATGAAGCTAGACTCAGACTTTGGACTGAATGATTTCAGACACAATTCTGTTTCCTACTCCAAGTTAGCAATGTGTAATTTATCTCAGTACAAAGCACACACATTGTTACTGTTGCATGCATAGATTTAGGCAATCTTGGTCAAAATGCATGTTCAGTAAATCTAAGAGCAAAAGATGACAAAACAACTTCTGCAGATTTGTACTTAGGCTTATCATATTTGTGCAGATTCCTACCAATGCTTTATGACTGCTCCTTAAAATCCTAAAAATGCATGAAGAGAGCACCATAAACGTCTAATCATAGACAAACAATGCAATCATTATTAAATTCTGACCATACTCTATCCATAGGAATTGAAAGAAATTTGCATAACTTTTCCTCCTTCAATTTCCTCCTATAAGTTTGAGATCAATCAGGACAGCGGCTGGCCTAAAATTATTCTGGACACATTTGTGGCTAAAAACACTTAAAAGGGTGTTTTCCCAAGCCTAATCCCAACACCCTAAACCATAATGCAACACTTGAGTTTCATTTTCTTTGAATCTAAAATTAAAGCATTTTGCACACACACTATAACAGACCACACATCTGTGAAGCTTATATCCCTATTTTACAATAATTTAAAAAAAACCATTTTAAATGAAGTTTGAATTTATCTTTATTGAATGAAAATGTTATTAGACAGACAGGAGATAGTAATTTTTTTCAGATTAACAGTGACTTAATTAAATTACTGTCAAAACCAGTCAGTATTGAAAAGCTGTGCTAACCCAATTTAAGTAGAGATATCTTTAAGAACTGTTTTTTATTTAAACAATTTAGTAATGGTTTGCTGTATCTTTTATTTTGGAATAATATTCCAAAAATATTATGGTCACTGAAAAACAAGTGTAATTATGTAATAGAATTTACATTACTATATTAATGAGACTACATTAAAAATTCAATTAGGAAGAAAAATAAATAGAATAAAATACAAGTGTTCGAGTGCTTAACAAGTAAATACTTATGATTAATCATATATTATTCAACTATTGTATAAAAATGTAGCAAGAACACTCAATTACATGACAAATCATATAAAATGAGCCTAAAAATTAAGAGATGACAAATTATCTTTTGTTTTAGTCAGTTTAATAATAGATGTTTTGTTTCACTATCTGCTTGTTAATGATAAAAGCTCTGAAACAAAATTTGGCAACTTTAAAAAATAAAAACTTTATACTTTTGTAATATCTGCAACAAAAGAATGAAATTTCAAAATTTGACTTATGGACTGCAAAATGTACTTAGAAGTGGAATTCAATGCAGATAATAAATTTCATCATAAAACCAGCACAACAGCAATACGTGATCCACAATTTCAACAACTCCTGAATGACAGGAATAAAACCTCTCTGTGAAGTGGACACACTGGTATTTTCTTTTCAGGGTGACTAAGGTGTCCTGTTAAAATGCAGGAGTGTCCAACCCTGGCAACTTTTAAGACATGTGAACCTCAACTTCCAGAATTCCCCAGACAGCCACAAGTCTTAACGTTGCCAAGGTTGGACACCCCTGCTCTAAAGTAAAGGCCTCACAGAATTTTGAAGAAGAAAGGTATTGTACTTAGTTGTGCATTATGTGATGGATAACTACTTTACCCTGAGAAAACCCTAATTGCATAATGGATGTTCAAATGTCCATTTTTGCAGAAAATAATCCCAAAAAATCAGTGTCACTTCTGAGTAGACTTGATTTATTCCCAATTGTTCTCTCAATTCTTCTGTATCTTATTCAAGCTGAGACTATAAAGGTTCCAATAGTATTAGATTTTTATTTGATGAAATGTTTTAACTCAATAGTCATAATCCAGCAAGTATTAGAGAGAGCACATTTGATATGGTACATTGGAAACAGGTCTTGAACTTTCTAAAGTTTTATATTTTTGATCAACATACTTTATTGCAATCCGCACTCTGTAATTTTGAAATATGTTTTCTACTTTATATTATTGTTTATATCATAAAGTGCGAGGCCTGTGCCAAAGCGGAGCTCCGGAGAGCCGGGGGCACCCCTCTGAAGCTCCATTTTGGGCTGCAAAGAGTCGGACAAGGCCTGGACACGCCAAAACGGAGCTTCGGAGGGGCGCACACAGCTGAGAGGCTGGAGAGGAGACAGCTTGCTAGATCTTTGCAGGGTAAGTGACCTGGCGCGGCAGGTTGGGTGAGTGGGGAAAGCAATTGTGGGGAGCATGAGGTATTTCAGTGGATCAGGGAGGCCTTGGGGGGAGGGGGGTCTTAGGCAGGTGGCCTGTTCCATTACTAGCCCCCCCCCCCCGCCATGGCCTTCCCCATCCTGAAATACCTCATATGCACTTAACAAACTGTGCTCTCAATAACAAATGTGTGGGCGATCAAGGTACAAGATTTACTATGAATCCTCGGGTTACGAATGGAATGGGCAGGCTTCATTACATTCGTAACATGAATACTACCTGTAATAAAATCATGCTATTATCATTATGGTTTGTTGCACAGTTGGCCAGATGTTTAGACTGTATTTGGCATTATTATCCATCTAGTCTAGTGAGTCCTTCCCAAGGATCTGGTATCCTTGGGATAAACAGGCAAATGTTTGATGGTGTTAAATGTATCATTGAATGATTTATTACTCTTATTATGGGTCACATGACACACTAAATAGTTTATCTTATAAAATAAAAACTGAAAGAAATCATGTAAATATCCTGATCATTCATACTATCCTGCTGCATAGTATTTGGGAGACTTCCTATTAATCTAGAAAAATTAAAGCTCTGCGTGGGTTGAAAAGTACCGACAAACCAGAAAATATTTGCAAAAAATAATGGGAAGGAAAATAACATTTGAAAATTAACCTAAACTAACAATAACTTCTGGGGTATCTGGAATCCTAGGTGTCTAAAATTTATCAAATATATTTCTAGCTTGTTTACAAGAGGTTTTGAAGATTTAAAAATCCTCAAAGCACCAATCTAGCCTGCAAATGGCCAAATCAGAAACATTTAACAATTAGCTAAGAAACTATGTTACCAACTTCAAAGCAATTAAACCAATTCCATCCTGAAATCTAATACAATTCAAACTAAATGAACACAGTATGGTTAGCTTTAATCTGAATTGCAAATGAATTATGTGCAAAGGACAGACCCCAACCTATATTTCTGTTTTTTTAACATAGATATATTTCTGCAGATGTTGTCCCTGATGTGGTTTCACAAAAGGTTATAGGCTAGAAATAAGTTATTGGTTTTTCAGTGGCATTTCCTTTGAGTCAAATGGGACTGATGATGACTTCACAAACACCATGTCTTGGGAATTTGTCTGTCTGTCTTCAGGGACATTTTTAATTTCCCAGTCTTGCTTACAAACCTTGATACAAGTGCCCATCTTAACCTGAAAGTCCAGACAACGTAAATCATGTAATTAAGATTTAAATGTATACATTACCTATTTCATTGACAGACTCTGGTTTTGGTAACTGTTTGGGTTTTTCAAGCATTTCTTCTTTCAATTCCTCTTTTTCTGGTTTGTTGCAAGGGGTAGGAATGTTTTCAAAATATCCAGAATCTATCAGCTTTGATAACAAATCCTTCAGATGCTTATCTAAAAGAAAAGGTGATCAATGTCGAATGATATTCCTGAAGTATTTTAAAACTCTGGCTAGCAGAAACCACGCATCTTAAAAAATAAATATTTCATGTTAGTGACATGTATTTTGCAGCTTATCTAAATCAGGGTTTCTCCAATAGCAGTATCCCCCATTACTGGAAACGCTCATACCCTATACAGACAAATGCTAAGCCAGGATTTCAAATCACGTTTTGCTGAACAAGCCATAATGACCTAGTTTGCAATAACGGGTGGATTTTCACATGCTAAGCAAAACGCAAATAAGCCATATTATAGCTTGACAAAATGTGGGAATCGGTGTTAAGCCAAATGAGAACACAAATTAACAGAGAAGACCCTTATATATCCCATGAACATGTTCTCAAGAAAATATACCTTAAACATAAGGGTATCAAACTCAAATTGCTTCATAAATTAAATGTCCTATCTACCACCCACAATGTATAGATGCTAAAACTGATATAAACCACAGGTACTACTGATGATACTACAGTACTACTTACTTACTTTACTTACTTACTTACTTTATTTGATTTATATACCGCCCTACTCCCGAAGGACTCAGGGCCGTGAACAGCCAAACAGTAAAAATACATAGATACAAAATTTAAAAACAAAGTAAAATCGAATTAAACAATTTGGCCCAGACAGATTAAAACACCACAATCATTTAAAAACTGATTAAAATTTGCATAATTAAAAAGAGGGAAAGGATTAGGCCAGGCCCGCCTGGTGGAATAAAAAGGTCTTAAGAGCGCGGCGGAAGGTGCACAGATCCGGGATCCTCCGTATCTCCGGGGGGAGCTCGTTCCAGATAGTAGGTGCTCCCACAGAGAAGGCTCTCCCCCTAGGGGCCATCAGTCGACATTGTTTGGCCGACGGCACCCGGAGGAGCCCCTCTGCTATTGAATCCCACTATTCTAATATGGTCTTCTCTTTTATGTCTGATTAAAACCCTTGCCCTAGTGGTCAACAACATTTGTAAGTCTGGCAATGTTCTATTTCAGGTTTGCCTTTTACCTTAAATACCGTGTTTCCCCCGAAAATAAGACCCTGTCTTATATTTTTCTGAACCCCGAAATAAGCGCTTGGCCTTATTTTTGGGGAGGTCTTATTATTTTGGGGCGCGTGGAGCAAGATGGCGCTCCTCTTGCCATCTTACCTGATTTCCAGCTCTGTGTTTAAATATTTTCGGGGAGGGCTTATTTTCAGGGGGAGGCTTATTTTCGGGAAAACAGGGTAGTTACATCTCTAAAACCGGATCCTACTATAACAGAAGAGCCTCTTTTTATTAAGCTACTCACAGGTTGTCCCAACCACTACTTTTTCACTGCCTTCTAGCAGGTCCCAGAAACAGAGTGATGACTGCTCCATTTGGTCTTCAATGCTTAAAGTGAAAAGAAAGTTTTCAAAAAATTAGTTTGCAATTAAATTTTAACTAATAGGTTGGCTTACTATTTATTGCAAACTATGGTTAGCTGACAACAGGCTTTTTACTTTACTAAGTTCGAACCAAGGAGGCAATTGATATATACTTCATTCCAGCTAAATACGTCAATCCAATTTCCTGTGCTGCCACCTCAGTAGGAATGGATACTAAAACAAGGTTCATTTTTTTCAGAATACTAAGAAATAATTCATTTTTGCCTGAAATCTAGTTTTGTATTTGATGGCAGTATGATAACGTCCATTTATATACTCCAATCCAAGAGAATTTAACTGAGCCTAAAATACTACATTTTAAGGAATATCTTCAAAATACATTTTAATAGGAAAATCATGTTCGTATTTGTGTAAAATTAGGCACATCAAACTGAATTTTTTGAATATGAATGTGAATGAATAATGTTATACTACATAGTTCTAGACTGAATAGGTTAAAATAACATCTAAGAGTAATAAAACAATGTATTGATAAGTCCCAAAGTAGTCATAATAGACCACATATTACTAAAATAAATTTGTTTCATTTGGTAATGTATGAAATTTCCTTGTCAAAGCAACTGAGTACATATGGCCACTCTCTGTAGTCTTTAAGTATGTATTATGCCAGAATTATGGAGATTCTCCTCATACAGGTTTGAATGCTTAATTTAATCAAAACCCACTGCCCACTAAAATCTACCTGTTGCTCAAGGTGATGCCTGTTATACTTGAAGCATGGCAAGCTAAGAGCAAATAACCACTTTTCTTGCTTGATGCAATTATGCCACACAAGAGAACTGAGACCAAGAATTCACAAAAGAATTATTTCATTTCTCTTTGACAAGGAAACAAACTATTTCAGGGACTACATCCTGAAGGGGCTCCCAAAACTGAATCCAGCAATATGACAACAATGGTTTAAAACCGTAATTTTCAATATGCTATTGCAAGATTGATTTGATTGAAAGGTAAAGTAAGAAAAGTTACCTAACAGTTTCATTTCTTCCTGAACATGTCAATTTTGCAAACTTAATGAGGTAGTCTAATTCTTTAGAAGGCAAGTATATTGCACCATTCAAGCCACTTCTGAAGTCTTTCTGCACATGCTCTTGAGTGAAATTCTGCAGCACATACTGGACCTGCAGTATTGTGCGGAGCTTTTTCTTCTCTGCTTCAAGTTTCAGTAAAGTTTCTCTTCGTTGCGCTTTCCGCTGTGCTTTTAGTAGCTGTATCAATGTGAGGAAGAGATTGGCGGTGGGTTCATAAATGGTCTAAACAATGGACAGACTGAAGTTCAGGAAAATCCCTTCAGTCAATGATTATTTTAATCACATTCATGAGGAACTTCCCAAGTCCCAAATTTCAAGCTTTTACAAACACTAATGCCTAAAATACAAGAAACTGAATTGTCAGAATAATATCCTATAATATATCAAAGCAATATCAGCCATATTCTGCAAGTTTCTTTTGACTGTTTGTAGATACAGGTAGTCCTAGACCCGTGGTGGCAAACCTGTAGCACGTGCCAGAGGTGGCACACACAGCCCACTCTGTGGGAACGCATGCCGTTGCCAGCTGCTCTTCTGGGTTCTGTCACGTGCATGTGCACCAGCCAGCTGCTCTCTTCCGAGCTCCGGTGCACGCATGCACGCTGGGCGTGCATGCACACAACAGAGCCTGGAACAGAGCAGTTGGCCGGCGCACATGGACGCCGGACCAGCTGGCCAGCGCACACGTGCACGATGGAACCTGGAAGAGCAGCTGGCTGCCACATGCACTCCAGTTTCGGCATTCAGTGCCGAAAAGGTTAACATCACTGTCCTAGACTTATGACAATTGAGCCCAACATTTCTTGTTGTTAAGTAAGACATTTGTTAAGGGAGTTTTGCCCCATTTTACAATCTTTCTTGTCCCAGTTGTAAAATGAATCACTGCAGTTGATAAGTTAGTAACACGGTTGTTAAGTGAATCTGGCTTCCCCATTGACTTTGCTTGTCAGAAGGTCACAAAAGGTGATCACATGACCTTGAGACACAGTAATGGTCATAAATGTGAACAATTTACCAAGCATCTGAATTTTGATCACATGAACATGGGGATGCTGCAAAATTTGTAATTGAAAAATGGTCATAAATCACATTTTCCAGAGCCGTTGTAACTTTGAACAGTCACTAAAGAAACTGTTGTAAGTCGAGGACTATCTGTACAATAAAACATACTACATATCACGACTGGTCAGAAGCAGCTTCTCTGCCATGGAAGAGGCATAATTCAAGTCTGTAATTATCTTAGTAATCGGGGAAATCTATCCAATTACTCACACATTTTCTAATGAGTGAACTTAATTACCTAATAGCACAATTATATGCTCTACTCACCTCTTGACTTAGTCCAGAAAATGTCTTCTGAAGTTCTTTAGCAAAATCCAAGTTATGTATAACTTCTTCATATTTTTCAACAGCTTCCTGCAATTAGTCAGTTTTTATTCATTTAAAAATGCATCTAGGTTTAATGAGATAGGTCTTGAAGCACCTCAAATAAAATAAATGTATGGCATATTTGGGTGGATTTAAACACTAACTTGATTTTACTATGCAAAGTGCACATATTAAAACAAAATGTTTTCTGCCCGTCTTACACTCAAAATGAAACACAAGTGAAAAATCAGCCAATCTTATTTGGTCAGGATTTATTTGCTTATACAGCATTCTGGCTAATTTTAAACAAGCATTCTATTTTTCATATTGATCAGAATAAATACTCTTCACATTTTGATTTGGGCAATTTAGATTTTAAAACATGATTTTTTTTCATCAATAAGGTTTCCACATCATATTAAAGTGTTGAAACCCCGCCCCCCCGCAGTTATGACATTTTTAACTTGAAAAACAACTTTGGTTTACTTTTGTAAAAATAAACTTAAACAAGCAACAATCATTGAGTCTAAGTGCTTAATGCTGAAGCAACATTTTAAGAATTATACTTGTGACTATTTAAATAAAAGATTGTTGAAAGATATTCACATAAACAGACATTGTTGTAACCACAGCATTAAGAATATACACCACATATAAAATTTATAAATAACTTTATAATAAATTTTTTGTTAAGTACAGCCAAAAAGTATTAAAAAGTTCTAAAGTATTACAAATTAACTACCACCTTTTCAATGGATTATAATGCAGTTTAAAATAATTATTTCTATTTGTAGGAGCTGTGATCCCAATACAATGGAATGCTCCCAGGTTATAAAAATCTGCATTATGGTACTATTCGAAAGATCATGACAATTGATTTTGCTAACACATTACAGATTAACCAAATATGTTCAAGTACTTTAAATTTTGAAATCTCTTGAAACACCCAGAAAAATATTATTTGGCTATATTGCAAGATTCTCAGATAATGCTGCAGGAAATAAGAAAAGGCTGTAAAGAGCAGATGAGACAGGTCCATTCTACTGACAATGTCCACAGCTCTTGTGTCTAAGTGGTATAAACTGTGGTTTGCACAAACATGCTAAATTGAAATGTTGTTGGCTAGTTTGTTGATTAGCATGTTGTTTGAACCCAGTACCACTACTTGATCCTTTTATCAACTAGATTAATAAAACAGGCCAAAGTTAAGTAAATTATAGGTTATCAATGGGGTGAGCAACTTGAATGATGCAGTTTCACTGAAAGAAGCATGTTTCATTTCCCAGAAGCCTTGTATTCCATTAGTGTCAATCTTCATTCCATTTTATTTGTTAAAGCCTATAATATTTTCTGTTAAATCTTAGTCAGAACAAAAAATAAAAAAACCAAGAGGTTTCGAAAGTTAAACAGGAATTTAGCCTAGCTAGCTAGATTTGACATTCCCACCAAGTACCATTTAACTGATCATGAAAAGAGTAGATGTAAAAAAATGTTTCTAAAACGGTAAAAATGAGGTATAAAACCAGAAATCTTACCAACTGATCTTGATTGAGGACCTCCCCCCTTTTCAGCCGATCCCTGTAGTCTTCTAATTTGAGCTGCAAACACAAGTATGAACAAGTTTTTTTCCTCAGATACAGGCCAAGCTTGAACCACACAAGCACCATCATTAATTGTAACCTTCATTGCTACCATATACTATATCATGCTATTGCAAGGTTAACTTTCAATCTGACATCTCTGGAAAATATACCAGATATTTAAGTACACTGCATATTTAGGCATCAGTGAAACAATAAATCAAAAAGTACCCTTTATAATTCATTGCTGCAGTCCAGGCTCTATATAGGCAATTGCAAACAGAGCTAATATGACCTAGCATTTCTCTAAACACAGAAAGTGTTTTAGGACTGTTGATGAATAGAAACGTTAGAACATCAAAAGCACCATTGTGATTTAGAGATAATATATATTTATAGTTAACAACTATAGCCTTTTAACATATTTAAATTCAAATCTCTGGCAGCTGTATTGTAAAGCAATCTTTCAGCAGAAAGAAAGGGATTAATGAAGCATGAAGTTATTTCCAGTCAGGCAGGCTTCATTATACTGACAGCACAAAAATTACACAGCAATTCTATGTAACTTAACTTATACTTTTTATTACAAGGGGCTGTTGTATAATAAAGGACACAGTAAAGAAATGAATATGTATGTCATATCTACTTAAAAGCCATTCCTCTGTAATCACAAAGCTATCGTAAAATTAAATGTAAAGTCCATCTTAAAATTTCTTTTAAAAGCTGCAAATATCTAAAGTACCCGTACACTTATTCTGGACCAATGGATAGAGCAATTTTTTTTTTTATAAGCAGCAAGTCTACATTATTTCCCCTGAGCACCTTGCTTTCCAAATCTATAAAGGGAAAAAAGTCATAAGCAAAGGCAGCTTATACAGTAAACACAATTATGGTATTACAGTATTATTTCTTGAACTCTGTTTAGAAAATATACCTACCTTCTTTTTCTCAATATTCCTAATTTTGTGTTTCAAGCAGATAAGTCCATTATCAATGTAAGTCTCGTATGCCTGAGAAGCTGTGGTTGCAGAATTCAAAGCTGCCTGCAGGGGGCTCATGGGAGGCTGGTTATCCCCTCGAGGACCTTGGGTCACCTGCTGCTTATCTGGCTTCATGCTCTTCTCTTCCCCTTCCTCAGAGTGGCATGAAGGTGAAGGGCGGCGGAGGGGGGACTGTGAAAGTTGCACCATTGAAACGGCTAGGGCTGCAAAGAAACTGGCACTGATTAGCTGTTCTCTCCCTCACAGCGTCTTTAAAGCAAGCGGCATCAATATGCGAGTGCAATCCAGGGAGATCTGCTGCAATGCAAAAAGATGCTTCCAGAACCACAGAACTTTCAAGGAACAAACTATTTTCTCCTTTAAATGTGGAATGCGGGCATCACTTTAGAAATTCTCAAGGATATTCGCTACAGTATTCCAGCGTTAAGGAATTGCAGACTTTATAGCTCCTTAATCAGAGTCCTAGAAGTACCAACATTCTTCACACTTTAATTTCTCCCGATTTGCTGTTATTGCCCTAGTACAGTGCTAACAGCCATATCCACTAAGGACCATCCACAATTCACACCAAGCCAAAAACACAATACCGTTCAATCTATAGAATTCAATTCCAAATGCTTCTTTCTTTAAAATCCCAAAGCAATATTTAAAGAAGCTTGTAGGCTCTTGTCAAATGCACTAAAAACACAGGCTCTGGAATGAAATGTTAGCAGCAACCTATAGGGAGACAGAGAGGGCAGAGAAAGCAGCCAAACCTCTGCCCTTCCTGTCTTCTGATGACCAAGGGAGCATAGAATAATTACTACTGACAGTTTGAAGGTAGAACAAGGCTACACTGCACCAGCATCCCTCGAAATAAAAATACAAACTTCCAAAGGGATAGAAGCCCTGCCATGCAGAAGAAAACAGATCTTGGGAGTACCTTTGTATGCATGTGTGTGCTTGTGTGCATGCTTCTGGGCATATACAGTGTAAGTGTGTGCGTGCTTTTGAAGACTAAAGTCCCATTTTACAAATATTGTACCAACATCCAGTGGAATGACGAGAAGAGTAGTAAAAGGTAAACCAATGTCACTGTCAAACTATTTACTAAGTCTGCACTACTATTAATCTTCTCATTGTTCCTACCACTCATCTCCTCCCACTTATGACTGTATGACTGTTGCTTGTATCCTTACGATTTATACTGACTTGTTTCCCAATATGATTTGATTGCTTATTTGTACTCTTATGACTTAAGTGTCGTACCTTATGATTCTTGACGAATGTCTCTTTTCTTTTATGTACACTGAGAGCATATGCACCAAAGACAAATTCCTTGTGTTTCCAATCACACTTGGCCAATAAAGAATTCTATTCTATTCAATCAGTATTTTTTTCCTCTTTCCAAAGAGAAACAAGCAGTCCCTTACTCTAAAGATAATTAAAAGGACTGCAGCTCCACCACCTCACCCAAAGTCTACTAGGGACTCACTTCCTAGCTATCCTCTCCAAAGGAGCATCAGCATCAGTCTTAATTCCCACCCAGGAAAAAAAAAACGGTGGAGACACCAATTCGCAGCCCACCTCTCTCTCTCTTTTTTTTTTTTGAAAGCAGGTAAGGGCAAAAAAAAAAAAAAAAGAAGAAGAAGCCAGGAAAGTTCCATCCCTGCCAGAACTGGGGGGGGAAGAGGGACCCCCTTCAGTGCCCGCAGCCAAGCTTGGTGAGGGACTAATGACGAGGCAGCGCTGGGTCATCCTCCGCTCAAAGCCGTCCATGTTGTCGGCGGACCGGAGCTCCCGAGACATCCCTTCGTCGAATTGGGACCGTGACAGGGCTCGTCTCCTCTTCCCTCGACATCCTTCGGTCAAGCCAAGAGCACGCGCCACCCTCAAGGCTCCGCGATCCGTCGGCATCACAGCCCCGTTCGGTCCCTCACACCCGTCCCGCCTCTACCCTACCCCTCCCCTCTCCACGGCCATCAACTCACCTCAGCAGCCAAAGCAGCTCAAGCCCACCCGCCCGCTCGCGTCCCCGCTTATAAACCCTACGCCCCCGGAGCTGCGAAAGAGGCGGGGCCTCCGCGGAAGGTCAGCCGACGCCTGTCCAATCACCAGCTGGCTTCGGCCGCCCTGTCCCACCCCAGCAACCGCATGGCCTTCGTCTCCGGCATTCGGGGCCTCGCCACGTGACTGGATGGACCGTTAACCGCGGGGGGGGGGGGGGGGGCCGGGAGGGGAGGGAAAGGTGGGAATGGGGAAGCGAGCGAAGGAATGCCGGGTTCTAATCGCGCTGAGGGAAATTCGGCGCTGCGGCTCGTCATGGGTCCCTGTAGGGTTTTTTTGATCGAAGAAAGGGAGGTTTTGCAAAGCGAGAGACAGGACCCGCTTCCCACCGAGTTAGGTTAGGGGGAAAAAAGCATCCTTTGGCTGGGTCGGCGCAACCCGGCGGAACGAGCGGCTTGTAAAATAAGAGCGGCGTGTGTCAGAAGCGATGAGCCAGCAGACCGTAGTTTTAGCTGCGGGTGTGTTAATAACCCGTGGAAGCCGGCAAAAAACGCATATTCGCCTCGCTTTCTCATGGAAGGAAAAGAAGCCACATTCAGGAGTGCACCGAAACACACACAAAAAAGGAATTTTTGAGGGGAGGGAACTGAATTGGGCTTGCGCAAAAGCAGCCCTTGCGCCCCTGTCTTCCCTTACTCCTTCAAAGTTATATTACGTGCAATTTTAGTTACAAACCTAGAATTGTTTTTCCATCAGAATAAATAAGCAATATTTCCCCTCACTCGGGGCCACTTTCTCTACACCCCCCCCGTTTCAGCGTAATTGTGTGATGATCCTAATCCTATAAGGTTATAGCCAGATATAAGCACCCCTAAATTTAAAGGGATTTTTTTTTTTACTTATAAAGCATTCCAGTTGCCTTTTAAAGTTGCTTGGTTTAAGACTGGCAGTTGATTCTAAGTACTTTCTATACTTGCCTAGGTTTTTCGGCCATAATCCATAACTGAATATTTTATAGAAAAGTAGATGACCAAAGATTAGGGGTTCTCAGGCTATAGAGTTTGACCCTCATTGGTATCTAAGTAAGAGTTAAAAAAAAAAGCATTCCTTTATACCAGGGCTTCCCAATCTTTTCTATACCCTATATTAGAACGCTTCTAATATATTATTGCACCCGTTAAAAATAATTATATGCCTATAATTATACAGTATAATTTTTGAAACTTCTAAACCCAAGTTTTTGCACCCCCTGGAATATCATCTCGCACCCCTTGTTGGGAACCCCAGCTTAATACCATTATATTTGGTTTTGTACAATTGTTGCTTATTTTTTTTTCCACATAGGAAACTTGAAAGGCAAATTTTGTGGTCAGAGAACGTGCTCTAAAAGAATTATAATAAGTTCTTGCCAAGGAACAACCTGGCAAATATGCTCTTATATTCATACAGCATTTGTATAAATATAAAAGCAATGTAAATAGCCACTACAAAGAATATTTGAAAATAAAAGGATTAAGTCTTCAATATATATACTCCATGGGCATTCTCCCCAAATACTATTTTCCAGACTTCATGGATCCATTTTTTTTGTATTTTATAATTTACAAGTTAATTAAAAATTAAATATTAGTTTGAAATTTTTAACAACTACTAGGCCACAATCATTTCAGAGGTTGAGTTGAATTACATCAGAGTAATGTAACCAGAAATTAAAAAAGCATTTAAATGTGACAACTTTGTCTCATTTCAATGTTTTTAGGGAATTTAGTTTATATTTTAATTTCTAGCCCAGGTGAACATTCCAATTGTTGTAGAAAACTATGATTCTACTTCTTGAAAAAGCCTGCGGTACTTCAGTTTGTACACAACAGTCCATCCCCAGAAACAAATAACTTACCAAAGAGCCATGAAGTAATGACCCAGATGAGAGATTCCAGCTTTTCAGCAAAATATAAAAGTAGAAAGCCAGGTAGAATTGCTTCTAACTAGCTTCTACCTACCTGCCCAGCCTACATGGTTTTTACTTGTTTGGAAGCAAATAGGAAAAGAATGAAGGAACCAGCTGAGAGGAGGAGTTAATAAAAGAATAGGGGAGGAAGGGTGGGGCTTTCATGATTAGGTCTCTACTGAAAAGAAGCCCATTGTGGTTACTAATCTGCATCTACTTATTCAAAAAAAAAAACAAACACTAAGATTTTTTTAAAAGCTGAAGCTGATCAGAGACTGCTGAATATTTGTTGTGATGATCTGAAATCTTGGCTGGCTAATTGCTGTTTTTTCATTGTACCAAATCTTTGTAAGGAGTACTTGACAGTCTAGGTTCTATCTGGTTTAGTAAAATGCAGTTGTTTGTAGTTTGGTTCAGTGTAATATGTGAATGAAATTGTGGTTTGCAAACCGGTTTCTGGTTCAGTTAAAACCAGGAAGTAACAACGTCCGGGCGGGTGGGCAGAGCTTCAAGCTGCTGCTGCTACCGGTTCACCAAACCACACACCGCTGCCGCTACCAGTTCGCCCGAACCGGTGCAAACCGGTAGCATTTCATCCCTGTCTCTGGTTTAATTCTCAACACTACAGATTTGTTTTTGGTACCAGAACAGAACTTGCAATCCTTTTGTAACACAGTTCTATAATCATTTTTCTGTAGACCAGTGTTTCTCAAAGTATGGTCCAAGGACCCCTGGGAGATCCCCCAAAACCCTTTCAGATATATGAAATCAAAATTATTTGCCAGCCTATATTGAAAAATATTATAATAAAATTCCACTAAACAGTTGTTAGAATTGATAGTGGTATTGAAAGTGCCAATTTAAATTTTTTATACAGGAAATATTGATAAACATCCCAACAATCAAATCTCCTTTGGTGTCCATAACTTTTAACAGTGGGAAAGTGTCCTGAGAGAAAAATGTTTTAAGAAACACAATTCTAAACTGTTTTAATTAAAACTATTATCTACTTTTTCAGCAGCTAATCTTTCTGTAATCTGAACTCAAGAGGGTTATTTTTTTGGGGGGGGGGAGAGAATATAGCATGGAAAGATAGTCCTCAAGTGAATATTTGAAACACCCTTAGTTATCTTAGTTATTTTGCTCTACTGCAGGAGTGTCAAACTCATGTCATCACGGTGACATTACGTGACGTATCGGGACATTTTTCCCCTTCGCTAAACTGGACATGGGCATGGTCAACACATGATACATCCAGCCTGCAAGCCGGGAGTGATAGCCCTGCTCTAGTGGAAAATCTGTTTGCATTTGAAGAGTTAACAGCCTGAGGGTCCCAGGGGACTGGAGAAATTCTGTGATGGCTTCCTTATTGTGGTTAATTGTATGCCCTTGTTATGTTTTAAATTGTTTGTTTTTATGTATTTATTGCTTTTTAATTAAGTGTTGTGCACCACCCAGAGTCACTTTAATGTGAGAATTGTAACTATAAAAATATAATAAATAAAAATAAATATACAGAAAATGCAACATTCAACAGCATGCTTATATATTGGTAGTAGGTATTATTGGAATCAGAATCAAATTGAAGTTTGTTCCGATTAGTTGCTTTAATAACTAGTGTACTAGATAACTTACAACACAGTAAACAACAAGCAAATGGTTTATTTAGGTAACTCAATTTGTAGGATGTTCTTTTCTTTCTATTTTAAATTAGAATCTATTTGCCATTTTGCTCTAAAGAAATATCCATTTTGATATTTGCATCTATGAGTCCATAGAATATTTATCAGATTCATAAATGTTCTTATTTACATTTCTAATTTGAAATATATCAAAAGAAGATTATTTCCGCCTTTCATTTTTTCTAGAGCAGTATATATGAGGCTTCAAATCTACAAGATGTAACAACAATTACACTATTGGAGAAAAGATGATCTATTCATTGAGAAAACAAATTACTCCTTTACAAATGAATAAATGAAGTTTGAAAGCATCTGTTTGAAAAGAATTATTTGCAATCATAATATGAATTATTTGCAAGTGCCTCTGCTGCAGTACATAAAAGAGATTACAATTGCAATGTTAACCTAAAATAGGGTTAGCTAATTTGTGTCTCACAAATTAAGAACCAAGGTAATTGATTAAACTCTAGTTAAATTAGTCATGGTTGTAGGGCTGCAGCCTTTCCTTCTTTGCTAGAGAACTAAGATTAAAAAAATATTTATTCATTAATTCAAATATCCCAGTTTTTGGATTATACATGACATTTGAACCCAAGCTAACTAAAGAGGTTGGATATTCATAACATGCTATGCTAAAATTTTTGGTAAACAGTTAGGCCTGCTGTATGAACACAAGCTATAATCTCCTGTGTAAGTGAGTTTGTACCTTACGAGTTTCTTGGTCATTTGTTTTTAAGAGCCTATTTAATTCAACTGATATTGTTGATATTTTATTTTAGTAAGTTTGTATGCTTTAACTTTTATTAATTTTGTTCAAAAATGAAGGAGAGAGGAATAATTAGATAAATAGGATATTTAATACCAATATATCAAATATCTATTTCGATATTTTATAATATCCAGATTTGCTTTTGCCACAATACTATGCACTATTGGAGGAGAGGCAAATTGGACTGTGGTAGTGATGGGATTAAAATTTTTTTACTACGGGTTCTGTGAGCGTGGCGTGGCTTGGTAGGCGTGGCAGGGGAAGAATACTGTAAAATCTCCATTCCCACCCCACTCCAGGGGAAGGTTGCTGCAAAATCCCCATTCCCTCCCTACTCCAGGGAAAGATTTATGCAAAATCCCCATTTCCTCCTGATCATCTGGAACTCAGGAGGCAGAGAATAGATGGGGGCGGGGCCAGTCAGAGGTGGTATTTACCGGTTCTCCGAACTACTCAAAATTTCCTCTACTGGTTCTCCAGAACTGCTCAGAACTTGCTGAATACCACCTCTGGACTGTGGTCTTTAATCACATTCCAAAACATTGTGATTTCCCTCACATTTAATAAAATTATCCCTTGTTACATCTAAAAAAATATCTGCCTAGAAGCTGTAATTAGTTTTTATTATAAAATCTTAGTATGGCTACTATATAAGTTAACTGTTTTTAACATTGATGGGAAAACCACACTAAAGCTATAATCCTGTATTATGGTTCTTGAAACTAAACTCTGTTAAACTCAATCATGGTTGTTTTTTTGTTTTGAGTTAGCATGAATAGATTGTGTGTGAATATTCATAACTAGGCAGCCATTTAGTTAAGAGTTATGAGTTTGAATACAATTATTAATTGAACAAAAATGATTATAAATTTGTTTTCCCCGTCAGGTATTAATAAAGTCATAACAAAACTTAAGGCCAACAATAGAGACAATTATGCTAATTTGTCTGTTGACCGTCTTTCGAAATATCTTACAAATTGCTAATCTATATGGATAGTCACTTTTGTTACTGGGATTACAATTAATTTGAACCATTGCCCTCGGCATAATTGTCAGAATTCTATACTTTTGTGAGGCGGTAAAGATGTTTTTTTTCCTCTTATTGTTCCAATTTCTTTAATTATCTATTATTTTGAAAGAAATTGCAAACCATAGGCAACAAGATTTTATTAAGCACTTCACAAAAGTAGAAAATTGTCTTTGCTTAAAAACTTGTTTTATCCACATAAAGATGCAATAAGCAATGTGGTAAGCTTACCATCATATTTAATTCTGCCAAAAATTGAAAAAGTATAGGCATTTTGCTTTTTGTTTATTTAAATAATGGTACCAAGTGCAATAACATGTTCACCTATTTGTAGCTTACCTTGTGTTCTGTTCAACTTTAAAGTCTTAAACTTTTAATTTCTGTATTCGAATGCTGGGTGGGAAGCAATGGTGGGTTTCAATTTTTTTTACTACTGGTTCTGTGGGTGTGGCTTGGTGGGCATGGCATGACTTGGTGGGCGTGGCAGGGGAAGGATGGTGGGATTCAGCCAGTTCGCACCACTTCAGGAGAACTGGTTAACTTTCTGAGCAGTTTGGTGAAGTGGTTGTTGAAAGAAATAATTAGGGCAGCGAACTGGTTGTTAAATTATTTGAATCCCACCACTGGGAAGGATACTGCAAAATCCCCATTTCCTCCCGATCAGTTGGGACTCAGGAGGCAGAGAATAGATGGGGGCGGGGCCAATCAGAGGTGGTATTTACCAGTTCTCCAAACTACTCAAAATTTCCGCTACCGGTTCTCCAGAACTGGTCCAGGGGTGGCTTCTACTTACCTTTACAATGGGGCTGCATGTGTGCGCTTCTGCGCATGCGCAGAATCTTCCTGATGACATCGGGATTGGTGGGTGGGAGCCTCCCACCGGTTTTACTACCGGTTCTATAGAATCCGAACCGGGGGCAACCCATCGCTGAACTGGTCAGAACCTATTGAAACCCACCTCTGGTGGGAAATAAGAAAGCTACCATCCACTAGCTCTGCAGAGTAGACTAAATTAGGCATAGCCAGTCTAAAGTTTTAAGACCAACACTAAAACACCTCATCTTTTTGTTTAAAATTACAGTATCTTGAAAAAAAACCTGCCATGAATTCAGAGATTATAGTCAGAGTTTTGACTGAAGTTGGCATGATAGTTTATTAAAGACTGAAACCTTCACATTTCCACTTTTTAAAAAAGGCTACTTTTTAATCTTCATTCATTTTAACTATTCTGTGACATCCAGCAATGAATGCTATGTATTGTTTTATGAATTACCGTAGTTGTCGGAGAACAGAGTTATCAGTCTCATGTACCTTTGCCAAATAGTAAAAAAAGTTGTTCTACATGCCTTACATTTATAGGAGTTATTTTCCTATTTTGCTGTATAATGGAGGCCTGCCAAAAGAGAATGCTGCTGCATTTGCAAAACTGTCCAGCACTTACTCAGAACAAGCGTGACAGAGGCCTACATTGTCAGGGGTACAAAGAACAGCTTGAACATCATTATATTGTTTTTCCAGGAGGAATTAGAAAATACAACTGTGAGTTTCCCTTTGTTAATCTTCTCGGTCTTTGCCTTACAAAAGTTCTAGTTGCC